TTTTTTATAAACTACTGTTATAAAACACTGATGGTAACTGGTGCCTAAAACTAGGCAACACTGAATACACGTATTACACAGTTTAATAAAAGTGACGTTTAATGAGTATTTCCTAACCTTAGTTTTTGTTTTGATGACAACAAACAAAATGAATAACCATCAAGTTAAAGTTTATAAATTTGTTTTAAGAATAACTGTAAACGTGGTATAATTATAAGTATTTAATATCAGTTATGTTAGCATATTTATAAATTTTGATAAATTACTAAATCTAATAGAAGGAAGAAATTATCAAAGTATAATAGGACTTATTAATTTTAGTAGTTAAGGTAAGTGCACTCATGTACGTTTAATAATTGAATTTAATATACCAAATGTATTTACTAATTTATGAGTATTTATAGAATTTCTATTACTTTTTAATGAACACTTATTTTAAAGTCTTACACAAGTCTTCGACACAGGTTATACAGTCGAATCAAATTAGAAATTCATAATCCGAATGGTAAACAAAATTCAGAAATAAAATATAAACCATTTGAACATGTAAGGATTTGTCTATAATAATACTTTTAAGAATATCCTAAAGATATTAACCAAATCTAATAAAGTCTAGAGTTACAATTATCTCATTAATTAATATTATTATTAACAATTACTACTTATACTACAATTATCCTTCTAAGTAAAGATTTGTTTGTTCTCTTACCTGCTAAAACTCATATTCTAAATCGTATCCTTTTAAAACAATCATTTTTGTGATAAATTAATTTTACTCGAGCAAAGAACAAATCACTACATGGTTACACACAAGGACTGAAGAAACTGCGATTTTAAACTAACTTCAACAGCCCTGCATTGGCTGCTTTAAAGGGGTGGAGCATGTCTAAACCTCCAAAGTGTTCGAATGACTAAAATACCTTACTACGCAGAGTATTCGAGTATTCGAATAAAACCCTGTGGAGGGGATCTGGAGGACCAAAATCACCACTAGACATGCCCTGAGATGCTTTTTTAGAAGGGTTCAACCCTTATTTTTTAGTTCAATGCGACAACCCTTTTTTATCAATCGAAAGGGGTGCAGCCCCAGTCGCTGCATCCCGACCCAATATACATATTGATTTTGTACCAGATTGTGCATGTTGAAATGGAGGAAAAGTTTTATGTAATTAAACAAATTAAATTTTAATTGCTTTTACAGCTTTTATTAGAAGATGCATGGTTCTAATAATTGAGTATTAAAATTATTAGTCTGTAAGTGTAAGGCATAAGACTATAATATTAAATAGAATAGAAATGTAGATGTAACTTTAAAATTATATGATTTAATTTACCAGCAGGTATTAGATAAGAACCTAGTGTTCTTGTACTAAATGGTTTTAGGTAGTTATAGACGATTCTGGAGCGTTGTAAATGATTCTAGACAGTTTTAAATGATTATAGATTGTTCTAAATGATTCTGGAACGTTCTAAATGGTTCTAGATAGTTCTAAATGGTGTAGACAGTTCAAAATGTTTCTGGAATTTTATAAATGGTTCTAGACACTTGGAGTGTCTAGAATGGACATTCTAGTGTGAGTTGAATCTTGAGTGGAGCGTTCTAAACGATTTTAGACAGTTCTAAATGTCTCTGAAGCGCTCTAAATGGTTCTGGAGCGTTCTTAATGGTTTTAGATAGTTTAAAACGTTTCTGGAGCGTTATAAATGGTTCTAGGTAGTTCTAAATGGTTTTGGACAATTCTAAATGATGTGCTAGGAGACCTATTTTTGGACGTTAATAGGCGAAACCGACCAAAACACAAAAAAAAAGAAATTTAATGCTCAACATTTCTAATTTGTAGTTTTTTTTTCATGCTTTGTATAGATATTAAATTCCATTAAAACAAATGATTTTATTAGTATATTTTAGTTACGTGACGTACTAGATTTTTTATTACTAAGGGCGAATTAAATATGAACCGGAATTTTCTTCTTAACGCTCCTCAGGTGAATTATTACATTCTCATTATTTTAAAATTTTTGTCGCGGGAGAGCATAAAAACTGCCAAATTTTTGGGTCGAGTAACTGCACAGGACTAAATTAAAATATTTAACTATTAAAGGACTAAATTTAAATAATTCAAAATAAACTGCTGATCTTCAAATCGTTTTATATGGTACGAACAAAATTTAGAAAGCCTAATAGGTCACTGCGGATGCACACGTTCTTATTTTCCAAATCTTGGAATTGAAAATAAAGCACGACATTAAACGTGGGATATGAGGCTTTTTATCATAGGTGCATGCTCGAACGAGTTTCTTGGATTGGCTTAAATCTGCGAATTTTAGAAGCGAAGGGGCGCCTTCGCATACCGGGGTAATGTAGCATAAACTGAGTCGCCGCAGGGTAAGATGATTTTTAATGTACCGAAATCGTTTCATTTCCGCAAGTTTTGGAAACGATTCAAACTGCGTGAAATATAATGTTGTTTATAAATTTATTAAAGTAACCAGGAAAGAAACTAAATTATGATTTGCTACATGAAAATAAGTAAATCATGAAAGTGTAGAAGTTATCTATTTCATATTTTTTTTTATGTAGACAACTCGTTTTCTTTCATTCCGCCGACTATTGTCTATAAATTTTCTCTCCACAGAGTGTCTTTTATTTCATTATTCCTGAGTTATCGATTGGATCCCGCGGGCTAGCGTAGCGCCCTTTCAAACAATTAACCCTGCCAATAATGGAGGATCATATTTGTGGCCCCCAACTTTATATGAAATATTAGATATCACTAGCATTTCTACTTGTTTCCTTGACGTCGAAAATTATCGTCAGAGCCACGCCGGACGTTAATGACTGTTGAATTGCTATTTCTTATCTTTTTAATGTTTCGTAAGGAGATATTTTCTTAGGCGTTTCTTTAATTCGAAGCGACAATCAATTGCAGTTTTCCATTTTCCAATGAGTAATGCAATTTATAGCGATGTACAATTTTAAAATAAATTCTAGGATTGATAATGGAGTAGTGAAGAACGAAGATACTTGATAATAAAAGGTCAGGTAGCCATTTAATCAAGTGAAAAATATAGAACATTTTTCATGAAATTAGAAATCAGAATGCAGATCTGTACACTAAAAATATCTACTCTAGGAAAATCAGGACTATTGGACGAGAGGTGCAAATTTCTCATTATTAATTAAAATTTTACCAATCACATAAATTCAAAGATTATTTGCTACAGAAAAAATGTGACCACAAACGTCCTATTTTATACAAGGTACAAACAAACACAGTGACAAAAAAGTGCCCGGAAATTGGAATAAAACGCAAAATTTTTTATCTTTAATTTTTCTTGATTCTCCTTTAAAATATGCTCCTTTTGAAGCGATACACACAGACGCCTTTTCCAATCATCGAAACTTTTTTATAGGCCTTTTTTGGTACGGCTTTTAGCTTCTTCTACGAATTTTCTTTGATGGCATTTAATGAGTCAAAACGGGATCCTCAATGTGGCATTTTGAGCTTGGGGAACAAAAAAAAGTCGCACGAGGCTAAATCTGATGAGTAAAGCGGCTGGTCGATGGTACTTCACACGAATCAGCATGTCTGATTGGTTGATCAAACCAAACCATCGGTTGATCAAAATCAAACCAGCGGTTTAACGGGAGATATTGAGGGTACGTGACGCTTCTCTAATACTAACATGATGATTTTTGAACTCAATTTTCTTAATTTTATCGCCGTTATCATTGGTTAAAGAGTTCCAAGACCATCCGGAACAAGGCCAGTCTTTAAAACCCCAAAATACGAGACAAACTCTGTTCATTATTTTTGTCCATTGCAAAATTCGCAGAGCACTACTGAGATGAACTGATTCAATCAGATGCTACAACTAAACTGTTTGAGAAATCTCTCTAATTTTTTGCATGCAAATTAGGAACAATTTTACCTACATACAGAAACTGAAATAGTAAAAATATTAAGAACAGGTCTTTTAAATCAGAAATTTCGGATACTTTTTTGTCACAGTAACGCCTCTGATTTTCAAGAGAAATGCGCCAAAACATAATTAGAAAAATATAATTACTCGGGGAAGGAGAGAGCATGAGTAAGAAACTTGCACCGGTCGAAGTTTCTTTTCCGCTTTCATAATTGATCGACTTATTAAAGATGAGTTAGCCGTGCTTTTGCCTTTGTCTAAGAAACCTCCTTCGCCCTTCTCATCAACGAGGTACAGGGGTTGCCATAACAACGCATAAAGGCTAGATACGTCGGACCCAACTGTTTGCTTATTTGCAGGACTCAAACTCATAATTGGGTTATGGCATAAACGTAAAATTCCTATGCTATATTGCCGAATTTGTATAGGGTTTTTTGTTCTTTACAAGGTAAGTATCTGGAAATTTTGCGACATCAATCTATCTTAACAGAGTTAAAAAATATATAAAAAAAATCTTTTCTAAACAGTTATTATAAAAATTGTATATTAAAAACTACAGCTGCAAAAATTCTGAAATAATTGCTATTAAAATGGATAGAAATTTGAAGCTTTTGTCTATGCGGTATTTCTTTTTCTATGTATTATTACGGTATACTAATGATATGACAAGAATAGAAGCAGGCGCGCCCAAATTTAAAAATTTTGCATGAAAGTTTGGAGATATCATATTATTGATTTGTAAATGAGGAATATATTTTTGATACATCCCACTATTATGTACTATTAGGATTAAGAATAATAAATAATGGCTACCTACAATGTAAAATAAATCTATCGATACGAAAACCTGCTAGTTATGTAACCCACTTTACACCATAGCCAAAAGTTACGTATTAATTTTTCACATTCTTATTACACTTGTATTACACACACATTGGATTTTATATATACATACTTAATTTGATATTATATTTTTTAAATCTTTGGAATAAGCAAAAAGAAAAAATATACACTAAATAATAATTTCTGTTGGCAACATTGAGCTAATTTTCTTTCGTTCATAACTGTTGGTACCTCTTGACGATTTGACAAGTCTATTTCTAAAGTTCTAACCTAACAAATTAAATGTAAACAAACAAAAACGAAAATCCAAATGTTTAGATTTTCACAATCATTTATTTCCTTTTGAAAAACCGATCGGTCGAATTGTTTTGTTTGGAATAAAATTTCACGTCATCAATACCGAGTATAAATACAAAGTGACGCAAATTATTTTAATTCTGTCAAATTTTATGATTGTCAATCTAAATTTAAAAATTCCTTAGCTATGTTCTCCAAAAAATCCAACAAAGCCAACAGCAAAAATCACGACTCTCAACCGAAAGGGGCACTCCTAACGCCGCCAGAAAATTTGTACATACCCGAATCGCATTTCATACCGGAAACTCAGTTTGTCCAAGACGGACAGGGCATGCCCGACCAGCAGCAACTCCAGCCGCAGCAGCAGCAGCAGCAGCAACAACAGCAGCAACAACACTTCATACCGGACCAAGTCTACGCCCCGCCCGACCCTTGCTACATGCCGTCCGAATCCGCCTATTTGACGCAAGATCCTAATTTCTACCAGCTAGAGCAACCTCAGATAAACATGATGCCCGAGCCCATGAACGTGCCGCCGCCTAATATGACTATGAACATGAACGCCCCGCATTTCCAAAGAGTGGGCCACCCTAACCACCACAATATGAAGCCGGAAAATTCGGCTGTTTTGCAACTGCAGCAGAAATCCAGTGTAGTATATCCGATAGATTTCTCGGACGTTAAGATCCTTTTCGATGGCTATTCGAAATTCGTTGACGGGGATTATTTCGCTAACTGCACTTGCACTCTTATAAAAGGTGGCCCCAACATTGTTATTGATACTATGACTGTCTGGGACGAAGAGAAACTAATACGGGCGTTACGCAACGAAGGCCTTAGCTGTGAGGATATAGATTTCGTGATTTGCACTCACGGGCACTCTGATCACACCGGGTGCAATCACCTGTTCAAAAACGCAATTCACATCGTCGGTTTCAGCATTTCTCACAAAGACCAGTACTACTTGCATCCAGATTTTAGACATGGAGAAGAGTTCAACATCGATCCTAGCACTAATGCTATTAAGATAATTCCCACACCCGGACACACCTTGCAGGATGTTACTGTTTTGGTTTATACCAGCGTAGGTGCACTAGCCATCGCGGGCGATTTGTTCGAAAAGGCAGAGGATTTAGAAAACGAATACGAATGGTTGCAAGCTGGAAGTGATAATGCTAGCTTGCAAAGGAGAAACAGGCAGAAGATACTCGAAATGGCTGATTACATCATTCCCGGCCACGGCCCCATTTTCAAAGTACCTGAAAGATTCAAGAAATCGACAGATAAAGTCTCGATGAATCAATGATGTTTTTTAAAGGATACATTTGTTTGAACATCTGAATTTGTCAAAATTGTTGATCTTTTGGAACTCGTGTAATAGCAAAATTTTTGTGAACATTGGAATTGGCGTTTCAAAATTCAATTCATGAACGATTTTTGTATGTACTACTATTAAACGTTTTATTTTCTTTATTTAATTTTAACTATCAAAAACTCGACTCATCTGTGATCAATAAAATATATTGATCCTCATCTGTTAGAAAATAAAAACTGTTACAAAATAACATCTCTTTAGTAGACCTAAAATACTTTATTAAAAACCTCAAGAAAATTACAATTAAGAAAACGAAAATTCACATTTAAAATAAATCTAAGCTCCGCACATATCACAAGCCTCTCTATTCTGCAATGAACATACTAAACTAGCCATATTTTTCTCCTCGGCTTCTTCCATTTGCTTCTTCATTTCTTCAATATCGTTAGAAATGTAGGCTTCTTCGACTTGTGTGGCTACCTTTAATTGTTTATCGGTTTTAAATATCGTCGGAGCGGTTCTCGTCTTCAATTTATTCATGCCCGTTTTCAGCCCATTGCGCCATGCGTAAAAATGCATAGAACTTAATGCACCATAGTTCGGATTCTGCATGTGAATATTCAAGCTCTGGGATTGATCGATGAAAGGCGCTCGTTCGATCGCCATGTTAACGACGCTTTTCTGGGAAACTTCCCAGGCTGTTTTATAAATAGCCTTCAGATCGTCTGGAATTTCGGGTATATTCTGTATGGATCCCCCAGAAGAAATAATAGCTTCCTTAATCTTGTCATCCCAAATGCCCTTCTCGTCCAAATCCCTCAGAAGGTAAGGATTGACAACCGGGAATTCTCCGGAGCTTACCCTTCTAGTGTAATAAAACGACCTGTAGAGATCCACAGATTCGCTGTTTCCAAATAACCTGGATAGAATAGGAGCGTACATTTGGGCTACTAATAGAGAATTTCGTACTCCAGATTTCGCAATCCTTTCCTTTAGTGCAGACCAATCCCATAATTCGGAAGGTTTCACCCCATTCCACATATCATACTGCAATTTGCCTATGAACCAACAAAATTAAACCATTAGTTGATGTGTAAAATGCATTACAATCGAATAATTATTACCTTTACTTATAGGGCTACCTTCATACATAGGATAAGGCCCATGCAGTTCCGCCAACTCACAGCTCGCCTCCAAGGCTCCATAATAGATCGTCTCGAATATCTGCTTGTTCAAAGCTCTGGCTTCCTCGCTATCGAATTGCATTCGCATTAAAATGAAAACGTCTGTTAAACCTTGAACGCTGATCCCTACAGACCGATGATTTCGAAGCGAATTCCCTTGTTCGGCCAGTGGATAGAAACTGTTGTCGATGATCTTGTCTAAATTCTTGGCGACAGTTTTCGCCACTTCCTTCAATTTCTGGAAATCAAACGTTTTCCTGTCTGCGCTTACGAACATATTCGCTGCTATGGAAGCCTGCGGGCATAGCCCAACTTCTTCTTCCGACGTGAATTGAACTACTTCTCCGCTAAAACTACCCCCTCGGATGGTCCCTATGTGTTGTTGGTTGCTCTTCTTATTGCAGCTGTCTTTATACATCATCAAAGGACCTCCGGTTTCTGCTTGCAAAACGATAATAGCTCTCCACAGCTCTTGAGCAGGGATTTGTTTCTTGTATCTACCTTCAGCCTCGTACTGCTCGTAAAGTTTGTTGAAATCCTCTCCGTAGGAGTCGGTGAGTCCAGGACATTGACAAGGACACATTAGGGACCATTTTTCGTTGGCTTCGACTCTCTCCATGAAAAGATCAGGTACCCAAAGAGCGTACGATAAATTTCTCGTTCTTAATTCTTCTTTACCTCCTGGTTTACTCAAATTCAAAAAATCGATAACATCGGAATGCCAAGGCTCTAGATAAACGTTTATTTCACTGGTTGTTTGCGTATTTAACTGATCGACATAGCAAGCTACGTTATTGAATACTCTTAACAAAGGGACTAATCCGTTAGATACACCGTTAGTACCGGCTATGTAGGTCCCTGTTGATCTTATATTTTGAATGTTTAAACCGATAGTCCCGGTGTATTTTGATGCCACGCCGCAGAGCCTCAAGCAATCGAAAATTCCATTAATGGAATCATCGGGCATCATTATCGATATACTCGAGCACATCTGAGGTTTAGGGCTCCCTGCTAAAAGAATGGTATTGATGGAATGGATGCAATACTTCTCAGAGAGAAGATTGTAAGTCTTAATCGCCTCGTCAATATCACCCAAGTGTATTTGTACTGAGATTCTCATTAGCATATGTTGCGGTCTTTCCACTACCTTGCCGCTGATTTTTAATAAGTAATGTTTCTCCAATTCTTTGAACGAGAAGTAATTGTAAGCGAAATCACGGTCGTATATAATACAGGAGTTGAGTCTATCAGCGTTCTCCATTACAATTTCGTGGACTTCTTTGGATATTAAAGGAACCGTTTCGTGGGAAGTTTCATCGTAAAATTTGTACAGGTCATCGATTACATCTGCATTAAAAATTGCAATTAAATATACATGTAAACAACTTACAGATCAGCAGAAATAGATAAAGCTGCCAAGGTCATACAACCAATTTTGCAGCTTCTGCTATTCCTGTCGAACTGTAGAAGATACACCTACCGCTGAAGTGTTTTTTAGTTTCTTTCTGGAGGTTAGAAATTGCTATTCTAGCAGCAAGAGTAGCGTAGTCGGGATGTTCTCCGCTAAATGTGGCTGCCGTTTCTGCAGCTAGGGCATCCAATTCAGCTGTTGTTACTCCCGGGTACAGGCCATTTACTACTTTTAGTGTGATCGTTACCTAACCGTTGATAATGTGAATTTATTAATACAATGAATATAATGTACATGTGCTTTATTAAATACTTACAGGATCCACGTAGTCCATATTTAAACCGTAGCATAATTTCTGTATACGAGAAGTTATTTTATCGATATGAACTTCTTCGATTCGCTTTCCTAAAAGAGTATTTTAGAGTTATATTTATTGTTTAGTTAATATGTGATTACTTACCTCTTTTTATGACGTAAAACTTATTTTTTGGTTTATTAACCATTTTTACCGATTTGCTGATTAAAAAATAAGACTAAAATAAGCACAAAAATAACAAATTAAAAAATTGTCGGAACAAAAAGCACAAATTTAGCGGTAAAATTAAATTGTCGCTTGTCAACGTCAAATGTCATAAAGTAACACGAACAATACGATCATGTTTGTTTATTCTTGTTTATAATATGGGTAAAACAAGGATAAATGTAGTCATTTTTTCAAAAACGAACAAAAGTTGAATAACCTCAAATGGTGATATTTTTGTTTATTGGCGCCAAATGCCAAATGCCTTTCCGGTTTTTTTCTACGTTATATTTTAATAATTTATAGTATAAACAATCTAAAATATACATTAATAACACTAATTATGGTTGGCAAAGCTCGTACCAAGTTGTACGTACTCAAAAGAGGTAATATAATAACACCATTTTAAATTATTTTATTTTAAAACAAATTTCTATAGATGGTAGGGTAGAAGACGTGCATGTAGATAAAATAACTTCCAGAATACAGAAACTATGTTACGGCCTAAACTTGGACTTTGTAGACCCCGTAAGTTTACTATAAAATCATAATAAAAAAATGGTTATAATTTTTTATTCCTACAGGTGTCTATAACTTTAAAAGTTATAAGTGGTTTGTACCCCGGAGTTACCACTGTGGAACTTGACACTTTAGCTGCAGAAACCGCAGCTATGAAAACTATAGATCATCCTGATTATGCTGTTCTAGCTGCTCGCATATCGATGTCTAACCTACATAAGGAAACAAAGAAGCAATTTAGTGGTAAGTTAATTCTAAAAGTTTCTCGGTTTTAAATCTACTCCATACCGATCCCTACCACATCTAACGTATTCCTCTTTATTAAACAACCAATACATTTTAATATAATTAATTTATTTACAACCGAACGTAAAACATGTATAATCAAGTTCTCTTTTATTATTACTAAACTTTTGCCGCTGTAGCTCTTCGAGTAAACGATATATTTATTACAGAGGTCGTAGCCGATTTGTACAATATGGTTGATGCTAGGACCAACAAACGAACCCCCATGATATCCGATTACCACTATAACATAGTCATGAAAAATGCAGACAGTTTAAACTCGTGCATCATTTACGATCGCGATTTTTCCTACAGTTACTTTGGTTTGAAAACTTTAGAACGTTCCTACCTGCTGAAAATAAACGGGAAAATCGTAGAACGTCCCCAACACATGCTCATGAGAGTGGCTATAGGAATACACGGGGAGGACATTGAATCCGCTATAAAAACCTACAATCTCTTATCCGAAAAATATTTCACTCACGCAAGTCCGACTCTGTTTTCCGCTGCAACCCCTAAACCTCAGTTGTCCTCATGTTTTCTATTAATGTTACCTGAAGACAGCATGGAGGGTGTTTTTACTCTATTATCAAGGTGCGCTTACATCTCGAAATCGGCCGGTGGAATCGGCATCAACGTCCACAACTGTAGGGCTAAAGACTCCCTTATAAAAGGAACCCAGGGCAAATCGAAAGGCTTGGTGCCCTTATTGAGGGTGTTTAACAACACAGCTCGGTATGTAGACCAAGGCGGCAACAAAAGACCTGGAGCTTTCGCCGTGTATTTAGAACCCTGGCACGCCGACATTTTAGACTTCTTAAACTTGAAAAAGAACACCGGCAAAGAAGAGATGAGAGCCAGAGATTTATTCTACGCCTTGTGGATACCCGATTTGTTCATGAAGCGGGTCGAAGCCAACGAGAACTGGTCGCTGATGTGCCCCCACGCCTCGCCAGGTCTCTCGGACTGCTACGGCGATGAATTCGAAAAGCTTTATCTCAAATACGAAGCCGAAGGTAAATTCGTCAAGCAACTACCCGCCCAGGAAGTCTGGAAAGCGATAATAGTCTCCCAAGTGGAAACCGGAACGCCTTACATGCTCTACAAGGACTCCTGCAATAGGAAAAGTAACCAACAAAATCTAGGAGTCATCAAAAGCAGCAATCTATGCACGGAAATCGTAGAGTACACGGCCCCCGATGAAGTAGCTGTTTGCAATTTGGCTTCGATAGCTGTAAACATGTTTGTAAGCAGCGACAGAAAAACGTACGATTTCGCCAAATTGAAGGAAATAACGAAAGTTGTCGCCACGAACTTGGACAAAATCATAGATGTCAATTACTACCCGATACCCGAAGCGAAGACCTCAAACATGCGCCACAGGCCCATCGGTATAGGCGTGCAAGGCCTCGCCGATGCCTTCATCTTGTTACGCATGCCGTTCGACAGCGAACAAGCCAGCTTACTCAACAAACAGATATTCGAAACTATTTACTACGGAGCATTAGAAGCCAGTTGCGAACTGGCCAAGGCCAAGGGGACTTACTCGACGTACGAAGGGTGCCCTGCCAGCAAAGGAATCCTGCAGTACGATATGTGGGACGTAACACCGACTGATTTGTGGGACTGGTCGAGTTTGAAGGCTAATATAGCGAAGCACGGTCTTAGAAATTCGTTGCTCCTAGCACCGATGCCTACGGCTTCGACCGCCCAAATTTTGGGCAATAACGAATCGATTGAACCTTACACTTCGAACATATACACCAGGAGGGTGTTGTCTGGGGAATTTCAAGTTGTTAATCAGCATCTGATCAACGATTTGACGGAAAGGGGGCTGTGGGATGACGCGATGAAAAACCAAATTTTGGCCAACCTTGGTTCTATTCGAAATATTCCTTCTGTGCCGGATGACCTTAAGGCTATTTACAAGACCGTTTGGGAAATATCGCAGAAGGTCATTTTGAACATGGCGGCTGATAGAGGGGCTTTCATAGACCAAAGTCAGAGCTTAAATATTCACGTCGAGAAACCTAATTACGGGGTTTTGTCGTCTATACATTTTTATGGTTGGAAAAAAGGGTTGAAAACGGGGATGTACTATTTGAGGACCAAACCAGCCGCTAAACCTATACAATTTACTGTGGATAAGAGCAAATTGATCGTCAAAAATCAACAGAATGGAGAAACAAACGGGTTGAAAAGCGAAGAAAAAAGAGTGGAAAATGGGGTAGAAAATGTAAAAAATGGAGCAGAAAGTCCGATAGTGAATGGTAAAACAGAAAAAGCGCTCAATGGCCATGCTGTAGCGAATGCGTAATCTTATTTTTTTTTTAGGAGATACTTTTTATTTTTATTCTTATTTTAGGTATTTTAACACCCTATTTTTGATTTATGCAATCCTATTGTCATTTATTTTTATTATAAAAAATGATTTATTAACAGTGTATGGTATATATTTTATAAAATAAGAATCACTATTTCAAGTCATACATTTCTTAACTTTTTTTATAGAACAATTACACCACAAAATGTAAGCTAATTTATTTCATAATTATTTCTAGCTGTAGTCTTGTAAAAAGTTTGAGTACGAATTTCTTTTTATGAAAAGCGAATATTTTGGAAGTTTTTAATAAAATGTATAATTTTTAAAGCACTTTTTGTAATTTTTTATATCACCCATTTAGTAGTGGCCCGTTTGTCAGAGTCTACATTAGCGGACTTATTAAGATCCTGCATAATTGAATGGGTGATTGGAAAAAGGATAAAATTCCAAAAATATAGCGAATTCAAGTGAGATTTTAATATTTGGCATTTTGTTCTAATTTCTCTTATTCTCTTTTGTTCTAATTCCCGCTGAACACAGAAAAAATTAAATTACCGGTCTCCTTCACATCATAATTTTATTGGTGAGTGGAAAAAGGATAATATTCCTCGAATATTAACCAGATTGTTAAATGCGCTGACCATGAATGGCAGATTTGAAGTAATTCATCAATATTTTCCTATCCGAGGTCATAGTTTTATGCATTGTGACATATTTTTCCCAAGAAACTAAACCTAAAGTTTCAAGTAAAACGGCTAAGCAATACCGATATACTTAATTTCAAAAGCTGGTGGCTCCAACACTTCAAATAAGATTGGCAAAGATGTTGAAAAAAAACATATTTTAACTATTTTTTTTGGATTTTCAGTGGAAAACGGATAAAAATGTTGTGCTTCCAAATACCAATAGCTAGTTGCCAAAGAGGTATAAACCGTTCAAACTTTAGCATCAAACGTACTTTGTCAAAGTGTATAATTGGCCAATAGTAAAGGTTTTTTTTGTTAAATTACCGGTTTCGCCACAATAAAGTTTTATTTTGATTTCCCATAAGGTACACTGGAATTTTATTATTTTTCCAATCACCCATTCAATTATGAACATACAGTGAGCATAAAGACTTAAATTCTACCACAGTTTCTTTCATTAAGAATAATACCTTACAATAAAAAATAAATTTGTAGACAATTACTGTTGGTTTGGTATTGATTCATTTTTCCAGATAACAACCAAACCGAGCACTCGACAAGATAAAATTAATAGATAACAATAACGATAATGAGCGATATAATTCGGAAGGCATTACGTCGTGAACTCAGCTCGTCGGCCAGTCCTAATAGCGTCAATTACCTTGTTAATTACCTTCTACCTACGCTAAAATCGCTTTTTAGGGCATTGCGCCTCGTGAAAACGGAATAATCGGTCGTTTGAATTTCAAAACAACGGTCAATCCAGCCGGATCAACGTCTATAGCAGTCAGCATCGCTATCTGGCGGCGAACAAAACAAGGCACCTGTTTTGTAACTTTACCTGATCAGGTGGGGGGCTTACCTGCACTGGGTGTCACGTGATACGCGAGTTTTTAACGTAAAAAATCCAAGTGTAACCGCGCCTACAGTCGCCCCCTTAACTGACATCGGTAAAAACATTGTCCTCGTAACTGGTCGCTCCTCATCAACGGTGCAGGAGATTGGCTCGCGTTTTTTCCTGCGAAAATCGATTTTTCTCTCGAAAATAATCCATAATTGCATAGTTACGAGAATGCAAGCATCGCCGAGCAAGTCTTTGTGTTCATCAGTGTCTGTGATTCTCGCTTTAAGATGTGTTTACTGAACGGTTGTGCGTTGTATTCGTGTTGAGAAAATATGTGCAAATTCAAAAGGACGCTGTTTTCGCTGGCTTTTCTAACGTATTTCGAATTCGTTTATCTCCAAGAGCCAGCCCCCGCGCTGACCGAGCACCCGGGGGGCAGGATAGCCAACGACAAGCTCGTTTTTTCGAAATCTCAGAGTCCTTATTTGTTGAAAAATGACATCGTCGTCGAGTCGAATGGTGAATTAGTGATAGAACCTGGTGTTACCGTCAAAATTGAGCCGCGAGTTGGGATAACGGTCAGAGGAATTTTGACAGCAGAGGTAAGTTGACGTTCCCGCTAAAGTGAATTGAGTTTGTTACGAACGATGCGGAGAAAGTCTTACTGTAGAGGTGAAATCTCCGCTTAGGTAATCGTAAACATCCAATTAAATCCGGTACAATTGGGTTTTTGCGATTTAAATATCACCAATGAAGGGAAGATCAAGGTACACAAGGTAGAAAATGATGTAGGTCAGAGTAGCTCTTAAAAAAACTAAATAATTTGAAATATTTTTTCAAATTTTAGTAAATGAAACTTTATGAAATACTTCTTTTGTCTCATCTTCTGAATATTAAATGCAACAAAATTGAAGCACTTTTTACAAGACATTGACAGAGCAAATTGGAAATAACCAACCAAATAATCTTTACCAATTGATGACCTGGATAACTGACTTTGCTAAATATAATTGAGCACTAAACTAGGAAAGAAATAAGCTAATGTTCTTTAAAATGGTAACGCAGTGGTCTATGAAATATTGTAATTAGTAATTTGATACAAAAAAACTTAACCAAAACACAGAGTAGGTAGTTACAGATTTATTTAGCTGAACCACTTTCTATAAATTACCAAATTTCTAATGACATTTACAAGGCAAAAATACTTGGAAAAATCCATATAACTAAGCGAATTAAAATCAATTATATTATTTTAAGGTCTTTTTAAACCATTTTTTGCATATTTTCTATTCGTTCACATGCAAAGTGCCAATAACAGTTTCTATAGTTCATACCTACATACACATCAAAATGGTACCTGAAGAAATTGTCTAATAAACATAATAAATGGACCTACAAACATTTGATGGCGTTTCATCCTCATATTGATTTTTTCTGATAACTCTAATATTGATTAGAGAGTAACAATTTTTCCAAATAAATGAAAAAAATCGATCAATAATTATAATGTAATTAGACAGAAACCAGTTTATGCCGTCGATTAAACAAGGCCTTTTCGACCGGAAAAAGCAAAAGAATTCCCAACACCCAGGTAGTAAAAAAGTCCTGTTGAATGAAAAAGAATACAAAGAATGCTTTTTAATGTTCCCAGTCAAGTGTGGCACAAAGGCAGCAGGTATGCAATAGATAAAGGTGTATCATGCAATGTTAAAACAGGTGCGTTAGGTTACAGGGTGGTACTTCCGGATTATCCCGTTTTACATCATAATATTAAAACATAGAAATTTATCTTTTCTGTATTATTATTTCTCCTTATTTGCCCTTCTACCTGTCACAGCGTGAAAGCAATAAAAATCTTATCGATTTATAAAAAGTACACACATGATGTCAGATATTTCCTAAGTGTAGCAAAGTTTTGTTTTCCGATAGATAAAAATTGATAGGGAGTATTTGTTTTATATCCATCCATGCGACTCGGTTTTGGTACTCACCTACAATTAATTCATATCATATGTGTGTGCTACTTTGAAACTCCGTGACTCATTAGTAAATAATTTTATAGATCCAGTCATTCTGTGACGTGTTTTTCTTGAAAACATTTCTCGTTTCATTCGTAATCACCATCGGAATATATTTAGTTGAAAGTACCCATTAAGTGCTAATGATGTACGGAAATAAATTTTCGGTTTATTTAGTTAGGGAAACCATAGAAAGTGAATTTGCATAAGAAACAAAAAGTCTACTCAAGTTCAATAATGGTTTAATTTAGAGATGATATTTATTCTTGTGAAGTAATTAATGTACAGGGAGGTGCAGTATTTTTATTGCCATTTTCATGGAATTAGAGGACATTCTTTGCACTTTCTGCACCCCTTCTACTTTTATACCTGCCTAATATTTTTTTAACTAATTTTTATGCATTAATTTATTGTAAACGCCTACCTTATTATATTTTAAACTAATTTACAAGCATCAGTTCTAATATTTAATCTTATATTGATTTAGGTTATACGTGAAATTGTTTTTGTACAGATATATTATCAATTTTGGTTTTGTGGTTAACTACCAACTACTACACTTACAAATGAATCAACAGAATATTAACATAAAATGCATATTTTTTTATCTTATTAAGTGTAAATGTTAGTCATTACATGGGTACAGTTTATCACAATTCTAAATAGATGTAGGTAGAGCACATTTTACCAATTCCATTATCTGTATTTTCTATTACAATCAGTCAGTTACATTTTTTTGAAAATGCCGCCGAGCTTCACCTTTGTCCGAGAAAAACAATTTTAAAATTACTGACTTTCATCTTAAATTATGCACGTACCATCCTACGTAAAATTAATTAGATTAGTGTAATTAAGGAGGATTTAAGGTTAAATGTTCTTATTGATCATTTCCGCAAGTTTACTCTTAATTACCACTGTTGCCCGTTTCATTTAGTTTTTCAAACTTCTTGAATGAACCGAGTGAACGTTATTATTTAATACAGTTAGATGCATACAGTGTGTTAGTCATAAATCGTGATAGATGTAAACTGTTGCAATTACTAGTTATTTCGAAGGACTTTGTATCGATTAGGTGACGTTATACGCTGATGAACAAAGTTTTTATTCATTATATTTTATAAGCCTACCGTTCTGTATTTTAGTATCTATCTTTTATACTGGCATAATTTCTGTGTAAATGTAAATTTGATTCAAATATTTCCTTTATTTGTATAGATCCGTATAATGAAATATTGAAGGTTGATTTTCTGGTCAATGATTTATTTTAATAGGTGCCATCAATGTCACCAATGTAGGGGATATCACAAGGAAAATTATGTAGGTGGTGAATTATATGCTAAATTTACAATCATTTGCAAGTGTAACATACTTGGATAGTATACAGGTTGTTTCGGAAGAAACGAGTTTAAGATCTAAACTGATCTAATTTTAAGTTATTTTCAAAAAGACCTGTGTTCTAACAAATAGAAGCGTTCTTCTTCCAAATTTTAGTAATAGAAACTTTATCAAATACTTCTTTTGCCTCATTTTCCAATTATTAAATGCAACAAAATCAATGCACTTCTACATGATTTTAACACAGCGAATTGAAAATAGGAGCACCTTATCAAATTAAAAATAAATATAAACGAAATAATCTTTATCAATTGATGACCTGGATATCTGATCTTGGTAAATATAATTATCATTAAGCTAGAAAAAAACTAAGTTCATTTTCATTAACAAGATAACACAGAAGCCTATGAAATATTGCAAACAGTTTTTTGGCTCAAAAGATGATCAAAGAGATTGAAACTTCTGCAATTATGTACCTGGTTTAAGAGCTAACTACATATGTTATTTAATGTTGAAATTTTTGTTTTTAAATAACATTTTGCTTGCTAAAGTAATTTTATTCTTCTGGCTTTATAGTAGGTTAATAGGTTAATCTTGTGTCAATTAGTAAACATAAAGGTTTTTAGCTGACACTAACAAATTAGAACTTGATTGTTGAGAATGTTATGTGTAATTTTCCGAAATGTACGTTGATTTAAACAATATTGTATAATCCCAATTTCTGTTTATTATAGGTGTAATAATCCCTATGCAATTAAAATGGTTCATTTCATAATTAAATTTCACACCATAAATTGTTTCTTTTGTATTTACCACTCCGTTTGTTTGGATTCCTTTTAAATAGGTAATGGGAAAAGTATACTATGGTGTAGGTATTATATTTAAAATTTCCACATATTTTTATAGCCTTTATTTTATTGTTGTGGGTACAAAATGCGGCTACATATTCCAATTCCATTATAAATTCGTATTTAGTGTGTAAAGTAAATATTCTCATTCCCATTCTGTGGTTATACGTGATAAAACAATAGGACTATCTTATCAAAAATATAACGTGAAAACACATGTAAAGTAGCAATTAACCAATTAACGTGATAATTGTGGAATATACAGTCGCATTTTCACCTGCAGCATATTTGTTATACACTGGAGTTACGATTGCCCTGTTTATACACTGTTCCTCAAAATAAAAATCAAATACAAATTCAAAGGGCTTAGAATTACGAATAACATCTAGATCTAGTAAAATCAACAATTTTTATCCATAAAATTGAGAAAGCCAAAAACGGAAGCGTTGATTCGAGTTCAAAAAACCGCATGGCGAATAATTTCTTCGCTCTGGTAAATAATTTTTAGAGCGTTTCGAAGTAGAGAATTCTTTACAAAATATTCCTGAATGTACAATGATGAACTGCTTATAAAATTAAACAGACATCGCAACAATAAATACTATAATTGCGTTTGCACATAAACACCTACTAAAACGCCGTCAGTTCAGTTCAATTTATCATCGTGGGATCCCAAAAAAACAGGAACAGGAATACGATACCTTTGTTTGAACATGGTAGGTATGTAAAACCACTGTAACACTAGACCTAATCGATGATGGTTGAGAATTTAATACAAAACGCCATAATTCACTGTCTTCCAGGTCAATGGCATATCCTTTCAAGTCGCTGTTGTAATAGAATAGTCGACAAAGAAAGAAGAGCAACTAACCGCAACTGCACTAGGTTTGATTAATATCAATGGTTGAAATATACAAATGAGGTATCAAGTAGCATAAATAAGAGAATTTGTTAGAAAATATAGGTTAAATTATCGCAAGACATTTAATATACTTTCCATGAATTTTAGCTGCTCTTAAAACACAAAATGCATTGCGTGGTACACCATTCGAAAGTTAAATTCCCAAATAATTACAGTAATTACAACATCCTTAAAACCATTATAATATAGTACTTGTGGCGTAAAGTTTAGTAAATCTTGAAAGTTCACAAAAACAATAAAACATCTGTTAGTTTATTGTCATTGTTAGTAATTGTACACATCCCATTGAATACGGCAAGTTACAATAAAATGCCCATCATGACACACGATTAGTGATTCATCAGTGAGTGCAGTCGACGCCCTGCCGGCGAAGAAAAACAATTACGCGTTTACCGAAGGATAACGCCAGCCAGCCGGTTACATTCACCTTCTTTTGCCGTTGAAGATTGTGATTTAAATGTGGTTCAGGAGAGAAACTGAAAATAACAGAATTTTACACAACGTTGATGATATCACTTCCCAGTTTTATAACGGTTGATTTTTTTTAATGTTTTGGTTTCAATTTTGACCTTTTGTTTTGAAATAAATGGAACTAATTTGACTGTTACTCGCAGTATAAATAATAGCTATCGATACGGATATTAATGAGATAATTATATATTTTTTATCTGGGAAAAGTTTAATAAATAGTCTCCAATTTATGCTTGAAAATTGCAATCTTGCCTTGAAGTATTTGAGATAATAATGATAATAGTAATATTTAATGATTTATGCTTAATTAATGCGTTGATTTAAACACCTACTTTTAAAATCCCAATAATTATCACAATATACCTATCATCATTTTTTACAACAAAAGAGGTTCATTTATTTTTTCTTAATTCGTATGCCGATAATATCGATGCTTATTTTTTAACGTGATATTTTTCAGGGCACGGAAAGTGAAAGAATTATTCTCACAACATCGGAGGAGACAACAGCGAAGAATATTAATTTCCCCGACATCCGGTTAGTGGACGGTCCTTCTATATTAGCTGGACGCGTCCAAGTTAAACACAATGGCCAGTGGAGAAGCGTCTGCACCAATTCCAAAAAGTAAGTTCTAACAATAAAATCAACATTATTTATCATGCTTTATTGGTATTTTCATTGTGCAGTTGGACGGAAAATGACATGGCCACGGCTTGTCGGCAGCTTGGCTTCCAAGGGGGCTCCTTCCACCAGTGGTACAACCGCCAAATGCCCCTCAAGCCGCGAATCCTCTACGAGGAGCCGCGTTGCTCGGGCAGCGAAGGCTCGATATTCGATTGCCAGTGGGCGAAAAGACAAATGGGTTCCGGCGTGTGCGACTACCACCCGGACCTCGGCATAGAATGCTCGCCAAAATTCGACGTTTCCATGCCCTTTTGGGCCGGCGTCAAATTCGATCACGCCCTAAACGACAAAAGACTCCGATACGATAATACTCTCTACGTGCCAACATCCAAATCTTCCTTCAAATTCGTCAACATCTACTACGCAGGAATCGACAGAGATTACAGTGCTATCAGCGCGCTGCACGTTGTTGGTGTACCGCCGATCGTAGACAACGTGGAGGTGTTCAATTCCGCCTACAACGGCATTAATATCACCAACCCCGAGGCTCCCATAACTGTGAATAATTGCAAAATACGGAATAACCGGGGTTACGGGATATTCATCAACTCCAGTTACGGACTTGCCAACATAGACGGTTGTATCGTTAGCGAAAACGGAGGAGACGGCATCAGGTTCGTCAGAGCCGAGGAGCGACCGGAGGAAAGGGCGGATCGCAACGGCTACAGCGATTTCTGCCAGCTCGCCCTGGCTTCCAGTCAAACGTTCCCAGTGCAGCTCTTCGCCGAACAGACTCTCTTCCTAACGCAAAACATCAAATGCCACAAAGCTTTCACCACGAGATACGGGCACGTGCTCACTTTGCACTTCGTTAGAGCGGTAACGAACAACAACGATACCGCCTCTATAGAAATTTACGACGGATCCACGTTGAACCACAGGATTTTGAACTCATTTTCGATCAGGAATAACACCAGACCGCAATCGGTAACCAGCATCAGCAACCAGATATTCATCATATTTAGGGCGCAGGCTTATACTGAGACGGCTATATTTTTGAGGATAACTTCGGGGTTGAGAAAATCCGCCGATTTGAACGTCAGCAATTCTGACGTTTCTGAGAACGTTGGTAGAGGAATAGCCGTCGATAATCTCAGATCACAATTGCTGGTTTACAAGAGCTCGGTGTCTAAAAACGAGCACGTTGCCGGCGTTCACGTAACCAGCGGTGTAGGAGATGTAAACATCACGGAAAGTAAAATATCGTTTAACGAGGGCGATGGAATCAATGTTACCTACACCGGTGGCAGTAGAAACATATCCAGGTCTTCTATAAGCTCCAATAAAGGCTACGGAGTAGCGATTTGGCTGAACAACACTGCCGAGACTGAATACATTTTCGTGAATCAGACCAGCGTCGTACAATATTCGGAGATCTACAAAAATCTTGACATCGGCGTGTTGCACGGTAATTACTGCGGGAAAGCGTTGTTCAATTTCACGGAGAATTACTTCAAAAGTTGCTTGAACGATGCGCTCGAAGTGCTCTCTTGTTGGAGGCAAACCGACGTGTTGACGACGTTGCAAATCGGACACAACAGGTTCATCGGCAACGAAAGAATTTCGTTGAAAATATCGCCTGCCGTTAACTTGCAAGCCGTGATAGAATTCAACCACTTCAGGCAAGGAGCATTCGGAGGGTTGCTTATCAAAAATAAACCGCTGGAAGAATTTAACATTCTGAAAAACGACATTGTTGTCCAGCAGAATTATTTCTTGAACAATTCCGGCACTTACGTCGTGAATTTGGGATTGTCGCCTTACTCGGAATCTCAATATCTGTTGTTCACCAGAAACTTCGTTAAAAGCAATAAAATATCGGAACCGTTCCAAATGGAAGACGGTACAGTTTCGAACTTGAATCCCAGAAGTAGAGTGGCGGCTCCTGTTGTCATCGGTTCCAACAACATAGACGTGTTTAGAAACATCATCGAAAACCCGGAATCGAAATACGAAATAGGCAGCCACTTCGAGGACCAGAGCAAAACCATCAACTGCACGTACAACTGGCTGGGTTTCGGCAGCGACGAGAACATTTTCCACAGGGTGTTCCACCGATACGACAGGTACAATTTGGCCAAAATATCGTTCATTCCATTCCTGCTGCACAACACCAACCCCCTAACATCTCGAATCAACCCCAACCAATTCTACGTTCCCAAGTTCCTGACCGACGGTTCGGATAAACTCGGAGGCGAGATAGAGGGCGAGGAGCTGATAACGAGAGGAGAATACCACGTCGTGAGAGACATAAGCATCAGGCCCGGCGGGAAGCTCACCATCGAACCAGGCGTGACCCTTCGTTTTCCACCTTCCATAGGAATGATGGTGGGCGGCCGGCTGGAAGCGCGAGGCATCGCGCCCGACAGCATCAAATTCACGATGAAAGAGGAGCTGGTTCACACGCCCGACAACATAACTTACGAAGTCGAAACGGAGAAATACGATTCGGAAACCGAGCTCATCGAAATCGAACCGAAAGTGCCCATTCGATTGCTGGGCGGCAATTCCGAAACCGAGGGGCGGTTGCAGCTCAAAGTCGATGGCCAGTGGGGGACGGTTTGCAACTACGGTTGGACTATGGAAAACGCTGCTTTGGTCTGCCAACAACTGGGATATGTTTTAAATCCTGACGATTGGTAAGTTCAATATAGCCATTAACATTGCTCCTATCATCTAAAAATATTCTTCCTAAATGGTTAGGAAGATAAATTGGGAAGATAATACTCCAGCCTTGAAACGAAGTTATTATAGTCTTTTGGACTGACAAATGATTAATAAAATTTTCTTCTTACAGGAATTTAGAACGGAACGAAATACCATCAGCCGGTGCGACCGAAAGAGTGATCCTCTCCAACGTGCAGTGCGACCCCTTCGATTTGGACATTCTAAAGTGCCGGGCGGAGCGGGATTTCGAAAATTCCTGCGACCACGACAACGACGTGGGCGTGAGGTGCTACAGGACCTCCTGGGCGGGGATGCGGTTCAGCTCCTTGGCGGATCGGACCGATTTGCAGTTCATCACGGTCGAAAAGGCCGGTCTGTTGGATTACGCGACCAACGCGTTCAAACCCGCCCTGCAGCTGGACTTCGCCCGGCAGAACTTCGAAAACCTGAGGATCACCAACAACGATTTCCACGGCTTGGGGATCGTCTACTCGGACATATTTTCCGAATCGGTGAATATCATCAAGAATTCGGAATTTTCCAACAACAAGGGCGCCGGCATACACATCAAACAGCTGGGTTTGAACCTCTACAACAGCAAAATAGAGAATAACTTCGTCGGCATCGAGCACAATTCCGTTTTGTCGGGTCTGCAGCAGCGAGAGATCGCCGGGTGGTTCATCAAAAACGACGACGAGAATTACTACAATCCGTTTTTGATACCTCAGTATTCAGACACCAACGTCCTTGAGTTGCATCTGGGCGAAATTAAATATTTAGTTACGTCTAAAACTTTCGGAAACGATATAAGGAAATCTTATAAGATCCGCTGTGATCCTGGCTGGGTTCTAGGCATTCAGCTAATCAATCCTATTGAAAACCGAAGCACAGAGAATATTGTAATACACGATGGGTTAACTTCCACTGCTAATGCTCAGTACTTCATTTTAAAGCGAGATTTAACTCAATTCCCCGTTACTTCCAGCAGTCATGGTATAGTCTTGGATTACTCCAGTGGTCAAAACGCTGCTGGAGGAACAGTGCTGATCATAAGCACCGTCAGAGCACCACTTCAAAACGTTTACAACAGAATAGTCAAAGGGCCTGTGCCAACTTTAAGCGCCGTACGCACGGTAATCCGCAACAACATGTTCGGGGTGCATTCGTCCTTCTACAACAGATACTTAGACGAGCTCGGCAACCATTTCCTGCGCAAAGCTAACGAAACTTTGAAGTTTTTCGCTTGCGAAATCACGAAGAACACTTACGAGGCGGTGTTCGTCCATTCGCCGAATTGGGACCTGCATTTGAGCAATATATCCGAAACTACGTTCATGTTCAACAAGAGTTTGATAGTCGATAACGGGAAGGGGGTTTTCCACTTCTCCAGAGACATGAGGTCGTCGAATAATATATTCCATTACGTCTTCCAAGATAACACAATTGAGAGTAACAAGGGTAAGTTTAGTAAATTTTGTAGTTTTGTACAATGGTTCTATTTTCTTCATCCATTTTCTCTTTGGAAATGACTTTACTTTGTTCCTTCCAAAGGTGGTTAAGACCTATTAAATCTTGTTATTGAAGAGAGTAGTTAGGGCTATGTATTTGAGGTGGTTTGGAAGCAGCACTTAAATAAGAGGGTATATAGAGATAAAGCAGGTCCACTGAAAGTGGTCCAAAACCAGCATAGCTCTAGCTACTGAAGAGATGTCTTAATTTTTGCTTCAAATGCTTCTATTAAGTAAACATTTTTTCAGCCGGTGGATTCGACGTTTCATTGCCGTACGTTTGGCAATACAACGAAAATTTCACCCACTCGGTCTACATGGATAACAACACGTGGATAAACAATAAAAATTTCGAAGTCACGATCGACGGTCACTTCGCAGTGGTCAACATAACGAACAACATATTTAGGGACAATTACTGTCCCAACGGTCTGTTGACGTTGAAAGGCATGGAAAAGAAACTGAAGATAATGAACAACAGATTCCACAGCAACAACGGGAAGTACGTGGTCGAGTTCAGCTCGAACAGCCAGTCCGAAATCATCGGTAACGTGCCAGCGGTGTTCATGTACAACGAACTGAGGAACAACAGGAGAGTGATGCGCGGAAGGAGCGGCGTAGGAGTGATTCAATTGAACCACGATCCGACGTGCGTGGTGGCCTTCAGGGGCATCCAGAAGGTCCAGATCAACAGGAACCTCTTCTCCAGCAACGCCTTGGACTACCAGCTGCTGGCCGGCATCAAAACCGCCAAAATCAACAACTTCCTCAACGTGGCGGAGAATTGGTGGGGCACCAACGACGAAAACGAGATCAAGAACAAGATATTCGACTTCGACGATTGGAACGACCACGCCATAGCGGAGTACCGGCCGTATTTGCTCGACGATAACTTCGAGGCCAGCTACTCGGTGTCGTTCTCCACGAACGTCACGTTAGATTTGGATTCGTTGGGAGGAAGAATACACGAAGATGTTCGCCTGACGAACAGAGGTCGACCGTACATCGTCAAATCTGACATAACGATCATGCCGAACGTAACGATGACGATCTATCCCGGCGTGGTGATGGAGTTTGCTCCCAACGTGGGTATACTGGTGCTAGGAATTTTAAACGCTAGAGGTTACCCCGGTAGTGAGATCGTTATGCGGCCTATCACACCATCTGGAAATTTGAAACACGCTGGTGTCGAAGGATTTAATATTAGAGAGAAAAGAAGCATCGAGAAGCTGTACGGACCAGAAGCAATTAGGTGAGTAGGCGAATCTCTTATTTTACTCTCGAGATTAATGTTTGGTTTAATCTTACCAGGCTTTGCAAGAGAGCGGGTTGCTCGGAAGCCGAAGAAAAGCCGGCCAACGAAGGTTTCTTGGAGTACTTCAATTCCACGACGTTGCAATGGATCCCGATGTGCGACACCAGGTTCACCGAACGCAACGCGGAGGTGGTGTGTCGAGAGCTCGGCTACGATCCCTTGACCGCCTTCTTCGACTTCGGCGAGAGGATAGACTTCCACAGCAACTCGCTGACGAGGATCTGGACGTGGCCGGAGCCGCTGCAGTGCAAGGGCACCGAGAGCAGGTACGAGGACTGCCCCATCCGGCTGAACGGCCAGCAGTTCGGCCACAGGCACAGGTGCGAGTGGAACTCGAAGTTCGTGTTCATCCACTGCGACAGGGAGACGAAGAGCCGCAATTACTGGGGCGGCGTCCGCTTCGCCGACGCGGAATTCGAACAGCAGGTGTACAACCACCGGCTGCACGATATTCACACGCACATGAACTACCAGTCGTTCGAATCGACGTTGGAGTACGTTCGAATTCTTGGGGCTGGAATTCTGCACAACGAAAAATCGTCGGCTGTACAGAGTATCATCAAGAGCCCGAAAATAAGCTACGTGGACGTGAAGGATTCCGCGTTCCACGGCATCGACCTCATATCGCCTACGAACACCATGAATTTAATCAGAAATAACATCGAAAACTCCCTGAGCGTGGGATTGAACATACTGTCTCTATCGGGCGAAGGAAGAGAATCGGACGAATCGAGTTTTACGCCGCTAAGGGAACTCCAGATACCTTACAACCTCTTCAGTCTCGTCGACATTTGCGACACCCAAAAGGAGATAAGGATACAAGAGCGCGTGATCCTCTACTACAAATACGACAATCATCCGGTTAATTGCATCAAAATATTCCGGAGCGGGTACGACATCAAGCCGCTCGGTCTCAGGTTGTTGCAATTCGATCTGTTCAATTCAACGACCAAGTACGGAATACCGGATCTGCTCGAGTTTTACGACGGAGACATCTACAACGTTTCCTCGAAGCTCATCGACAGAGTGACGATGACCTCCAATAACGAGAAGAGGCTTTTCAAATCCGCCTTGCCCAGTTTGAGCGTGAAATTGTTCGCCAACGGAGCGTCTTCTTTGCACGGATTCATCGCGGAGGTGGTGACTTTACCCATATCTGCCATAGGTTTCAGTGAGTATACTTTTATTTTACAGGGGGAGATAAAGTTCGTACGTTTTACAATAACACTGTCGTCATAAGCCAGACTGTTGCAACGATGCCGGGTTGTAATTGAAATCTGTAACAACTTAAAAAAGACACAAATACTAGAATTTAAACATGAAAAAGAACATCTGGAGGAAATACGAACTCGCGAGTTATAATGTAAAAACTCACCATTACTATAACTATAACCATTTAGCTATAGCTAAAACTATTTAGCTATTTAGAACGCTCTTGAATCATTTAGAACTCTCTATACTCACTTAGAACGCTCCAGAATCATTTAGAACTGCCTGTAACCATTTAAAACACCCCATAACCATTTAGAACGCTCAAATACTATTTGGAGCACTCCAGAAACATTTAGAACTGTCTAGAATCATTTAGAACCATAGACCTATTAACTATGGACGCGGTTTAGACAAAGAGGTTGTGTTGTCGATGAATGAGAGAGATGCAGCTAGTTTGGGCATATGGTAATGAGAGATTGGACAATGCATTAGCCAATAGTAAGAAAGAAAAAGACCACGTGAGTTACGTTTTTAGAAATGCAAGGTAGTTGGGGTAGAGGAGGGTAGATTATGGTAGAATAGGGTTGAGGATTTATTATTTTTTTACCGAGCAAAATGCATTTTTTAGCCGAGCCTAAATTTCCACGCATTTGCAAATACAGTTCTTATTTTGTATTGTTATTTGGAACCTCCTACCTATTAGCCAGTACAGATTTCGCAATTTAAGACCTAGATGTTTTCTCTTGTAAAAAATATGTTTCTTCCAGGTCATTCTTCTGTCCAAGTGGATACCAAGATAAAAACAATATTTAAATATTAAGCGTATAAATAATTTAACAGATTAATCGCCTTTTTCCACACACCCTGTATATATTTTATATATTTTTTGGTCCCGCCTACTTTTAGCCCAAACTAGCTCCATCTCTCACGGACCTCTCTCTCTATCATTGGGAACGCTGAATAACCTCAAAATAACGATTGTGCCGCGTCCATACTTAATAGGTCTATGTTTAGAACGCTCCAGAAAAAGACAAAAATCGCTGGAAAGGTCACAAAACAACGAATTGTAGACAAAACGTGTCAACTTCAAATAGTGAATTTTTGCATTCACAATATGGCAACAACGCATATCGGCCATTCAACCGCGCTAGGTAAAATTCCCCTAGCCAAAGGCAAAAATAACATTGGCACTAGGGACATTTTGAACTGCCTGGAAATTACTAAAAATGACGTCATTGTCATTTTAAAACGTACGAACTTTACAGAAGAGTATTGTGCTACTGTTTCTGTTCCTAGTAGTCCTAAAAGTGTTTTTATTAATTATTTTATTAATATTTTTATTTATTTTTAGGTCGAGATGTACAGCATAACATATCGAGATCAGTAATAACGAATAATGGCCAGAGCGGACTTTTGTACATGGCTTCTGGAGAGGTGAATCCGATACTTACCATTGAAAAGAACCAATTTAAGAGCAATTGCCGCAAATTGTACGGGAATTTTACTACTTGCAAATCGGGATTGCAGATAGACGTGCAAAATACGCAAACGATTTACTTCAGGGTGAGTGTTCTCATTTTAAACAATGATTTATAAACAATTGAAACACCGATTGTATTGTAAAAGTTATGACCGGCTAATTTAAATTCAAACGTTATTTCTATCTGCATTTCATTGAAATTAAAGTGTGGAATATTTCAATGGATATTTCTTATTTGAAACAGGGCAACTTGGTCGAACAAAATCAAGGGGGTCTCGTAATCAAAGCCGATTCTAGAGGAACCGCCACGTCTCTGCGAGGTTACATTTATAACAATCTCTTCGTAAACAACACGAATTTGCCCACTTTGTACATCGAGGGTAGAAAATCGTCGCCCTATCAAGAAGTTACGATTTACAGGAATTACTTTACCAGAAACTTTGCGCTCTACCATAACAATATCGTGCTGAAGCACGTGGTATCGAATTTTACACAAAATTACGTCAAGAAGAACACGGGCATGCAAAACCTGGAAGTATCCGGATTCAATACTGTCAGGTTGAGTATTTATCAAACTACCACCCATAATGGATTTTATAGGTAAGTAATTCCCCTAATAGATCCTTTAGAGTTAATTGGTGAAAACAAATATTCTTTTCTTCAGTAATTACGCAGTGGAAAGAGATCGAAAGTCGACGGTTATTGCAGGAACAGCAGGTCAACAATACGTAGATAATATATTCTGGAATCCCGATAACGATTACGAAATGATAACTGTTAATAGATCTTTGTAAGTATTGCATTAATTGCACATTTTAGATATAACTTGAGTAACATTTATAGAAAGCGTAGATAATTATTTAGCGAACAATAAACTATAGGTAATTAAATAGGTATTTGCAAAAATATTGCGGAACAACATTTAGAAATTTTACTGCTTTTAATTGTAGTTATATTTAGGATTTAATGAATTTTTAATTGATGCATAAGCGTTATGAAATAATGTGTTAATAAGTAAATACCAATTTCCTAAATTGCATAATTAATGCATTTTTTTGTTGCATGGTGCATGCAGATTTGAATTCAACAGGTAAGAATTACCTTTAATAAAATGTGTTGTCCACCAAATTGCCTTATCCCGCTAAGTAGATAGAACCTACCAAAGTTATTTTAATTCTAAATTATTCCCTATTAATTAGTCAAAGACTCCTAATTCTTACTACAATCAATATTATATCTTCCTTTTTTTCTTATTAAACATTTATCCTGCCAAATTTTCTTATAAAAGTTCCCTTCCCACTTTAACACCTTTGTTATTATTAGTTTCTTATTACACGTTGTTATAATTCTGGTGAAAGGTTTCTTAAATGTTTGTGCACTCTGCAATCTTGCCAAGCCCTTATGTCTTACTAACATTCCCACTTTTATAGTACGTATCAACTGTGGGACGTTAAAATCGACGCATCGAACAATTACTGGGGCGTGAACACCACCTTGGCAGTTCGAGGAAGGATCCGCGACCAGAGCGACGATCCCCGACTGCTAGAAGTGGCCTACGAACCGTTCTACATGAACAACAAGACCATACTGGACGGGAAATGTCCGCCCGGATGGGATCTCGTAGGAGAAACTTGCTACATGTACATCGGAGCGCCCATGACTTTCTGGGAAGCCAAGAAGTTTTGCCAAGTACGTAGACTAATCCTTGATACTTCCGCCATATTCTTCACTGTGTATCAACGATTTGAGAGAAGAATATTGTTAATACGATACTATCTATTTCAGGACGATAACGCTTCGATGCCCTACATGTTGGGAAACCTGAACTATTTGCCGATATACGATTTCTTGAGAAGACAAGACGAATGGTACTTGTATTCGGATAAAGTCTGGATTCAGCACATTGATCACATCAACGAGTGCACGATTTTCGCCTATCAAAGCGTCGAAATCGAAGACTGCAACAGGAAAAGTCCTTTCATTTGCGAGATAGGTTCGTGCCCCACTATAATTAATCGCTACATAATCTAATTACCTTTCTCACGCTTGTAGATCCCAAAGTTCAAATACGAATCCTGCCACTAGCCAACGACGTTATTACGATATCTGTGATAAGTAGTATAGTGTTAGCCGTTTTATTAATTATAGTCGTGGTGGCTTGCTGGTGGGCCAAATCGAAGTTTAGGAAAGCGCAACGACTGGAAAGGAGGAACAGCATCAGGCAAAGCTTGCATTCGCTCAGATCGGTCGGGCTTTCGCAGGGCAGCTTTTCTGATCCTTCGTATAGGAGGAAAGGAGCGCAATTGGTAAGTGCAAAACGTATCCTAAATTTTACTAATTACACAGTATACTAGGTAATGTACGATTAACTGCAAATAATTGTGAGCTACTCGTTACTTGTTCTCTTCTGCTTTGATTTGCTCGTCTTCCCTTCCGACTTTAGCAAATGCCACTATCAGATTTTCGATGGACATGTACAAAATTTGATTCTGGATTTCGGGCGTTATTGACTCAAGCACGTTCTTCATAACGTATTGGACCAAATTCTTCTGATTTATCCTTTTATGGGCGTTAGCAACCTCCACGTGATAGTTTAGAATGTGTAAAACTTTTTTGTATACCGTCATTTGTCGTTTGCGAAATTCGTTTTCTAATTGTAGGTGAACGTTTTCACGTTTGGCGTCAACTAACATTAAATTACCTAGAATAAAAGTAAAAATCCCGATTATTGTTTACAGGCGTTACAATAACCTTACCTTGCGATTGCAATTGGTAAAGCTTCAGTTGCCTTATGTTTGTTTTAATAGATTCGATCCAGTCATTCTTATTCGTATTTATCGTGTCTTCATACTCTTTTATTTCTTTATCCAAATATTGGGCTACTAAGGGCCCGGCGTATTTAATCAACCCTGCTGTAAGTATCGCCATTGATACGCCCGTGTAATATTCGTGTTCTAGAACGTAGTACTCCTTACTTACTAAGAAAGTACCTAAAAAAATGGATTTTTTTTGAAGAAGCAATTGCATTGAAGAAGCACGACTGTGAAAAAGTGCACCAACCAGTCGTAAATAAGAACGTGCCGAATCCGGTGATCCCAGTCTTCGGTATAAAAGCTGTAAACCACTCTCTAGGAATAAAATGTAAAATTACTTCCCCGGCCTCCTGCCTTTTTAAACCTCCCTTCTTGGGCGGGGGTAGGTCCCACGGTTCGACATCTACATTTTTCTTCAACCTGTAAATAATCGATTCCACAGGTCTTGGTCCAAGAGGAATCGGAGGTGCATCAGGTTTAGGAGGCTTTGAAGGTGCACCAGGCGCAGCAGGTGTTGCAGGTTCACCAGGTTTAGCGGGGGCTTTCGATGCTGCAGGAGCTGCAGAAGCTGCAGGCTTCGAGGAAGACGGTTCAGCAGTTTTAGTATCTTTTTTCGCTCCGGAACTGTCTGTTTTGGTTTCTTTAGATTTACTGTCTGGTGGTTTGGGGTCTGTGGGTTTTTTATCGTCCGATTTGGAGAATTGCACGTAGATGTCTGAAGCAGGAGCAGAGTTAGATGGAAACCCTACATTTTCGTACATTGTATTTTTCAGCATATCATCATCGCTTTGATTTAACCTCAGTACTCTGTTGACGTTCAACATCCTAATGTTCTTTTTACCTATACAAAATAGATACATGAATATTAGGTATTAGGATGAAATGACAATTATTTTACTAACCATACAACTTGCTGCATTCGTGTGACAATTTGCTTTTCAGGGAAGCTTCCTTTTCTCTTTCCGTTGCACCAGGGTTACCTTCATCTTGTTGCTCGAAGAGTAACGAATCTGATTTAGATTTCTTCTCTTCTCGTTCATTTGGTTTCTCAGATCGTCCATCTGAATCTCTTTTATCGCAAAACGATTTATTCGCAACGAAAATTACGCCGCGAATCCTTCTCGTCGCCGCTTTTAACGAATTTACGCACTTCAATTGCGACATTTTTAATAATTTTTACAACTGTCATGAATATGCCAGTTTTTGACATTTGTAAAAGTGACATTAACATTTCTGTTAAGCAGTTAGTTTAATGAATATGTTTAAAATAAAATAAAAATAAAATACTATACTAATAATAAGATACAAGGCAGTCCAAGCTCCAACTGAGAGGATGGACTGATGGACATGCTAGGGTAGCTGTAGAAATTATATAATGAGTAGATTATAGAAGATAACAGAACTCCTAATAGGGCACTGCTGTCTGGGACCTCTTTAACCTAGGGTTAGAAAGAAGACTCCTTTGCAGAGTCTGCGGCATGACTGATAAAACATCAGACCATGTTCTCCTAGAGCTAGAGTGTCTAGCTAGGCGAATCTTTGAAGTCCCTGTTATGGCTCCTGGAGACATAAACAGGCATCCATTAAGGAGGATTGAGTCCTTCATCTATGCGTAAGCAGCAGGAATGGCACAAAATGGGCCCATCAGAGGCCTCAGTGCCAGAACCTTGGCTTGAGCTGTGTTTGTTAAGGACTGCGCCTTTAATTTAGTAGTTAATAGTACAAGTCAGGATACAATTTTAACAGAAGAAATTATTTGGAAGACTTGTAGTTGCATTTTTTTAATAAATATTTCTTATTTTTCAGAGTACCCGTTCCACAGACACCCTGACAAAACGAATGATAACGAACGGATCGCTGGACAGTATGGAGAAATCAATGTACGGATCGTCCTTAGAAGACAACCAATCCTACGAAGTATACGAATCTCAAACGCCCAACCCCACGTCGTTCTCGTTTTCCCCGTCGATTGAATACCACAGGTCGCCCGTGCAATACGAAAACCAATACGCCAAGCCCACCTTCGACCTGTCCTTCAGGAACGAAGGCTTCAGGGACAATTCCACGTTCGCCACGAATTCCAACTACCAATCTCGAGCCGAGAGCGTCCAGGACGAGGCGACAGAGGAGAGTCCCATCATGGACAAAAGCAGCGGGATAACCTCTTACCCTCCCAGCGACTACTACAACACTGACACCTTGCCTCTGCGCAACGACCCCTCGGATTCCACGCTGGACCTCAAGCGAGGCATTAAGGAATCCAACCAAGCTTACGACTATGGCTTGATGGAAGAATTGAAGAATAAAATGAGCAACAAGCAGAAGCCCCCGACGCCTCCTAGGCAGTATTCCTCGACCAGGCCGGACTACAATACTATAGCTCTGGCGCATTCGGAGCCGAGATCTCAATCGGCGGATCTGTTGGAGACTGATTTCGATGATATCGGTAAGCCGAAGCCGAAGCCGAAGCCGAGGGCTAAAAGTGAGGTGCTGTTAGAGACTAATTTCGATTACATTCCGCCGGATGGCAGTGTTGAATTTAATCAGCCCATCAGTGACATGAACAGAAGTCGGAGTCAACCATTGGAGACTGCTATGTGAGAAAATATAAGTAATAATTTGACAGTTTGGTGCATTGGAAAACTTAAAAGACTATTATGTAAAGAGACTGTTTTTTCCATTTGTGAAAAATGTGATATTTATTACGTACTATACATAACATACCTATATTATATAACATATCTATATTATATGGAAGGTAGCATTTTGTAAAAGTGTCCTTGAGCCCTATTTTTCCGTCCTTTCGTCTTTTTCCAGCCAATGTCTAATATGGTATAATTTACAATGAACTTTCACTTGTTAGGTGATATATTGCATTATAATTATATTATTTGCTATAATAACTGCCACTGAAATGGTTGTAACATTGTGAACAAACCTGCTTTTCCAGGTTATTTGTTATGAAATGAACAACAGTTATTGTGATACTAGGTAAAATAAGTTAAACCCCTAAGCAAGAGAGGGAAGTTTTTACTAGACCTTTGCTCATTAATAAATAATAGTATGTAAAATGGATAATATTTTATATTTATCATCACAGGTCACAGAATAACTAATGAAAAGTTGACTTAAATGAAAATTTACTATTTACAACACAATAAACTTGTAACAATTAAAAATTGGTTTATTAACCTGGCTCTCTCTCTTCGACTCAGGCAATAATTGTTAATTTCCTTAAGTATAGTTTATGTTACGAATGTGTTCTGTAGAATTAAAATATTTGGAGCATAAAAATTGTTAGCGTGTTTATATATGAAATTTTATAAAAACTCGTAAATTTTATTGTTGAAGTTGACGCGAAAATCACATTGGTAATATTGTTTAATTTAATATTTTTGCTACTATCCAGACTGAAGAGCATTGAATAAGATTTTTTTTAATTAGTTAGATATTTTGTACCAATTTTAGAAATCTGTATGTTTAGTTTAAGATCTCAAGAATTTATTTTGAATAAAACAAATAATTTTTCCATTTCTTCCAATGTACTATTTACACCAATTCGAATCCATATACAGGTAGGTGCAAAATTGTTTGCAATATGATCAAGGGTGCAACAAAGACAACTTTCATTAGTCTCATGTAAAGGAAAAAGAAAGAGTGATTACTGGAAGACCATCTGCTCAGAAAACAGTGGAACTGCTCAAGATGAGTATAGCAACAAATAAACTACAGGATTTATAAATATCCTTAGAAAGGAAAAAACAGAAACTGTGCTTACAATTAATTTAATAAATTTACAACGAATTTGAAAGAATTAATCAAAACGTTTATGATTTAACTCATTTAACGTCAACAGCAATAAACAGAAACCTGTATTACCGACTTACCATAAAAACAACCAATCTAACCAAAAATTCTTTTAAACTCGGAAAGTAACGTATTTTTAAAATACTTTAGAAAAATCTAATATTTTAGAAACATATTTTAAGATCCGCCCCTGTCCTGACATAAACTTACCTGAGCAGGTAACGAATCGAAGCCGGCTCTGTGCAATTTCTCCTGTCGCACAAAAGCCTCCTTGTTAGTTACCCACTACCCAGCCCTGAGCCCATACCCAAAAACCATTCGAATTTAATTACGCAACGACTTCGAGCCGAGCACGCTCATGAAATCCCTTTTATTTGTCCAAATTCCGAATCGCCACAAAATGCAAAAGCCATACATTGTTTTGCTGATTGCCAGTGCTACGCGATACGGCTGAGAGTTATGCAACTGTTCGAAGCGAGATAGAGAATCCCTAGGTGGGCGAGAATGAATACATAACAGACTAATAGGGGCCAATCATAGACGGCTTGGGACTTACCTCCTTTGTCATCAATGGGCTACGGACGAGTCCATTAGGGTTCGTAAAGGAGGGGAACGGTGATTGTGCATTAACGTTTTATTAAATATTTCGATTTGAAACGGCAAATATTTGTCGAATTTTACGTAAATTCGCGTTTTCGAGTAGTTATTTGCGTTAAATCGGTGGATTGTTGCAGGAGTCTGCGGTTTGTGATAAAGGTATTCGTAGTGGCTGAACTTGATAGTAATAATGGGCCATTCCATAGTGTAGTTCAGCTGACTTCGTATAGTGAGTTCCGAGTAAAGAGTAGTAGTACGGCCGGTATTAAGGTAGGCGGACGTTTCATAGCTATGCCAACCGGTTGGAAAAAATTTTCTTCGGTTTAGGCTCGAGTGCGACGATGAAAATTAGTGTTTCCGACGAAATTCAGTGATCAATCGAAAAAACGAACGGTATCAAAGTGGCGACCAATCCGGGAAGTCGATCTCGCAAGGAAAATATGCTCAAATTTCTAACACACAAATTAAGAACTCATTCGATTAATGAGGATAATTACGTAGGAAAGGTTCGTATACGCCGACTTCGATAGTACATAGTGTTTTTTTTAACCTCGGTGAAGGTCACTCTGTGTGTAAAGTGTATGAAAAATGGCTGCTTGAAAACCGAGAACAAAGGAATGTTGATTTCTACGTTTGACAGCTTTCGACAATTAACTCAACTCTTTCGCATCGTCACGGAGGCCTTTATACTCGCTTCACGTCCTACCTTAAAGCTATATACTCGCCTACCTACCTTGCTAATTTGCCTAACAAATTTATTATTTTGAATTTGCCGGTTCTTGGGAAATTTTCTCAATGGATAATCAATGTCTGTCACTTTTACGTTACCTCGATATTTACACCTAGTTTATTTATTTATTTTTTTTTTTGTTGAACAGGCCGACGAAGACCACGACTCCGGTACGGAATCCGATGAAGAAATCGACGCTACAATTTCAGGTAAATCTTTCTCTAAATGTAGTTCGTATTGACGTGTTGTGCACAGGTGGAATGGAATTGTCGTTGTCCAGTTAAAGCTTTAGGCGAAACGACCGATTTCTGTTCTAAAAATAAGTTATTTTTTCGCCTTAGCGGAGAATATGCCCATTATCCCTGTTGGAACTAAAAATAGTCGACGCAAGAGACTTCAATATAACGTTACTACATAATTTTATTACGTGCAAATGTAGGTGCAATAAAATGAGCGAGTCCTTCATTTCACTTTCAGTCCGTTTTTAGGGCACTCCTTTTTTTATTTTACACTTCGTATGAGTTTTAAAACTGGTTGTTTTTATTAGATATCCAGCGTAATTTTGTTACTTTCTAATCGGTTATTTTACATAATATATGAAGATAACGAATTATAAATAATTATCTACAGTGTGAGTCACGTTCGATGCGTTGGAACTATCCAAATTCTCGAATCAACATAATTTATTCATCAGATGGGACATTCTAATGTCTATACTAAGTAGAAGAGTACTACCCAGTTGGACAAACGCTCCTTAAAAATGATGCATAATTCTAAAATTTTTAATACTTCTTCATCTTAAATTAAACTAGATATGGTCCCGTTGCACTAATACTCATCAATGAATAATGAAGAATAACTTCAAGATCTAGTTTGAAGAATTCTTCATATTCTGTTAGACGTCCAGTTCCACAAATGCTCTTCAAAAATCGATAATTACTAAACATTATTCATCTTATATTAAACTACTGTCCAGTTGCACATCAAGATGATGAACCATTATAATCTCATTAATCCCATAAGTCCCATCAATCATTCATCACCTGAGATCTGGAATAATATTATCAATGATAACTATTATTTATAAATTGTTCAACTGTTGAAAAAATACTGTTACTGTTAAAATTACCATCACCAAATAAACTAATGTAAACATTAATTCTGGTGTCTGTGAAAGCTGGTATTCGACGATAACATTATACACATAAATTGCAGCTTTCCACCACATTTTGGTGCGAATATGTTATTGATAATTTTACTGAAACTTATAATTTACAATCTATGTATAATAACTGCACTATATTGACGAAAATACAGTGGCAATTGAACATTGGGATATATTATGTACTTATTTTTTATTGCATATTCCTATTACTTTCGAGATGAATGAACTCGTATTCTACTTATTTTTTTAATAGTAAGAGGTCAATCTTGTGTGAATATTAATTAAATTCTAACAATTTTAAGAGCTCCAACTTGATTACATCACCTACTCTTAAATAATATACCTATAGTTTTCACACTTCTTAAAGTGATGTTGTATTTTATCGTAGATGAAACTTGATTGGTCGAAGAGGCCACTTTGGTTTGAACCACTCTTTATAAGAATTTATATTCTTCGTATTACCGTTACATAATTAGTATCCCTTACAATTTTTCAAAGCTTTTTAGAATTTGAAACTCTCTAACAGTTATGAATTTGTATAACCTTCTACGCTTTTCTAAAAAGATGCAATAGATAGGAAGAATATCTCAAGATAGTATGTACCCTTTTCCCCCTAGTCCAACTTTAGGCCTCCAAACTTTGGAGACCGATATGGCCCGATTTCTATTCCCTTTGTAGGTAATTCCACTAAAACAATTCGAAAAACCACTAATATTCAACATCACTCATTTTAAAAGCATTTACAATTATTTATTCGTACTTAAATATATAAATTTTTGCAATGATTACGACATTAGTTCACGATGGCAATCGTAAGAAAATCGGTAGGTAATATTTGTATTTTATTAAAGCACTTGAGAGACTCATCATGTTTAATTCGCTTATGGAGTAATAATTTTGGAAAATACGCGATACGGTCATGTTACAATCTTAATTTTATGTTAAAAATACTGTTTTCAGTACTTCATCGCATTTTATATTTGCTGAGGGGAAACTATTCGCAGTTGAATAAATAGGTACAAATACATATTTCTTATATTATTTATCGATGAATATGTTCTGAAGAAAAGCTAAATGAAAATTCCTTATGGATATAAGGAAAGCTACAAGAAAGAAGCAATTATGATCCCATGAATGATTTTTCATTTGAATGCTCTTGGAAATTCCGTATATTCCGGACTATTATCATGATACAGCATCCCATAAACTTAGTGATGTAATATCTCTACATCCTCAATTAGACCTATGGAGATTTCATCGCAGAACTTGATTTACAGTGTCGTATAATTTACTGATATCCGCACCTGTGATGCTCTAGAAAAACGACTTTACGGAAGCAACTACTTTAGATATCAATTAGTATGATTTGAAACTTATAAATGATCTGAAATGCCTAATAATAAAATATAAAAAAAATCATTCATTGTTATATTACCCATATATTTTTACGTCGTATTTAGTGTATTTACCTATATCTTATTACTCTTTGATATTAGTGTAGGTATAGCAGAAATAAATTTAGAATTGATTACTTTATCTTTCTCCTTAGGAAGCTGATATAACAAGAGTTTTAGATAAGTCATTGCAATTAGTAGGTAGCTAAAACTGAAAAATAAAAACAACTCGTGCGTAGTCTACAATTTGCAATTCATGCAAATGGCTTACGATAAAAAAAAGAAATTTAAGTAGCAAATAGCGGCAGCTTTTCTTCCTTATTTTTACACCTACTTATATGTCATATTCAAAGTGCATAAGCCGAGGCACAGGCATAATAATTGTTTACATACGATATCGGAATATCCTTGCAAAGTGAAAGTGTCGTTTCATTTTTATTATCAAACACCTATAATACGAGCAACCAGAGTTATCTCAATTTTGTGCCTTATTTACTGTAAAATAAATTTTATCAAAAAATTATGGCTGTTTAACCAATGTGACGTGTGAAATTCTTTCACAGAAAATTAAACACTACAAAATTTAAAAATACTGATTTATGGCATGAAGTTGTTGTATTTCTTTTATTTTGTATTTATTTAACAATTCGAAATAATTGCGAAACGTTCTAAGATATCTGTTATTTTTGATTTGTATGACCCACAATCTTTATTGTTATTGAATCATACAATGGAAATTTTCTCCGATTGAAAAATACTCTTATATCAATATACTATACATAGTATGTTATAAATAATTCCTTAAATATAATATGATAGCTACATTTATTTATGTCGTTATAATACATCAGGTGGTGTATGTTGATTTATTCCAATGTATATCTAAATATAACCGAGGGTATAAGTAGATAACATTAGATATATAAAATGAAATTTACAGAATATTTTAACAGTTGATAAATTTTTAAGATTTTTAAGTTCTGTATTCACATCAGTTCAAAGCAAATTTCCTATTATTTACTTACATTATTAGTTTAGTTTAAGAGTTTTGATATAAAAAATATTAATATAAGCAAAACAAATTTTGTATTTTGATATGTTATTTTTTCTTATTTTGGAATTACCTAATATTTCACCTACGTTGCATTCGAAATTGTTGTTTACTGATTAACACAGTTTGTTTACATATTTTGTCTGGATTTCGAATTTAAAAGATAGTGCAAATTTACGAAACGAATATGAAGAGCGATTGGCCTATAACAAAAAGCTTCGATAAGAAATGTTATTTGAATTTTAGAAAAAATGTGATTTTCAAAATACAATAAATAGAATTTGGATCTGTAGATTATTACTTTGTAGTAAATTCGTAAATAAACTGATTAGAAAATTCTTCATCACGCCAATGACTTGACTAAAATGGTCTCCACGTTAAATTTAAAAAACAACTATATTTTTTCTTTTGCACATGCAAAATTTGCTTTCTCAAATGTTCTTCCTCGCTAACGAGTAACGTAATTAATTTCCATATGTGCAAAAACCATGAAGAATAAATAAATATGGTATGTTTCTGCGAAAATTAAAGTATTTTTAAATATTTCATAATATGTACATATCTACATTTTTTTGAAAGTTGTTACACATAAAATAGGCTTATAAAAACTGAATGCATGCTTACGAATAATTTAAATGCTCCAATTCTAAAAGCACGCTTTTTTCAAATATTTCAAATAAACCATGTTTCATTATTTTAATTAAGTTTACGTGAAATCAATATTTATGAGAATGGCAAGTATCGAAACGAGAACGCTGCACAATTTTTATTCTCTAACTACTCTAACATACGAGTATTAATTCGTTTTATGGCAGAATATATTTTCAGCTGGTTTGGATTGCCAATTTAATAGCCGTGTCTGTTTCATAACCATCACATGGGCATTTAAGTATTATCGCCATTACAACCAATTTATAGACATAATTAACATTATACATGCAATCGAGTTTGTGTGCGTTCTGTTTTTATTTTATAATATAATGCATATTTATAATATTTTTTACATAATTAATGGGATACACTGGAACTGCAATATTATTATTATTATTATTCACACAATATTTAGGTCATACGGTATTTATTTAATTCTTGTTGGACAAAATGTAATTGGGGGTCGAATAGGTAGTTTTCATTTGTGTAGAGGTGATTTATGTTAAAGCAATTTAATTTGTTCACCTCATTTGTACCTATAGCTAGTTATTCAGCTAGCTAGACTTCATTTTCACATTTGTATTATTAACTGAATCGTTTTACTTACCAATGATAAATCCAATCCATTACCTGTAAATCAGTTTCCAATTATTCCAAGCTTTCGGTACTACAATATCTGTATTTTGCAGCTCAGACATCAACGTCGGAACGCATTTGTACCGTATCCCCGGCGGATACGGGATGTTCCATGGAGAGCCCAGCGCCAGATCAACAAGACGCCCACAGCTCCGAGGAGGAGCTGGAGGTCATTAATAGCAACAGCAAATTGAGGCGGGCGGTTGCTCACACTCGGCCTCTTAGAGCCGCCTCGGTTTGTCTCGCAGAGAAAAGGAAATGGTCGCAAATCGGTGACGCTCAAAACCGAAGGTAGATTTTCAAAATTTTGTATTCCCTAAGTACTTACAATTAGATAGGATATACATATTGCCTGGTGGTGAATTACCTAACTGCTGTAAAGATGAGATTGTGTGGTTTAAAAATAATATGTCAATTATTTCAATTGAGTTCTTAATTAAAGTCAATGATGGACTGACTAGATATTGTGAAAATACATCAGTCAATTGCAAGAGATTATTTATTGTAGGCAATTACTTTACACTGACGTCATCTACCTGGTACGTTTATTAAGCATTGTGTTCGTAAAGAAGACCTTTTCTATTCACTAGGAATAGAGGAATTTTATTTTGTACTGATTTGCATTGATTATTTGGTCTCGAGCATGAAAAGTATTCTTGTTTTTTAGGTATACGCCTGAAAATGAAGAGAATATATCTCATTACAGTAATTTATCTCCTTCGCCTTGTTCTCCCTATCACTTAAAATGCTGTAACAATCACGAGGAGGGAGTTCATCTCGAACATTCTGGTTCTTCAGATGAGGAGGTAATGGATGGTAGAGTGGAATAATAAATACCTAAAGACTAACGTGCATGTAGAGAGAATGTTTACACATTGCGTTTTTTAGATGATGCATTTTCTCCAGAACTGTCTGTTTTCCTGTTTAGGTTCACAATTTCTTAATAACGAGGACGGCTCCTGTACAATTTCGCACGTCCCCGCCATTGGAGGCGGTCAAACCAGAACGAAGATCTGTCGCGAATAAAGGGAGATCTATGAGCCCTCCCGCTAAACTCTTCCACTACGAGGATTCGCCTAGGAAACGATCTAAACATATGAAACACACTCAGAGGCCGTCACTCGATTTTGAAAAAATGCAACAGGCAAGTACCCTTTCATTTAAATACACCTATGTTCTAAAGTTTGGAATATATTTTGTAAATTTTTCACTCCAAAAGAATAAATCTTTTTTTTTTGTTTATCTGGCTTTGAGATTTATTTACTATTGGTGTGATTTTTAACAAGGTGTTGTTTAATTGTTCAGAAAAATTTATACATACAAAAAAAAAAGAAATGAAATATTCCAAACTTTAGGACATTTGTATATTTTACACTTATTACACCCAAGTGAAGTAGTATTATAAATTTGAATACTTGCTACCCTAACTAATCCGCATCGTAAAATCAGAGCCATCAGTTACCTCCTGGATAGAGCTTTGGGATTTTAATGTTTAATTTGACAGGCGTAATGTAGATAATCAATATGGTAATTTGTTATTAATCAACAAGTCGGAGTGCCCTTTTGGCAGGCGAAATTTCGATGATGCGCGACGGGCCAGTAAGCGGTGAGCTGCGAGTGGATTCTTATATTGATTCGGAGCCGGGCTAACCAATTGGCACGGAAAATTTATTTCCAATTTGTTCGGACGGCCGATCGCTCGTGCTGCGTTAGTTGGATACTTTTTCTGATCGATTCGAACGGTCGTTTTTTGCGAAACGGCGCCTTCTGCTTTGCATTTAACAGCGGGCACTTCGAACTGCTGATCAAATTGATCTTTCTACATCGGTAATCTTGTTTGTGGTCGCTCCTATTTGCCTGGTTAATTCGAAATCCTTCGTGTGTTTGAATCAATACGGTTCGTTTCTTCGTCTTGTGAAAAAATATATTAAGGATATTTTTAACACTTGAGCGAAACTAAATTGTTATAAATAAAATAAAGCGCTAACGTCCTTTCGAACGAGATTCTTAAAGTGTACTTCTTTTAATTAGTTTTCTCCCATTTTTTCGTTTAATAAGGAAAAGTTCTGGGAGTCTGAAACCTCAGAGAAGCTCAAATTTAACAGCGCTATGTATAGTTATACGTTAAGTAGGTGGGTATATTTATCCCGAAATATAAAAGTATAAGAAAGCGGAGCGGCTGTTTTTTCTTCGTTTTTTGTCATTACGGAGTATGAAGTGGTTTAGTATCAAGGGATTACTCTAAAAATATGCTTAAAAATGAATAATTATACTCCATGGCAATTAACGAAACTGATCATAAATATATCTACTAATTAAATTTTTATAATAAGTACTTTAGAAAGACATAAATTTCAATGACTTGTTTTTTGAAAATAAACGATTCAAAAACAATTTGATTCAAGAAAAAATAATTGTTTATACAGTATGTACGAACTGATCCGCTGCAAGCATATAATGAGAATAATGAGATAGCTAATTTAACTTTTGCTATGTAAGGAATAAAGAGAACATACGAAATAGTCACGCCCGCTATCCCCGCTATTCGCTAGTGAACGAAGCGAAGCGAATTGACGAATTCTAATATCGGCCGGCAACCGATAAACAAGTTTCTGTTCTTTACTATCTTGTGTACACCAAGTGACAACCAGTACGGCTTCCGACACAGTCGCTCAACAGGTGACCTGCTCACCTATGTTACACACATTTGGACAAGTGTTATCGAGAACCACGGAGAATCAATAGCGGTCGCTTTAGATATATCTAAGGCCTTCGACCGGGTTTGGCACAAAGCACTGCTATCTAAGCTGGCATCCTACGGTCTGCCCCAAAAACTATGCGGACTTATAGAGAGCTTTCTGCATAGGAGACAAATTCAAGTTGTGGTTGACGGTGCAACTTCAGATCCTTACTCTTTGAACGCTGGTGTACCTCAAGGATCGATTTTATCACCAACTCTATTCTTAATTCACATAAATGATCTTTTAAATTCAACCAAAAACAAAATTCTCAGCTTCGCAGATGATAGCACTCTCATAGCATCCACTACAAACAAGAGACCTGTCAGTGCATCTAAATCAAGTCGCCAAAGGCTCTTGCAAGCTGAGTCCATCAACAACGACCTTCAAATTATTTTGAAGTGGGGATCCGATAATCTGGTTGAATTCAACGCCTCCAAGACCCAGGCAACCATGTTTACAAGAAAGACGTCCTCCGTCATACCCCAACTAGCATTGAATAACCAAACAATTAAAACAACTAATAAATTACATCTTTTAGGGGTCAGCATTAATTCAAATGCAACCTGGCATGAACATGTTTCCACCATAGCTAAATCAGCCGCCCAGAAGCTTAGTTACTTATTTCGTGCCAGAAAAATGTTCACACCAAAGCAGCTTCTGTTACTCTATAAGGCTCAAGTTCGTCCAGCATTGGAATATTGCTCTCATGCTTGGAGTTCTGCTCCTAAGCACTCCTTGCACCTACTAGACTCCATTCAAAAAAGAGCAGTGCACCTGGTTGATGACCCCTCATTAACCTCTAACCTTCATACACTAGACCATCGTAGAAGGGTTAGCGACTTAAGTCTCTTTTACAGATATTACCACGGAAGGTGTTCTGCAGCCATTGCTTCCATTATTCCACCTGGTGCTCACTTTGGACGTTCTACAAGGCTAGCGGAGAGCACACACCAGTTTGCCGTACACATTTCAACAGCTAGGACCTCTATGTATCAGAAATCTTTTCTGTACAGAACCGCGACACTATGGAACACACTACCATCAGAAGTGTTCCCAGTTGGTTACGACCTTCAGAGGTTTAAGACCAACATTAACAATTACCTACTAAAAACGCCTCGGGGCGCCTGAACAGGCGTTATAAGCTTCGTCTTTTCCCGAGTCGTGTGCATAAAAAAAAAAAAAAAAAAAAAAAAAAAAAAAAAAAAAAAAAAAAAAAAAAAAAAAAAAAAAATCTTATAGTATTGATTGAGATTCTAATTCTAACGCTTGCAGCGGAAGAATTCGTACACTCTGTATAATATTTTATAGTGACTGATTTCAAATTTTCATTCATAATTCTCAGCCTGCTAAATTCAGTAACGATGTTTTAATGCAATCAAGTTTAAATCGATCAATTTCATTTTCCCTTCTCAATACTTGGATAAAATGCTGTATTAATTACAAAATGAGTGAAATTAAATTAAAAAAAATATCGGTATATCTTTTAGACTACCGTCGGTATGAAGTGTTTCATAGACAGAGTCCTCGAAATATTTAGAAAGCGCTCGAAAAACCCGCCTGAAATTTCACAGCAAAGCAACCCTTAGAGGAAGCAATTATACGGTTTCCTTTTTTCCTAATTTTCTCCGAAAAAAAAAAGAACGATTTTTGCTGGAATCGTCCCGCCCGCCGCGCTCCATGCCAATTCATTCTTTCAGTATCGTTACTTGCCGTTTCGCTCAAGTGGAAAATATTTTTCGAGGAAATGAAGTTTCGTTCGCTCCGAAAGCCGTGCAGCTGACCATTGTGTGGGAAGCGTGCTTTCACGAAAGCGTTTGTGTCGGGTAGACTTGAATCTCCGTTTTGGAAACGAAGCCATTAAAAAGAATTAAAACTGGATTTAAGGGTGTATTTGTGCCTGCGAAAGATGCCTCAGGGTGCAAAAAATAACTCTTATATAAAATGAATACGTATTGGTGTGAAGTAAAATATGTAGAGGTGTCGAAGTTAGTGATTCTATGATGGTATTTATGATAAAATTGCCACTAAATTATTTAAAATGCAAATTCCATCAAACTCGCAAAAAACACTGGAAAATCCATCCAGTTGCATCTTAAATTAACACTTTTTTTAAAAAATTCCTATACAAATAGGGACTTAAAATGTTTGAACTAGCAAGTGTCCATTCAACGATTACAATAGTTAATTTGGCCAATATAGTTTTGTTTTTACACTCCTGAAACTAATATAAATATAGACAATAGCGCCGATAGCTTTGTGTTGTGTTGTATAAATAGCAAGTATGTAGATTTCCTCTCGGTAGTGTCCAAGTAAAAATATGAATGAAACAAAGCAAACGACAGGGAAAAATCCTTGCTCATTGTCGAACGTTGTCATTGGCACGGCGGCTACGATCGACGAAAAAAAAATTATTCACATCGTGACATCAGGGTCAGATCGGAACATTTGAAGGTGAAGGTCAAATAAAGGAATAACACGCGAAATGAAAACTCACAAACTGGTTTTATTATAGTTACGTTACGTACTTACCTATACCGGTCAGCGGCGTTTTCGTTCGTACTCTCGTTAAAGGTAGGACGGGCAAAATCGTGCTCGAACTATCGATTTCGAATGGCCTTTTGTCCGCCAGCCTGTTCGTAATTTCGTTTTTGATTAGTTTAATTTGACAGGTGCTGCAGAATATGTCGCACTTTTATGCAACTACTACCTCCACTATTTATTAGATAATTTTCTAACTTGTACAGGGAGGCTCTAAACGGGTTGAGATTTTTCTTATGATGTCTTGAAAGTTGAAATTCCCTCTTTGAGACTAGGTAAATAAGTAAACCTATCTATTATGAACCTTTCTTAAAGCAGTAAATCATAGTCGCACCAATAAATGAATAGAAAGTAGGCACTCGTAAATTAATAATTTGATAAATAACAATTACCTGTGATACCGAGTATACGATACCTGCTATACTGAGTGGCACTACTAGAGTAAAATTAACATTACTATTAAAAATTGGCAAAAACCTTAAAGATGTTCTGATTGAGTCACTCGTGCTGTCTGTTGCATACAAAATTATCATCTCCTGATTGCGAACGGAGCATAGATAATATTTAAAATAAATTGGCAATTTTATAGGGCGATTCTATACTAATCTGTCATTATAATAAACACTGATAAATCCATTCTTAGGTAGAAAACTTAGTGCACAATTCATAGACTGCCCAATTTATTTAAAAAATCCAAAGCAGTCGGTTGTTATTCTTATCTTATAGTTTAAATAGATGTTTAAAGCGCAAGATAAGAGTAATCCGTTATGCAACATTTATTAAATGTAAATAAATGGTTATCCAAAATGGATCTATCTACATATGTATGTTGAAGCACTTCATTAAATATTAGAAGTATTCAATGTATCTCAATGTAAGAAATATTTATGTATCTCCTGATAGCGAACGGAGTATAAATAACATTTAAAATAAATTGGCAATTAAATAGGTCGATTCTGTACTAATCTGTCAATACAATAAACGCTGATAAATCCATCCTTGGGTGGAAAATATTTTCTAATTTAGTACCCAATTCATAGACTGTCCATTTTATTTAAATCCAAAGCAGTCGGTCGTTATTCTTATCTTATATTTTAAATAGATGTTTAAAGCGCAAGATAAGAGTAATCCGTTATGCAACATTTATTAAATATAAATAAATGTTTATGCAAAATGGATCTATCTGTATTTTGAAGCACTTCACTAGATTTGTGAATATTTTACAGAAAGAAGAAATCTAACACAAATATACAGCGTGTTCCATGATGACATTGTAGTAAACTCAGGTTGTTGCATATAAAATATGCTTATTCTACTACAACATGCTAATAATTCTAATACAACATGCTAAAAAACTTCATATGTCCTAAACCTAAAATTTATTATTTTTTAATGTTAGCACACCGGCTATTGTAGTGGCAGCTTACAAATGAATGCATTTATTTTTTTTATGCAAAACGTAGAGTCGTACAGAAAAAAGTCAAGAAATCAAATTTGTTCTAAATTGCATGAGGATTCCGAAAATAATTTTTACGGACGGACGCCACTGCTGAAAATAATAAAATTATATGTACATCAGAAAATGCATCTTAATTTATAGAAGATGTGTGCCAAATTTCATAAAAATATCTGCAATAGTATCACAGTTATTACAAAAAATTGATTTTTTTCTTAAAACTTTAACTCCCTCTCATCCTAAAAGTTAAGACGTTTAGGAAATAGATTCATATTAAGTTTTTTCCTTAAAATAGGTCCAGGATTTACCCCCTTAAATATTAGCATGTTATTTTGGAACACCCTGTATTATAAAATAATACTTGAGCTACCGCATGATTCACATACAGAAAAATGCATAATAATTAACATGAATATAAATAAATGCATTAAAACGACACCTCCTTATCGCGCACAGCTTGGTTGTCGAATCCTTGAGATATCGAAATGGGTCAGATACTCTAAGATTCGTAATTTCAAATAAATTTTTTCGTAGCTGTTTAGTAAATATGTATTTTTTTTTCAGATGAAAACTAGATCAGTAACGGCCTGGCACCAGCCCGCCGATCATTCGGGCGAATTAACAGTTTATTGTTGGTGAGACCAGCTCAAAGGGCGATCACCGTCGCCCTGCGGCTCGAGCAAATCTCCTAAGGAGGGCAGCAGTCCTTCGCCGTCATCTTGGCCAGATAATTCTTCGTAGTCTGCTGATGTCGACTTACTGCATAACCAAAACTAAAATGACTAAAAAACTAAAAACGATCACTGATTTAAAAGAACGGTGATTGGAAATTGTCATATAAGAATGTTTAAATTTGGCGTTTTTGGCCGGGGGCCCTCCGGAAGGGCCTCTGAGATACCGACTCTACCGAATATTTGGTAAATGTCTCGCAGGAGATGTTACTTCAAATCCAGCATCGAAACCTTATAGTTTTATACTTTTTTACTAGCTGATAAATAGAAAGCAATTTTTCAAAAGGCACGTTCTAAATATTCAGGAAAAGCTGCGTACGCTATTTGATTGGATTTATTTTTCTATTTATCGAAGGAAGCGGCCCTGGAACGTCTGGAAGTTTTCGGTTATTCCAAATTTTTGCAAACGGGGCTGCCCATCAAAAATTTAAGTAAGAAACATATTTTTATATAAAATTACTGATTAGGACGCGGAAACGTTGTGAATAAGGATTTTGAACGTTTAAATATCAACAAGTCGGTGAAAAAATGTTAAAAACAGTTAATTTGTGATGTTCGCTGCCCAAAAAAGGATGGGACCTATAACAGTGACATCAGAACTCGTTATATACTTTTAAAATATTCAATTTTAAATGATTTTTAAATAAAAACTGTGAATATATATTTATGTTTAAAAAAATGGATCTCGATATTTTCTATTATTAGTTTTATTTCGTTTGTAATTGCATCAATTTTAACAATGAAGGATTTTTGACAGGACTAATACTTTAATAATTATCAAATTAACCCTTGTAGTGCTAGCACGAGTGGATTTAATTGGCCGCATTTCGCCAAATGCAGAAAATTTAAAAAACGGGTAGTTTTACGAGCGGTTTTTTATTAACTCTAAAAGCAAATCGGTTCTTATCATAGAGCCAAATATTTAACGAAACTGCCCAAAAAACTGCCCTTTGGCATTTTCCTAATTTTCTAATCGCTTTTGTCGACTTAATCAAAATAATAAGTGTAGACATAAAATTAATGTGAACCGTTGTAAAACATGTAGAAAACAAATCCGAATGATGTAATAAGGACTTTTTAATGAATTAAAGACTTTTTTAAAAATTGTGCGGAAGTGAATAACCAAGTGAGAGATGTAGGTATCGTTATATTGTACGTGTACACTTTTTGTATTGTGCTTATACTTAATGATGAATTACATCGATTCTGTTTTAACAAGATTTCGAACGCCAATTTGGAATGGAAATCCTGATATGTATGATTAATAAGTAGAGCCTGGAGAATATGCAAAATGCATGTAAAGTGCATGCATGCATATTCAAGAATTCAAAATGCATATGCAAAATTTTATTTTGCATTTTCCAATATATTTTGCCAATAAATAATTAAAATACGTTAAATTTAATAACAAATAATAAAATAAGAACGTTAAAAATTACTTGCAAATTCGGGATACTAAATGAAACACCCAATGCGCATTCTGAGAACTCTTAGTTCTGTTTTCTAAACGGTTCTGAAGCATTCTAGCGTTCTAAATGATTCCAGACAATTGTAAATGATTCTGGAGCGTTATAAATGGGTTTAGACAGTTCTAAATGTTTGTGAAGCGTTCTAAATGTGGTTGTTTCCAATTTTTTTCGTCGAGTATAAAGGCATAAGTGCATATTTTGAAGGTTTTTAGTGCATATTTTCCAAGCTCTATTAAGTAATGTAACTGTACCCATGTGCTTGTAGGGTACAGGTACTATACAATAAAAGTTATTTATTGCATATTGATGATAGGAAGAAGCGCACGAATTAACAATTTTCGAATGACTATTAATTAGAAAAAATGCAAAACATGGCAAATAATTCAAATTGTTTGTTATGCCAAATTTTGTACTTACTGATTGTTGTAACTTATTCTCATATTAAAATCTTATTTGCCATGATCTGTTGTTTAAAAAGACCAAAACAGGAACATATCATTATAGTCAATTTTATGCACTACACGTGTAAGGTTTAAAATTTTTAGAAATGGTTCTAATTTTGAAATCAATAAATTGCCGGTTCTCGATTCGCTTCTTTCGACTCGATAGTCAATTTTGAATGTGCAATAAATCACGAATTTATATCACATACATAGAAATTGGAACTGAGCGATACATTTAGGTACCTATTAAATTAGAAAAAAAATAGTATCCAATAAAAAATACATATTTTGTATAAAATTGTATATTTATAAGTACGCTTAATGAAGGTATGTGTGTACACACAATGTAGCAGATAAACGTGAGTGAAAAGGTTGTATAATCGAAATTACAAATTAGATTATACTTTAAAACAGTGCAAATATAATTTTTAATTCTAAAAGTTTATGTTAAATATGATGATAAAACATTTTTGTAGTGTGCCTCATTTTTGGTGTGATTAAACAACGTTGACCATTTCTTCTATCTCATAGAAGCAAACGTATATTTTAAAATCGTGTTAAAAAGAGGCGGCATTATTGTACCAGTGATAAACCAAATGGGATATGAAAATTTTTTTGCTTGAAGGTTCTCGGCAGGATTTCGAAGTTTTTATTCATATTAATCTAACTACTTTTAGCAGGGTAAGTGGGTATAGTTTTGTTGTTCGGTTGAAATCCTGCGCTGGTCATACCTTTGAAATTTTTTAATCCCATTTTTTAACAAAAAAACAAGACTTAGATTCCTAAGTATTTTTGCACATGTGTGCAGTTTGTGAAAAACTTACTTTCAACTATTTGTGATATAAACGTAGTCATATAGAAATCATTTTTTTATTAATGGGCCACCGTTTAAAATCCATTGAAACTGTAATTTAAACAAGATCACAGTAATAACAATGATTAATTGCGTTTTGAAAATAGAAATTTACTGTTGCCCACATACTGTTTCTATATGCCTATAATCGCACATATTATTAGTAATAATAATGTTAAGTTTTTAAGTGTTTTTTATTATCGAACATTTTCGCCCAATAAATATTTTATATCATGAAATTATACTTTTTACCTTTCAGAATTTCCGATTGTTTTAGGTTGCCAGATTTCCATCTGTAAAATACATTGTGATGCCCGGCAGACTATCGCTAACCTTGAATTATGGCTCTTTTTCTAGTACATCCCTACTGTTTAAAAAACTGTCACAAAATGAAATAGGGTTTGGGCTGTAGGGCAATATCATGGCATATCTATATTTCATTGCACTCAAAAAAAATATAGCTCTATTAGGAACCGTTCAATAAACAAGTGGTATTTATATTAAAAAAAATCGACTTTTTAATGAATTTGACTTTATTCATAAGAACATTACTGCAGTAATTTTAACGTGTTTCCAAAGGACTGTAAAATTAAATTATAGGTAAAAAAAGTAAATTTGAAAAGCTATGTCTGCAAGTAATACTGGCAAAAACAAAACAAAAAAACATTTGGAATGAAACATATTCAAATAATTTAATCAACTTCTTCAATGGTCGGTCCAGCACCGCCACCAGCGGCACCTCCAGCACCAGGCGCGGCACCGGCTCCCGGGAAACCAGGCATGCCTCCAGCAGCACCACCGGCTCCTTGGTAAAGCTTAGTGATGATTGGATTACAGATGTTCTCCAATTCCTTTTGTTTGTGTTCGTATTCTTCTTTTTCGGCCAATTGATTGGCATCCAACCAAGCAATAACCTAAAAGAAATAAATCGAATTAATTAAACAATTCGTAATTAAGTTTTTGTGATGTTAAACGTACCTCATTGCATTTCTCCATAACGGTAGTCTTATCGGTGTCGCTGATCTTGTCCTTGATTTTGTCGTCTTCCATGGTGCTCTTTACATTGAAGCAGTAACTTTCCAAATGATTTTTAGCCGCAATGGTCAGTTTCTGTTTCTCATCCTCGTTCCTGTATTTCTCGGCATCGTTAACCATCCTTTCGATGTCTTCTTTGCTAAGGCGACCTTTGTCGTTGGTAATGGTGATTTTGTTCTCCTTGTTGGTGGATTTTTCAATAGCAGTCACGTTCAAAATACCGTTAGCATCGATATCGAAGGTGACTTCGATTTGAGGAACACCTCTCGGCGCCGGCGGGATACCGGTAAGTTCGAATTTTCCTAAGAGATTGTTGTCTTTGGTCATTGCACGCTCACCTTCGTATACCTAATCGAAACAATTTTAATTAGAATAAAGCAATTCGATTAGAATAAAAAATTCGTTCATTACCTGAATGAGCACACCGGGTTGGTTGTCGGAGTACGTGGTGAATGTTTGAGTTTGCTTCGTGGGAATAGTGGTGTTTCTTTTAATAAGAGCAGTCATGACACCTCCAGCGGTTTCGATACCCAAAGATAGGGGAGTAACGTCGAGCAACAACAGATCTTGAACTTCCTCGGACTTGTCTCCGTGCAAGATGGCGGCCTGTACGGCAGCACCGTAAGCTACGGCTTCGTCGGGGTTGATCGATTTGTTCAGTTCCTTGCCATTGAAGAAGTCTTGCAAGAGTTTTTGTACCTAAGATAACAAACATTTATTATACAAGAATAAATTAAGCATTAGAAAATCCTACCTTCGGAATACGGGTGGAACCTCCAACCAACACAATATCGTGAACTTGAGCCTTGTCCATCTTAGCATCTCTGATGGCCTTTTCTACAGGTTCCATTGTAGATCTGAAGAGATCGGCGTTCAATTCCTCGAATCTAGCCCTGGTAATGGACGTGTAGAAATCGATACCCTCGAACAGAGAATCGATTTCGATGCTAGCTTGGGTCGAAGACGACAGAGTACGTTTCGCCCTTTCACAGCTGGTCCTCAAACGACGCAGGGCGCGCTTGTTGGACGTAAGATCTTTCTTGTATTTGCGCTTGAATTCTTGAACGAAATGGTTGACCATTCTGTTGTCGAAGTCCTCACCTCCCAAGTGAGTGTCTCCGGCGGTAGATTTTACTTCGAAAATACCGTCTTCGATGGTGAGGATGGACACATCAAAGGTACCACCACCCAAATCGAAGATAAGGACGTTCCTTTCGCCCTGGCCCTTTTTGTCTAAACCGTAAGCGATAGCAGCGGCAGTGGGTTCGTTGATGATACGCAAAACCTATAAAAAATAGGTTGTTATGATTCGTTCCCAAAACATTTCATTAGTTATATTACCTGTAAACCGGCAATGGTACCGGCGTCTTTGGTGGCCTGACGTTGAGAATCGTTAAAGTATGCAGGTACTGTGATAACAGCGTTGGTGACGCCCTTTCCAAGGTAAGCTTCGGCGGTTTCCTTCATTTTCGTCAACACCATGGAACTGACTTCTTCGGGATAGAAAGATTTGTCTTCGCCTTTGTAAGCAACTTTAATTTTGGGCTTGCCGCCGTCGTTGAGTACTTCGAATGGCCAGTGCTTCATGTCTGATTGTACGGCGCTGTCGTCGAATCGACGCCCAATAAGACGTTTGGCATCTGCGCGATAAATATCATAACTTAATGCAAATTCGAAAAATCTTACAACACGTAAATGCGATTTAAATTAACTTCAGATGTTAAACAAATCATAGATTATTCATAAACTCTAGTCTGGACAAATATAGGTTTTATCATCATGTTACGATTACACAACATTCTTATCGATTCCTTATCGAATACTTACCAAAAATTGTGTTATTGGGGTTCATAGCTACTTGGTTTTTGGCGGCGTCTCCGATAAGACGCTCGGTATCGGTAAAAGCCACATAGGACGGCGTGGTCCTGTTACCTTGATCGTTGGCGATAATTTCTACTTTACCATGTTGGAATACACCCACGCACGAGTAGGTTGTACCCAAATCAATACCAACAGCTGGAGCTTTAGCCATCTGAAAATAAAAGGACTTACTATAGAAATTTTAAAATGCACCACTTTCATATAAAAACGTCGCTAAAGCTTATACGTTCTAAAAAGACGATGGCGTAATTTTTAGTAATTTCCACGCTGTGCAACATTTCCCTAGTGACAATGTTAATTCTGCCATTTGACTAGGGGAGTTTTATGGCGCGCTGTTGAAATGCCGATGCGTTGTTGCCATATCGTTACTCTTAAATTTCCGCTCTTTGTAGTTGGCACGTTTTGTTCAGTTATTCAGTTAAATTCAGGCACATTCTATTAAATAAATACTCGCAAGCTCATATCTCCTGATTCTCGTTTAAATTCTACTATTTATGGCCCGTATTCAGCGCATCACTTTAACTTTAGCGTGACTCTAAAGTCGCGTCTCGAGTCCCTATTTATTCCATAACAATGTAAAACTGTCAAGTTAAAGTGAGGCGCTGAATACGGGCCAATATATCTAATATCAAGGCAAATTCAAATCGGCAACGTTGCAACAGGCTGGTTCTTGACGTCATTGTCATTTAAGAACGGTTAAACTTCAGGTAGGCCATGAAAATCTAATCAAATTCAAGATACTTTTCGTATACAGATAACTGCAAAGATGTAAACAATATAGTCTAAATGCAACAAAGACAACTTCCATTAATCTCATATAAAGGAAGAAGAGTGATAAGGTATATGCATAAAAAGATATGCGTAGGAAGAGGTTTTGCTTCAAAGACCCTGCGGTTGCTTTATAGCAAAAGGTTTCATGGTTTTAAAACCTTTAAGGTTTTTAACATTTTTCTTCCACCTTTTACTTCAAAGTAAATGCTTCATTTTTATAAATATGGACTATTGTGAGATTACAACTCTTTCACTCTAATCAGTGTTGTATTAATCTTTCCTTGTTCAACTCATCGGCCATATTGCAAACAAAATTGCACTTACCGATATACATATCGATATTTCAGTAAAAGTAAAAAATAATCGATACATGTGCATGTAATTGTGTTTATTTTTTGCAAATTAATGACCATAATAAAAATTCCAATACGAGATATAAGAAAATAGGACGTCATAGGAAAATACTGGAAACATTCGTCAGTAATCAGTAATCCTCATTACTAAAATTAACACTGGAATTATAAATTAACTCTCAACATGAGGTAGACTTGTGAAAAAACGTTCAAATACGCAAGTATTCAGTAACATTAATTATGCACATGCAAAAAACAAATTTAATACCATTATCGTTTCGTTGCTAACCTTGAAACGTGGTATCTGTTGAATAATCGGAATTCATCATTTATTAATTATTAATGGAAGATTCTAGAAAATTCCGATTATTTCATTACGCATACTCTACACGAACACGTCCTCTTTTAGAATACTTCAATAATCATATACAGAGAGTAATAAAAGCACTAATAGCTAAATCAATGAGAACATGAAACATGTGCCCCACCTAATACCCAACGCTCTAATTCTAGCGCAAAAGAAACCAATTTATACCACTCTCATCACCTTTAAAACTTAATTCCAACAAACCGACTCGTTACTTCGATCGAATAAAAGAAATTCTAACGCCGAAGCGAACCCTCTTCCTGTTACATAAAACGTGGGAGATCAAGCTCAAGAATAAACGAGTTAAAATCTTGTCAAATTTGAAGTAACGTAAACCATGGGAAACCCAACGAAGATATTGTAAAAACCCGGTTAAAAAATGCAATTCTCTTACCTTAAATTAAATAGTTGCAGACAATACTTCTATAAATACTTAAATTACGTGTATACTACAGCAACGACTGCAATCAAATTGAGGGAAACGAAGCAATGGCCGGTTATATACGAGGTCAAAGAATATTCTAGAAAACGGCGCGTCAGCCAATCAGGCGCAAGTCATTGAACGGGTTCGTGACCTGCCATTGGTCGATTGAGAGGTGTCTAGAAAAGTCTTGGGCACTTCCGGTTCGTTTAATTATCATTTTTTTAAGAAATGTCTGCATTAAATTCGATTTTAGTCGATTGGTAAATGCTATTTTGAATTTAAACGTATCTGTGAAAAACGGGGGGTTATAAATTCGAAATCGTTGCGAATTGCGGCCGACGCGGTTTACCACGTGCACGGCAGTTTAAGGCGGGAAAATTTGAAAATTCCGCATTAATCGATTTTTATTCAGAATTCGCTTCCGCAAAGGAAGCAAAAAATAGCTGATCAACGACTTTAGCTTCTCGATTTGGATGAGTCAATGAAAGTCGTGTTGAACGGATTGGGCGATATAAAAATGAGTAAAGGACTACTGGTTTCACGGACGTTTTCCATTCAATTGCAATTCCACAAAGAAAGATTATAGTTTTTTTATTAATCTTTGTTTTATTTTCTCGTACCTCGTACGTAGGTGTATATTAATTTTTTACACACAAATCTGCATCGCATGCCAATTCAACGTCGAGATCAAGAACATTTGGCTATTTTTATGATTTTTTCCTGTAATTCATTATTAGAGCAACCTTAAGTTTTCAAAGAAAGGTCACATCCATGGATACTTTTTCTTTAGGGTTTTTAAGATATTTTCAACCTCTTTGTCTGCCGTTAATAAGGACTGCTTAAGCCGGGTTTTTTCTTAAAAAATTTTTGATGGAAAAAAAAATATTTAAGCATTGTTTTTTAATGAAACCGTTCATTAATACTTGTGGTAATTTGTAGGCAATCATAGACAATAAGAAAACGATGATAGGAAAGTTTTTTTTCTAAAAATATAACACTTTGTATCTCGAAAACTTTAGGACATATACAGGGTGTTTTTGAAATAAGTGGTCAAACTTTGAGAGCAAGTAGAGAACCTTAAATTATGACAAAACCTTAAATATCACTTTATAGAACACCCTGTATTGATTTTATTTCTTCTAAAAATCATCCAAATATTCACATCCTGAAGTATCGGCACTCAATTAAATAACACCCTGTATAGTAACTGCTAATTTGTTTGCAATATGGTCAATTCTATGAGTTGAACAATTATTAAAGTAACCAATTTGCACTTAATTGTATATTTTTTAAATTAAACCATTAGATTAAAACAATTTAATCAATCATTGAGCACTGGCTCTATTTTATGCCCATTAATTCAATGGATTATTGCACCCTGATCTTGACGAAATTCTTTAACCCTTACAGGACGATTAAAAATTATTTTTTATATAAAAACACTTGTATTTGTCAAACATTTCAAAATATAATACTCTTTAATAAATAAATTACATGATAATGTCGATTCAAGGTACACGTGTATCAATAAATTAGAAATCTAATGATTTTGTATGCCCTCCGCATCCAGATATGTCTTGTTTCTTGGAATCTGAATCGTCATGGATATCTAAAACAAAATGAAATTAAATAAAAATGATTGTCTCATTATTTCAATTTAAATAAGTAAGCGTATTAGTTGTAAAATTGTGATAAAATGACAAATATATGATAAAATTTAAAAGTTTTCCAATACTGTACACAAATAAACCTTTCTTATATAGAAAAACAAAAACATATCGGTTACACAAATATTTACGCGAAAAATAATTTTCCTACTATGGATTATTTTAACGAGACTGGTTTATGAGAAGCGATATTGTTCGATTTCATGGAAATTACCCCCGGGCTCTTTGAACAGCATACTTAAAAAATATTTTATATAATACATACCAGTCTCAAAGTAATACTCGAATACATTATAAAACTCTAAAACAAACATTATTAATTATTTCATTATAAATTCAACAAATCAACTATTTTTAGTCCGTACTTTGAATTAATATCTATAATAAATTTACGAAAGGGAGGTTCTATATTCTATAGTTCACTTTAAAATTCACCCAAAAGTTAACTCAAAACATTAAAAACTCTCTTACCAGGAGGCAAATGTAGAACATCTATCGAGAACTTTTTCCTCCTCAATTTAAAAGCGTACTCCATCGTTCCCGGATGTCTCGAAGCCAAAGAATTGTTAGCGGCCAATTTCGTCAAGTAAAAGAACCCTTGATATTCGGCCAGACTTTGATTGTATTCGAGTTCTGTGCCACTGAAAGCTTGCAGCCTCATCGCAATATCACTTGAATGGATACAACGTTCCAATGAGATCTAAAAGAAGGTTATGGTTAAGAATGATCAATATCTAATAATGAAAATGAATTATGCAATGTAATAATTGTCATAATTCAATTGCATGAACACCCGGTATATTCCATTTGTTCTGTCTATTATTGTATAACCATTGCAAAGTTTTTTAAATTGCCACTCTATGTACACATGTTTATGTTATAAATTACTAAGCTTAATTTCTCAACAAGTAATTATTCAATTGATTTAATAATAAGTTGTAGTCATTTTGCTGCATTTGAAATATTCTTTACTTAGTCAACATGTAATTAATATTTTCAAATAATTCCATTTTAACAGAAAACAGGAAGCGCATTTACAAATTGTTTTTGTTTGTTCTATGACCAAATTTTTAATTTTTTGTTTTATTTACAAGCGGGCCGAAAATTATAATCAAATATTTTACGAGTGTTCAAAACCTTACTATTGTTCACATAACATATCGTATGGTGCATTTCAGTTTGCAATATGGTCATTTTTATGAGTTGAACGAAGAAAAGAAGCAAAACCTTTTATTAAAAAAAGTGAAGAAATTGCTTCAAGGTATATGCATAAAAAGAAGTGAAGGAAGAGAGGTTTTGCTTTGAGGGCCCTGCTGATAGTCATAAATAGAAAGCGGAATTTATCCGTGGGATAATTTTTTTAATTATCAACAACAACAAAAAGGTAGTTAACCTAGAGGCAAATTCCACTATCCAATGTTAAAGATTCCGGGTGTAGGCATCCAAAACAAACATGACAAACAACAAATTAATTATTGCAAATTGTTTTTTACCACACGCATATGCATAAACCGAGATCATTGGCCAACAAAGTAAATTTTAATTCACACAAACAAAAATTAATATCGCATAAGCGACGAACCGATTCGTTCCTTATCGTTATTTACCTCGTGATACAAATGGGTAGGAATGGACACGACGGCAACGGCATAGGCCGACCTAACTAACGCTCTCAAACAGAAGATGAACTTATCCAGGTCCCTGGTGCTGTCTATTGAATGGAGAGACTTCCTATGCGGCAGCCACATCGGCGAGCCCAATGAATGAACGCCGATCCTCAGTACGGACCGTTTCTCCGGCGAGTCCTTTAAGTAGAACTTGCCGTCTCTGATTTTGTTGCGGATCGATCGGAGCAGGGCATTGTACGCGGGATTCGAGTATAATCTTGTACCTAAATCATATACTTTTAATTAGATTATTGATTATACTCCATGTACAAGTAGAGGTAAATTAGTAAAATCATATGATACATTTTTGGGTGCCGGTCTACCCTTCTGTATCTGGTTTAGTTTGCGATCTACCCAAGTTTATTTCATACAAAGTATTTATTACAACAGCAAGATTTTAAAAATTGACCCTTTATTAAGCAAAACAAAAAAACTGGTATTGTATTATTTTTGGATTTTTTTTTCGATGTTTAGTTCAGGGATCTCAGAAACTGTACGAGATAAATAAATTTAAGTACACTTGCAGTTTTGTAAGACATATGCACAACCAGCTTCAATTTTGCAAAATATGACACCTGTCAAAGTATTTAAATATACTTGGGTAGACCGCAAATATTATGGTAGACCGCCTACTAGACTGGCACCCATTTTTGTATTAATGCAGGGTATCCCCCATAAGAACCGATACTAAGTAGAGGCTTGGATGAGAGCCCAAATTAAAAGCCCCCAAATTGACCCAACTTAGCTTAACCAAAGTTACATTCTTGAGAAAATATAGTTAATTCAAGTTTGCTGTATTAAGTTAAAATTCGATTAAACAACATATTTTAGGCTCCCCTACACTCCTCCAATCTGTCGGTTCTTATGTGGGACACCCTGTATACAAAACGGAATATATTGAGGCAAAATGTATCGGATTAATAAACGATAAATTAAACTCTATAAACACGACATTGATCGGTAAACAACAAACAATTTAACAAACATACCATTTTCAATTCGTTGCCCTGTCCAATAACATATATCAGAATTTTCGATATCACTAAATGACATATTTTTCGACAGATCATACAAATGGCCTATGTGCCTTCCACGATTCTTGGAACTGTCGCTAGTTGGTAAATTTTGGTACCTGAAAGCTATTTTCATTTTATCACTAATTTCGGATATATTAGAAATCTCTGAGGAATCTAAATCACTATCGATCACAGCAGGTAATTCTTTGATCTGAAAAAGATTAAAATGCACACATTAAAAATGTAATTTTCTATAATAGAATGGAAATCCATCCGCAATACCCAGCAGAGATCATGCAAATAATGTTACAATAATTATTACTTGTTACACTATAATGCAAATAGCCTTAAATTATCCATTATAAGGTCATTCTGTCGTTAAGGGCGATTGCATTATGCTAATGCTGAGTGTTATATTATTAGAGTAATTTTTCCATCGAGACTTTGATTTTATTGCGGGAGATTTACTTATTGAATAGATAAATATCTAAAAGAAATATTGAATACTCACGATATTGGAAGGATTTACATCTTGACTAGCTATTAAAGTTGAATGTTTGGAAACAATACCTTCAGCAAGGAAATATTTCATAATTATTTTAGAATAAAACCCGTGAAAATCTTCCTCTGCAAAAAAACATTTTTTGATTAATGACAAAAAAACAAAGTTAAGGTAGTAAAAGTGAAAAAAAAACAATATTTCGTCGATACCCAAAAATACAACACAAACAATACATTTTCTAACTTTAGCCTAATTTGCTGTCGCAAATAAATTAGTTGCTATAACAGCAAATTGGTCCATTATAAAATTTATTTATAAAACAAATAAACAATTTTTCGCAATGCGATATCTGTTATCAATATTTTACACCTATTACGACCTTGAAGTGAATCACTCGGTAAAAATTGGCCGCAGTTTCTCCACAGCAACTAGGCAGGTATGCAAATCCTGCGATCTATTTATTTTTTATTGTGTCGTATTGGGGAATATTTTAACTATATGATTGAATAAAGTACCTACTAGCGAATTAAAAATTGTTACAATTTAGAAGTAGAATTTAGAATTAGTGATAAACAACCCTATATATTTTTACAACCTTCTACTCTTATCACTAAACAGAAACCTAATCAGTTTTATCAGTAATTTCAGATTTAAAAAATATCCGGCTTTAAATCCTTTTGCTTTTGAATAAATATGTAACACTACACATATTTTCAACCTAAAAACTTTAACGTTTACACAAGTTAAAACTGAAATCGATTCCTTCAATGATAGTAAAATTATTTTGTTATTCAAATTTTTGAGCATAAAAGCAGTAACATATATTTTGAATTTAAACATTGTAACAGGACATAAAAATAAAAAATATACAACTCATGCTTTTTGAAACATTACAATAAGATTTTATAAAAATAGGATTTATTTGGAGGAAATTGAACTCTAGTTGCTAACTAAATAAACTTGAATAAATAATAATTTACATATCAGAAAATGATTTGCACCAATATTGACCTGCTAAACTTAGACAAAAATAGGTACCTAATAACCTAATATGATAAAAATTACTTTTCATTTAATTTAGAATGCATATAATTACACTAATCACTAAAACTATATCCAATATTAACGTAATAGAAGTTAAATATTTGTACCAAAACAATTCTCTAATAAAAAGTGGGTAATTTTTTAATTTTTTTAACCATACCAAGCAAATTTCTTGGTACATTTTGTGGGTAAAAGTACAAATTATTTCGAAAACAAGATTCAACTTGTGCAAGTACTTTATTCCAGCAAAGAGACCACGTTTTTCTGATGACGCAATTTTAAAGTTAAGATAACCTCGACAGAAACGTGTCTATAATATTACCCATTTATAATTTTATCAGTACGAAGTGATTCATGATTTCCATACTTGTGTTGATAATACACCTACTTTTTATATGATCCAATATTAAAAAATGTCATCATTTTTTTACCTGATGATTGGACTTGTAAAATAATTTCAACGTATAATACGAAGAAAATTACAGTAAACTTACCGATTAACATAACAGTTCCGACCGGTATACCACCTCCTGTAAAAGGGAAAATAGGTAATTATAACTGACCTTACTTCATTTTATACTAACAAAAATTACGTTATAAATCTCAAGTTAAATGCCAATTAAATGTGATCGATTCAACTCGAACTATAACCATCGATTTATACTACTGTAGCTAATTGAGAATATACACCTGAAATATTTGATCAATTATTTTTCCACAAAAAGAACAAAGGAACTCAATTTTATAACCTCAAAATACTCACCTAATAACGTATCCAGCGATGGTATACCAGAAGAAACGAGTAAATGTCCATTTTGGGAACTGTATGCTGTTCCCGGAATACTTTTTTGAGCTTTCTTTTCCATCAAAATACGCAATTTTTGATAATATCGCCAACAAAATCGCGGAAAACTTGTAACTTGCACTTCCTTTTTTTCTCCTTCTTTCCTTTCTCTCGTTTGCTTGTTCCGCTTTCCCTCAACTCGACGACTCAACCTTCGACTGACGAGTGACGAAGATAATGGACAAATGAAATGACGGCGACGGAGACGAGACGAATCGCAGTTCACCATTCAGCAACCGCAAATCGCACGGAACGATAACTAAATGACAAATAGCAGCTGTTGCGATGTTGCGATCTTGCATTGTAACCATTTTTCTTTATTAAGCGTTTATAATGTAAAAATTTAATAAAGCATTTTTTGATGTTGTTGTTTAACTCTTTTTTTAGTTAATTATTCATTTGTAACATTTCTTCTATATATCTGTTAGTTTAGGATAAGTGGCTGATTGTGACATTTGTACAAGACCATTATGTGCAAAAAGGAAGAATTTTAACCCAATTTTAATTTTTAATTTCTTATAACCTCAATAACTGTACTACTGTACAGTGTATATTTTTATTTTAATAATATATTAACAAATAGTAAACAAAGTTTATAATGTCGCTAGAGAAAGGACGGTTCAAAGAGATTCCCAAAGATGCTGTAATATTAACTAAACCACAAGCTATAACGTACCAGTATAAAATATTAAATAATTGGCCGCATTTTTCAGATGTGTAAGGAATAATAGTAATAATACTATCTATTTCTTCAACTATTTCTACATTTTTTTCCAGATGGGGTTTTAAGTACAGTAGATACCTATTAGCTATGTCAACAACATTCTCTAGTATGTATATCAACAATTATTTTAGGACTAAATTCAGACTATTGAATTACGGTCGTCTTTCTTCGTATCTACCAATTTGTGTAGTTCCTGCTGCAATGTCAGTTCTAGTGCACACAGACGTAAGCTAATCCTTCTTATTGCATGTAATATAATGTGCTATATTTAATCATACATATTTAGTTTGTTACCAGCGAACTTGTTGTCGGAGGTAATGATACATGTCCAGTCTGTCTTCAAACTAGAGCAGCTGCTTTACAAACGGCTGTTGGATTTCTCATACCGTTTGCTTTAGCACCTACAATGGGATTATCAGTAAGTATCCTCCACAAATAATAATCAAGAGACTCGGAGCGTTTTCACATGGTGCAATAAATTGCTGCAATATTGCATTGCAGTTAAAATACAAGCGGTCAATGCAATATTGCACCCTGTGAGGCACCCAATAAGTTACAATCCCATTATTAATGTTACATTTCCTGATAATTAACTCTTTAAATTTTAGCTAGTGCATCGATTTCACACAATTGATATGCCGTACATAAGTAAGGAGCCTAAGAAAGTTTTTAAAATCATCGGAGGTCATTTTGCTAGGATTAAAAATGCATCGTTTGGTTTTTTTTTGGGACATGCTTTACTAGCGAGTATTGTAACACTATTGGAGAGCAATTCTGTCCATAAAGTAAATATGAGCTTAATAGAATCCATTGAACAAGTCCAATCAGCAAAACGTTAATTAATGTTGTAATGTTATACTAATATTGTAAAATATTATTCAGTCTAAAAAATGGTACAATTCATGAAAAAATTATTTTTCATTTTAAATTCGAGTTGTTTCAATATTGACATAAGACCTTCAGATATTGTATGTAGTAATAAAATTTTGTAATATAGGAATTGTTGTGTTAATAGCTTTTTTTATCCTGTTTACCGAATTTTTATTTATACATTTTCCACTGTATTGTCTTAAAACCTGTAGTTATTATTTCAATTTTCGATTGTTATTCCAGTGCTTTGAACAATAAATACAAATAAGTTACAAAATGGATAAACATGAAAATGAGTATTTCTATTTTATTTCCTTGAAACATTTTGATATTCGACAAAAAATTTAAATATCTTATTTTCGTTATTATTTAATTAACCACGTACTACATACGTCAAAGGCCTCATATATTGTATATTGACGTTTATAATAAAGCAAGGTTATATTTTATATTTCTTGAGAATTCCAGATACTGTTTGAATCAATTGGTGTTATTCTGAAGAAATGGGAAAGTTAAGTTTACAAATTAAAGCCACCCTGGAAGGTCTTGAAGAATTATATACAAATTCTCCAGAATACCATTATTCGTTAAAAATAAAGTGCTCGAACTGTGGCGAGGAATCGGGTAAATGGCACGATGTCTCTGAAGCAGTTACATTCCCTGGAAAAACTGGAAAGTCGGAAAATAACTTCGTCATTAAATGCAAACTGTGTGGACGAGAAAACAGTTTAGACATAATTCCTGGAAGTAACGGTATTAATCCAAAATTCAAATTCGTATACAATTTTACCAGCATCCTATGTTTTCAGGAAAATACACTAATGAAGATTCGGGCAAATATAAAACAATCATAACATTCGACTGTAGGGGGATCGAACCTACTGAATTTACCCCAGGCGAAGGATGGATTGCGAAAGTGGAAGAAAGCGGGAAAGTTTTCGATAATGTTGATTTAACCGAAAAAGAATGGGTCGAATACGACGAGAGAAGCTCACAATCTGTAGGTGTCTATGAATTTGAATCTAAATTTATCATTTCTAAGTAATCATATTGAGTAGAGTTCACTTTATAAATAATATGTTACAGAGAAAAAGGAGAGGGTAATGTTGCAGTTTTTCATACCATTTTAAACTATTTCGTCCGCGATGTTGCCAAATGTTAACTGTTTATAGTTTTAATTATTGAGTTTTATGTTATGCTATTGTTTTATGTTATACTCTTACGTGTCTAAACTACAACATTACCCAGGAGAGAGTTTAAGAGATTCAAATAAATATAGTTCTATTGTTTATTGCCGTTTTTTATTTGAATCGCTGACGAACTAGCCATGAAGGGGGCCATTAGGCAACCTGAAACGCAGGCCGTTGGAATCCCATTTGCCGAAGAATAACCAACTACTAGAAATAATATCCTAGAGCATCCTAGAGCACACTTATTAGTGAACTCTGGCAGAAAAAATGACTTTACAACAGCGGGAAAATTACAGAGGATTCTATGATATAGTTGGTTACGGGGCTAAAAATACCAGCCCGCAAACACCACGCAACAACAATTTATTTGAATCAAAAAATTTCATTACTTTAATACAACAAATTTTCTACGACATCGATTCACTCGAACTGAATAATGATAATTAAATAAGTGGTAACGGATGTGAATATGGTCGCAAGTATGAACTGATTTATGTTAAAAAATCCAGCAGCGGTAATACCAGGTATTAATTTATCCATGAATTTCGTCACTATTTGTACGTCGTGCCTAAAAGGTGATTTCTCTAAATGAATCAAATTTTTGTAGCAAGTCGATATAACGTTTTCCGCACTTTTTCCTATAGAATCGCAGGACATTATTAGCACAACTACAGTGACCTAAAATTCGAAATTTTACCAAAATATTACCTAAGTAAAGAAAAACACATACCACATAGTAAATTGGATAGAAAACTCCGTGGAGCAAATAAACATGAAAACTATCCACCATATAGTTTTCACCTATAAACGTTAGAAAGGCAGAATTAGCGTGGTTTAATAGCGAGAAAACAGTACAGGTGATGATCAGAAATATCTGCCATCCGAAAATGTTGTTAAACTCGTTAGAAATCGTGTACAGATTTTGATACATCGCAAACACTTTCTTCAATTTCTCCTCCCTCATTTGTTCAAACGATTTCAAATGGCAAACGGTCGGTTTTCTCAGAATACCTCTGATTATTTTGCTCAAAAAATCGTATCTTCTTCGAATTATTCTTGCTAATGCGCACATAAAAATCAATTCGAACAGTTCATAGTATTGGCATACTTTTTGGTAGTACAAGACCGATTTAGCCACATACAAATTTTGTATGTCGTAAATTATAAGGGCGAGAAACATTAAATGATAAGTCGCAATCTCGAATATTAGTCGCTTCTTGTTTAATCGAACGGAAAATTTTTCGGCTTGAAGATTTGTATCTACTTTATGCAGCGTTTCCAACAGGAGTATCCACTTGCTTTTATCGTTTGTTAAGGCTCCCAAGATGCATTTTTTTACAAAAATGAATTCGGCAAAACCTTCAGTACCTAGAAATAATAAATAAGTAAATCCAAAAAAATAGATTTATTACTTATCAAAAACTATGGTCACTGTTTTAGAGGTGAACTTACCGCTTAAAATACCCCTCTGAATAGAAATTTGTGAGTAATATTGCGTTTTGCTATACGAAGCATAAAATAATAAAGATATCATTACTAAAAACAAGCAAATAACGTATGTTAATTTTAATATTCTATGTTTGCCTTCATTTTTAACTTTCATGGGAGTAACTCCAAGAAATTGCCCGATGTTGTACTGCACATTCATTATTTTTACGTCTTCATTCATGAATTCATCCATAGGGGAAACTCTCCCATTGCTTTTGTTAAAGAATATTTTCATTTTACGATGTAATTTCGAACAAGAAATTTATTAAGCTATATTTCACTGTAGAATCGGGTTCATATTAACAGAAACTATAGGTCTACCAGGAATAGTTGAAAATATTACATATTCTGAGGTTCATTATTCATTAAAAAAATTGCCTTTGTTACTTTTTTGTTTGATAAGCAACCCGCCTCTTTAGTAATGAGTTTGAATAAAATTACGGGGTGTCAATAAAACGTCATACAAAATAACAAATTGTTTATTAATTAGACCCGCTTTGTATCGATGAGTTTATTAAGTTGAATAAAAAATACGTAAATATTTAGTTTTTATTAAAAATTACGTTTATTGGTTTTAATTATTTTATCAGTTAGTAATTATAGGTTCTTAAGTGCTTTGATGTAGCCAATTTTAGATAAACTACATAATTATCCTACACTAATTAGGCACCTTTATTTGGACTAATGATACGTTAATGAACCATGAAATCAAAGTAATTAGAATCCGTGATCGGGGAGAGGTGTTCCTGGTTCAATTGCCTGTAGATCGCGGGCAATCGTATCCTGACTACTTGCAAAGTCATCCGCTCGCCTGACGGTATCGTTTGCTGATTCATTTTAAGAACGGAATTCAGAGTGTCCAAAATGATGTCGGATTCCAAATTGATTTTTGATCGAATCGGAAAGGTCGCCTTCCTTTCCCTTTCTCGCTCGTGTTTTATCACGATACCGATCCGATCCGAATCCGAGAAATTTCGCAGGACGTATTCAAGAAGCTCGCTTAATGCGCTCTAAAAAATATGTGCTATAATTAATCCCATGCACTCGTTAATGATTTGTTGTGAATGAAAATCTTGTGCATAAAAGTATACAGATAACATGTTGTTCATGAAAGTAGGCAGAAAATGTTGTACATAAAAATAGAGAGAAAAGTTTGTGCATAAAAGTAGAGAGAAATTTTTGTCCATAAAAGTGGAGAGAAAATGTTCATGTCAGTAATTTAATGAGTAAAATCTTACTTTTAACCAAATAAACACTGAATCCTGTCCGTCCCTGTGCTTGAACGCAAAAATTATCCTTCTTTCCACGATATTTAGTTGTTTTACTTCCCTTTCGTTTTCGCCGTATTTTACGAAGTAATTGAAATACACCTCGGACACGGAAAAACTTCTGCAAACGTAATAATTTGTAAGTTTATGTTTTGGAAAATAGATTAAAGGACAATAATGGATATACTATACCTTTGTAGAAATGTGAAAGTGACAGATTAGATATTATAATTTGTAATACATTAAAAATAAAAAGAATTTACCTAAATATTATTTCCTCTTTCGATTTGTACATAAGGCCCTTTTGATGAGCTCTTACGGCGGTTATGATGCGTTGCAAGTGCTTGTAAATCCTCAAATCCTCGTCTTCTATATGCTCATCGTCGAAAATTATTTTGTAATTGATGGTGAAATCTACCATTTTAATCTCGTCCGAGGATCTGAAGGCCCCATTGGCAAACATGTGAAGCAGATCGATTACACTATAATTATTCAGAAATTCTATGAACAGTTTCATTTTTCATAATTCGATTATGTTCGTGTTAATTAATGAGTTAACGAAAATTGAATGGGAGCATTTTATATCGGCCCGTAATTTTTTTAGTAAATGTAAGAATATAAAAAGTTTGATAGAAATTGATTTTTAATAGTTATTTAATGCTATGTACTCGTTAAATAGTGACGTTTGTTGATAAATTCACGGAAAATTTTGATAAAATTTAAACTGATGGGGTATTTTAGTTTTGGTTTAAGAAGATTTGCTAATTTTAGGGATTCAAGATAATATTAATGTTAATCAAATGCCCCTAAAAATATTCAAAAAGTAGAATAATTTGTATTTGAAAATGTCCTGGAATAGCATTTCGATATACATACTTTTTAATTTTTAACACAACTCAGTTGCTTTAGTAAATACTCCTGTGGTATAATAATTTCCAAGCACATAAAATTCAATAGAATAATCATTTTGTATATGAAAAAATTTATTCGGTAGAAAATGATTTTGTTATAATTAAATTTTAACCAACGAATGCAAACATTAAAATTTAATATACATAAAATTTACAAATTTACAAATAAAAAAAAGCGGCATTGTCACCATTACAATAACAAATTCAACATCACCAACGATCAATTAGTAAATTAAAAATATTCAGAATGCTTCATGATTTTCCTCATCTTGCTAATCACGTCAGTTTCGAGGAAACGATTCAAATACATGTCGAAGGTTTTGTCCTTCGACAGCATCTTGTATATCCTTTCGCCGTACTTTCGCACCTCCGGATTTCTGTCTTCCAGGAATCCAGCCATCTTCATGATTATTCTCCTCTTGGTGTACTCATTGGCCGAGGGGAGGACGATGTTCTGCGGGCCGGCCAGAACGATAGCACAAACCAGTATTCTAGCCGCTGCCGTTCGCACCAGAGCGTTCTTGTGCTCGGGGCCTTTGGCGCAAATAGCTCTCACAGCGTGGAACGTGGGAATGTGGGTGACCATACAGTCCAGGGCCAGGTTAGCATCGTGACGTATAAATCTGTTACAATCGGCGCATTTACAGAGCAGACTGTCCACCAATTCGTCGAATTCCGGCCGCCTGGTGTCTTTGACGTACTCGAAGATGTGACCGGTCGCCTGGCAAGCGGTCCTGCTGACGTGAGAGCGCGGGCTCTTTATCAGGCTGATCAGCTTCTGGTTGACGATGGTCATGTGCGGCAGAATGAGCTCGGGCTCGGCCGTCTTGCAGATTTCGATGATTTCGGCCAGGCCGCGCAAGGCGAGTATCCAATCGGAGTCGCGCAGCTTGTTCACCGCTTGGTACAAAGAGGTCCCGGTCGATGTGTTGGACGCTTTCCTCGATCCGATGTCTATCAACGAGTTGACTTCTCCCAGTTCGGACTTCCTGCCCTCTTTCTCCTTCGTGGATCGCATGGGAGAGGGGTTTCGATTGGTGTGGTTGACCGATCTTTTCGGACTTATCGACTTGGATTTTCTGGTTGGGGAGATTAAGCTTTCAATGTTTTTAATGTCCAAACTTTGATTTTTGCTTTTGCTGGCTATCGTGGGCGACATGAACGAGAAGGGCTTCTCTTTTAAGTCGGTTTGAGTGTTTTCGGTCACGTTGTTCTGGTTTGGTTTGGACTCTGTCTCGACGAAGTCCTCTTCCGGGGGGTTGAATTCAGCTTGGTTGAATTCCGCCTGGTTGAATTCCGGGTAGTTGTATTCAGCCTGGCTGTACTCCGTGGGGTTGAAGATGACGCTGTTTATGCATGGCGACGTTTCGCAAACGTAAGAGTGACTCCTGAGAGGGTTCCTGTTCTGATTGAAAGACGTTATTCCGGTTGCTGATCGTTTTAATTTGGTGGATTTCTCTAGAAATGCTTTCGTCAAGGCCGAACCGCTCAGTAAACCTCCATACTGGGAAATTGAGTTCGAAGCAGGTTTCTGATCCTGGCTGAGTTCGTCTTGGTTCATAAAATTGACAACGTTATACATTCGGTCGAATGGTAATGAGGCTAAATATTCATGGGTTAACTCTGGCATGTAGTGCGATTTTGAATCACCTTCGTAATAATTATTAAATATTTTATTTTTGCTACTTAAATAATTGTCGTTACTTCTATTGGAAAATGAATAACCTTTCTCGCCGGCCAGATTCTTGTTGGTTTGCGTATAACATTCTCGTAAATATTCAAATCTTTTAGAATTGTTCAGGTTTATGTTGGGCGATTCACCAAACTCCTTCTGGTTATGTAATGTGAAACAATTCACAACAGGATTCTCGTTGGAAGTATTTGATTTTTCATTATCCAGGAACGTATAATTTAAAAATTTACCTTTATTCCTTAAATTCGACCTAATATCATTCATTATCTTTTAAAAAGTACATCTTTGTTACAATCAGATTTTTAACATATAGTATGCTGACAGATCGAAATAATCAAAATTCAAATTGATTAATTGACTGTCATTGATGGAATTACAAAATGCTAGACGTCAAGAAACAAAAATATAATTTATGAAGTAAAGGGTGTTCAAATTGGTATTGTGAATCGAAATGTGAGAATTAATTTTAATGATTTACAAATGAAACACAAGTGTTGTGTAAATCCAATAAAATGCATTGTACAAAGAGGAGGTCTAATTTCCTTGACAGTATTTGCAGCAAACAAAAGTTTACCCTTCTGGCGAAGTTTTAAATAATAACTTTAATGATGACAGCAATTAAATTAAATGATTAGAAAAGTGCCTATAGTAAGCCTGAAAATTCGAAAGGAACCGAAACCTATTCAAATATTCTCAACTCAATTAAGCGCCACTTATTTCACTTTTTATGTATACAGGGTGTCCCGGAAAATGTGATAAATCTCTCGCATCCAGATAGAACATGAATAAATAAGATGAAAAGTTCCTTGAAAGAGCCTTGAAACATATTTAGCTTTTTTAATTTACCTGTGCTGGGCTAAGGTTTACAACTTAATGCCTAAATTTTGTACACCCTGTATGATAAAGACTTAAAATATATAAATCTGGAAAGCTTGAACCTTAAACTAAAAAAAAGGTACTCCTCTCAATTGTCGATAAAATGAACCGTTTACGAGAAAAACAATGATAAATGAATTCATATTTAATTTTTACTAGTAAACCAGTACTTGTAAATCAGAAATGGTGGTACCCTATCGTGCATGAAGTACTACATGTTTCAGCGGGTTTCAAGTGTTAATTGCTCTATTAAATCACGAAAATAAATCTTTCGCGTTCTGAAGGAACTCCAAGTAAAGTTAACTATTCAATCGTTCCGGCAACACAAATGCTCCAATCAAAAAATTGCCATTTCTTGTCCAAATATTATTAACTGATTGGAACTGATGTTGATGATTGGAAGAAATAGTGGCATGCGGATTTTCAACAGCCGAGAGATTTTCCAGATTTTCCGCGACACCCTGTATATTATTATAAGGTGTTAAAGTTGCTTATTCATAGACTAACTACGAGTACTACTCAAAAACAGCTTCAACAAAAAAGATAACTTAAATAATTAGAGTTAAACCAGTAATTAATGAGGCGTACCTAATGAAGCGTAATTATACATACAGGGTGGAAACAACGAATGGAATAAATTCATTATTTCGGTTAGTGAACATATTTATAGAAAATCCTGAAATGTGTTAAATGTTAATTATAATTTGACATTCTTTAACGTCAAAATGTGAGCCCTGTCTTCAACCCCTTTCGAATGACAGTCACAACCCCGATTTTTTTAAATGGGAAGTATAGGCTTGTGATATATCGTTTGAAAGGTCTCTTTATTCTCTATCCAAAACTGTTATTGTTTTTAAAGTTTTTTTTTCAAAAATTAACATAAAAAATAAAATTAACTGATGGCTTAAAATTGATATAATACACTCAGTGTGTAGTACCTAATTGTTCACATTGTAAAAAATATGAATCTCCTCACCAAAACTGTTATTTTATGCATTTCTGTCAATCTAACAATTTTTCTTAATTGCAATTAACGAAATTCAAACAAAAATTATAACACTGACAACCACTCCCACGCAGTTATAGTTATACAAACCAATTTGCTAAGACCTTTTAAACAAACTAGTCTTATTATTAAGCGGAAAATAAGATTTTATTTTTTTAATGTTAATTTTTGACAATAACAACAACATTTTTGGATAGAGAATGAAGAGACCTTTCATATGTTTTACCACAAGCATATTTAAAAAAATAGGGGTAAAAAAAATAATTAATAATTATTAAAAATAGGGGTAAAAATAGGGTATAACAAACAGCAGGAGATCGTAGAAAAATTCTACAAAAAAGTTCTCATAAACTTGGAATATTAATGTAATTATTTTCAAATTGTTGTACCTGTATTGATTTCGCATGTTTCCCAATTAATAGCTGTTAGTGCAATATTGTAGTCTATTTTTTATAATACAGCGAAACTCCTTGCTGTGCCGCCCCTGGTCCAAAATTTTCCGTATTTACTATCAGGCAAAATGTTATCTGTATTATAACAGTTATTATATGCAAATTGTAACGTTCATTTTTTGTACAAGCACGTATTTTTCAGCTTTAAGGCTAATTTAAGCTAATTACGAGTAGATTGGGTTCCTAAAATGAGATCATTAGGTCATTTTTTTCAAATGCATATTTTGGGCAATAATCAAGATGAAAACAACAAAGAGAATACAGTTAAAACGCAAAGTGATTCAGGTAAATATGTAAAAGCAAATTTATGTATACTAAGCCTACTCGTACATAAATAATAATTTTGGTCAACTTTATAATTACAAAAGTGGTACTTTTACATATAACTAGGTACTACTTATAATTTTATTACTTACGTATTGTTAAAATTGTCTCCTGCTGCTTGATTTCTTAACAATAATCTGTTTTTACTTCAGTATTTATATCAGTCAATGGCTTTACCAGTGTGCGTAAAAATAATATTATTAATACCTACTCATATCAACTATAATAAATATAATTAAAAACAAAACCAGTGTTATAAAGAATCGCTAATATTAAATTAAATTAAATTTGTAAAATGTTTTTAATGGAACTATGGAGATCTAGGCACTAAAATAGTTTAGCTCAAAATCTTCATCAAAATTAATCATTTTTTGTACATTTCTATTAAATTTATCTCGAAATATTATTCCTGCCGAATTAAATTTGCTTTGTGATCTAACTTTCTGAACATTTATAGAAAATGCGAATTTTGAAGAAGCAATCACCGCAACAGGATATGGAAAATTTAACATATTATTATTGCTATTTATGATACCATCGTCTTTTACACAAGCAAGTGAACAAATGGCCATATCATACATATTACCTATAGCAGATTGTGATCTTCACTTAACTTTAGAACAGAAAAGTCTACTGAATGCCGTTTCATTTGCAGGTATAATTCATGAAAGTTTATACATTTTTGAATTCATAATTACAATACAAGATTTATTCTTTAGGAAGCTTATCTAGCGGAGTTCTTTTCGGTTACCTAAGCGATACTTTCGGTAGAAAAAGATTAATTGTTTACGGTTATTTCTTGCACTTTGTATTCAGCTTGGCAGCTGCAACGTCTACTAACTTACTGCAATTGTTGATTGCGAAATTTTTTTGCGGATTCTTGTAAGTATCTGCAGTATTAGTAAAAATTGTATCAATGCACATACCAATATGCACTTCTTTTACTTCTTTTTATTTCTTATAAAGAGGGCTTATTAATTTTTAGATTCAACGGGCCCTTTTCCTCATTAGCCGCGTATTTAACTGAATTCCATTCCGCCCAATATAGATCAAAGGTGCAACTTTTCAGAGGAATTACTTTCGCTCTGGGATTTTTTCTTGTGCCCTGTCTAGCTTGGATTGTTCTGCCATTAAACATCAATTTCAATTTGTTTGGATTAAGTAAGTATTAGTTTTAATAAAGCAAATATAAAATTCATTATAATTCATTTGTAGCTTTTCACACGTGGAATATATTTTTGTTATGCTGCGCCTTTCCTCCACTAATGGCTAGTGTCCTGTTTTCTTTCATGCCTGAAAGTCCAAAGTTTTTAATGAGCGTTGGAAAAAATGAAGAGGCTCTTCAAGTATTCCAAAAAGTATTTAGTTCGAATTGCGGAAAATTGAAGAATGATTTTCCTGTAAGTCGATCGTTTCTTTTATTTAACATAAAGAGTTCAATTTCATAAATCGACGTTTTAAAAATACATATGTAAATTGTTTTGCATATTCAAGTTAGAAATTTCGAATTTTTTTTTATTTCAGATAAAGCACCTAGCAAATGAGAAGATACATTGTAAAAATGAAGATAAAAAAAGAAGTGTAATTACTGTTATAAAAACAAGTTTGTCTAAAATATTTGCAGTTTTCAAACCACCGCATGTTTGTCAACTTTTATTAGCTATATCAGTAACAATAGGATTCATGGTGGGGTAAGAAAACTTTTTATTTTTGTTTGAACCAACTTGCAAAAGAAAAAAATATTTAAATTTTTGTTAGAATATACATACAAAATTTACTTCCTTGCAGGTTGCAGGACCTCAGCTTGCATTTCAAAACTCTAGATTATCCTACGTTATTATTTGTGATATTTCTAAACTATAGTAACTACAAGATATAATTTAATTTGCAGATTGTGTGTCTTAAAATTGTGGCTGCCGCAAATTCTGAAATTGATCCATGAAGATCAGGAAGTTAATAACACAACTGATATAAACATTTGTACTGTTATAGACAACTTGAAAAATAATGATGCTCGAATAAAAGAAACTTGTGATACGAAGCAGGTAAGATATTATTTAAATCAGCTTCTAAAGATTTTCCACTGATTACTAGATACATAATTTTTGTTTTAGCTAAACGACAATACTTTTATATACACAAGTTCCATGATAATTAATGGCGTAGAAATGTTTTTCTTCATGATATCTGGTTTTTTGGTAAATTGTTTAGGCAAGAAGACATTAATGAGTAAGTATTTTTGTATGTAGGTACTTATTGTACTCGCAATTGAAGCACCAATATTTGGGTTACAATTTTTTACCAAACTCATTTTATTTTTTAGTGATTTCGTGTGTTTTTGCCTCACTCTCAGCGCTCGGTTTATATTTTGTACCAAATGTCCCTGTTTTAATTGCATTATTTTCAATATACATTACTGGTTTGGAGCTTACCGGTATTCTGGATATAACAATCTCTTTGGAAATGTTCCCAACTGACGTTAGGTAAGAATTTAATTCAATACGAACGACCAATACACACAAAAACTTGCTGGAAATTATATAAATGCATAAATTTTTTTTACAGAACTATAGCGCTATCATTTCGTTATATGGCTGCCAGATTGGGGGCAATATTGGCAAACCTACTTTTCCCAGCATTGGTCAGCGGTGGCTGTTTAACGCCATTTTTGTTTTGTACTCTTTTAGTAGGAGGTAATTTTTACATCTATTTAATTTAATCTACCTACAACTTAATCATAAAACTGCAACTATTTTACATTATGTATATTTTAGCACTGCCATTTATGATTCATTTTTACCCGAACACTGAAAACAAGAATCTACAATAAGTCGAATGAAACGGATTAATGTTGGATATCAAGTCATTTTCCAAATACCTGCGTATCCTTATAGTTTTATAGGTACCTATCTAGTTAAGAGAAGCGATTGAGAAACTGTTACTGAGTAGTTATTAAATATCATTAGTTACATAATATTTCAAACATGTTGTACTTTCTATGAATTGATATTATGTAATAAAATAAACTATTTAAGTCATATCATTATTCATTTTTTAAGCATCCATGCTTTGGGCCTACCTACATGGTAGGACAATATCAATAAGACCAAAGAAAAATTAAATTCAATTACAAGAAACTTATTTGAAAGGTGAAAAAGCTACCCTTATTAACTCAATTTTTGCAACCAAACTACAAAGGTAGTCAAGGATACCCCTGTATTATAGCTCGTAAATACGCCACATGTTGTGCGATCAACGTTTTCAAGGAAACGCCATCCATCGAACAAACAAAACCTCAAAATATTATAAAGTTTGTGACATTTAAGTAACTACAAATCATTTTAACGAGAAACAGAATATATCTGTTAATAAAAAGAAACAAATAACAATGAGCGACGTTGAAAAAGCTCCTGCAGAAGGCGGAGACGACAAGGACGCGGCCGCAACCGAAAAATCCGAAGCTGCTGCAGAAGAAAAACCATCCGCAGCAAAAGACACCGCCGAAGAAGATGATCAAGCACCGACACCAGCACCTCCACCGCCAACACCGACCAACGAGCCGGAAACGCCAGAAATAAAAGACAAAGAGCCTGAAGAAATGACGAGTAAAATAGGTATCTACTTTTACAACAATTTCACCTACCATTGAGAAAAGTTTTATTAATTTGAGAATGCTTTTGCGAGCGAAGAAGTATCGTTCATAGACGTTATGGAGGACTCGCAAGTAACGCTAAATGTAGACAAGAAGAAAAAATCGGATAAAGAAGACGAGGAAGGCGAAGATGAAGAGGGAGGAGACGATGTCGAAATAGAAGAGGCGGGAGTCGAAGCGGACGTTGAAGATGAATCCAGCTCTGACGAAAGCTCTGAGGAAAAGGAGGAAGAGGAAGGAAAGGCGGCTGAAGCAGGAGACAAGAAGGTATTTTACACTGCTTGGATATGAACAAATTATCTTGAAGTGCAACTGTTTAATTTTTAGCCTGTCGATTTAAAACAACAAAAAAAGGATGAATTATCGTCATCAGAGGAAGAACCCGAAGTAGAATCTTCCGAAGAAGAAATAGAAGAAGTAGATCAATGGGAACTCGATCAATTACTTTCAGGACCCGTCTTGGCCCCAGATAGCACCTTGCCATTGAATATTATGGAATTTTAGTATCCTTATCACAACGTAATTCAGAATGAACCGTATAATGTTTTATCATATAGCATCATTCAATTTTAATCTATCTAGTTTTAATTTAGTTTTTGTTGTATATCTTTAGTATTTGTTGTATATAGTTGTTCATTTTCCTTAAATAGAACACCAGCTATTCCTTTGGGTTTAATTGCAGAAAGAAATATAATTTGGAAGTGTTGGATGACACCACGCTAATTTTCGCTTCTGGAAACTATTTAAACTTTTTTAATTTGGAAACCAGAGAATTAACTTTTAGAAGAACAGCATTGGGAGGTGGCGTTGGTCACATAAAGGTATTATTTACATTTAATTATTTATTGTATTATTTACAAGGTATTTATATCGTTTGCTCTATTTACGATTGAAACTTGGTCATTTCTATGAGTGGAACAAAGAAAGATTAATAAAATAACAGTTGTCAGAGTGAAAATTTGCAATGACACTAATGTCACTCTTTCTTTTTCCTTTGTAAGTGTCTAATGGATGTTGTCTTTATCGCACCCATGGCCTATATAACCTATGTTGCGATCAAAAATGGAGCAACCTGTATATTTAGTCGCATCTTTAACTTGACAGTTGTACATTGTTGTTATGGAGTAACTAGGGAGTAGAGACGCGACTTTAGAGTCACGCTAAAGTTAAAGTGAGGCGCTGAATACGGGCCAGTGAATCTGATTAAATGTTTTTTTAGAAAAATCCGAATCCAGAATACAAACATTTTTCAGTGGCAGAGTGCGGAAAGAGACCTATTATAATTTTATATAAATGGCCTGATTTTAGTGTTGATTGTATTCTTAGAGGTGGAGCTAAAAGGCTCTACTCTTGCTTGGACTACAGGTAATTTTTTTTAATTAGTGATGGTAATAATTGATAATAAGGTGCGTTCAAATTGTACTTTGTTTTTTACAAATTCTAGTCCAGATGGAGAACTATTGGTTTCTCAAAGTGGAGAGCCCGATTTCATGTTGACTGTATGGAATTGGAAAAAACACACGATATTACTGAGAAACAAATCTTACATCAACGACGTTTACAAAGTTATGTTTTCGCCTTATCTCGCTGGACACATAACAACCGCAGGTAAATATTTCAATTTTCTTTTTACAATATTATCATATAATATACCAGATTCAATATACTAGAACCTTAAGCAATATGTAATAAAAAGTAGTGATTTTTTTTAATAAATTTTAGGTGTTGCTCATATTAAATTCTGGAAAATGGCGCAAACTTTTACCGGCTTGAAATTACAAGGGGAACTAGGAAGGTTCGGAAAAACCGAGTATTCCGATATTCTAGGTGTGATGTCAATGCCAGATGAGAAGGTCTGAATGTTCAAACCAAATTATTCGCCGATAAACTCCAACGTGAAAATTGTTTAAGGTAATATCCGGCAGTGATTGGGGCAACATTTTGATTTGGGACGGCGGTTTGATAGCCTTGGAAGTTTTGAGAACAGGCAGAAGACCCTGTCACGACGGTCCCATCGTTCAATTCTACTTCGAAGAAGAGGAACTGTGGACGGTATCGTTGGATGGACACGTTAAAATTTGGTGGTACGAAAAAATAGACACTGCTGATCCCTCCGACGAAGATCCTACGATTCTACTCGATCCTTCTTATGATTTTTACACGCCTGGAATGTCTTTAGTTTCTATAGTAAGGCGAAGAGAAAACGAGAGCTTGTTTATAGCGCAGGTAAAATTAACGTTATATTCATCTGCAGGATCCAACACTAGTACATATTTCATTAAACACTGTTTCACACAAAATTTTTAAACTATTTTAGGACGGCAACGGGGGCATCTGGCAAATTGATCTTAATACAGTGGATACTCCAACGGAATCCATTCAATACTATAAATGCCACGCCGGGAAAATCGTCGATATTGCCCCGTGTTCGTTCGGGCCATACTTGGCGAGTTTGGGAAAAGAAGGACAGATATTTATCTACAATTATTTGACCAAGAAGTTTCTGTACAATTACCAGTTTCCATCGAATGCACATGCAATGGTGTGGCCTTCAACAACGGTATATACAACACAGATTGATTGTGTAAGGAATCAATAAATTTTTAATGTGTTATTCTTCATCGTAGATTATCCCTTCAGGAGATATTATAATTGGCGGATTTGCTGATGGACAAGTGCGAGTGGTTTGTTTGTATATTCCTAACCTATCAAAAGGAGGAAATGAGAATGATATATCTATAACATTAACACAGGTATGCTTTTACTAATACCTACAGATTTCCAAAATTAATCTTTTCCATTAACACTTTGTAGGTAATAAAAACTCACACGAAGCCTGTCACAGCAGTGACCATTAACGCTACAGGAAATATCGTTGTAAGCGGAAGCGACGACGCCACCATTTTCATATACAAAGTGAACAACAAGGAACTAAACAACTTTCTGATTCCCATTGGTTTCCTGCCTGCTCCTGACTCTATTACTTACATGACCTGGAATCCCAAAGAGGTGAGAAGCTGATAAACTAGTACATGTAACTCACAACTCGATTATAATTGCCTACATTAGGTAACTACAATATTAGTTGGATGTATACAAGGACAAATGATGGAAGTCTTGCTACCGATCGACATCGAAGAAGACACCTTCGTGAGTTACGAGTTGAAGAAACCGCAGCCAAAATATCTGAACTTCCTGTCCTATAAATCTCAAATTAAAAGAGATATTCACTTAGGGAAAGTGGCCAGACACAAGGAAAGGAAGAGGCAACGAAAATTACTGGAAATGGTAAAATTGCAGGCTGAAAATCCGGGGATGGAAATTGATGAGGACCTCTTTTTGGGTAGACTATTTTGGTAGATTTTTTTGAGTATATTTTTGTACCAATTTTTTATGTAGCTGATTCTTCGGATGAGGAAGATTTGGAACCATTGTATATTCCTCCTAAGCAAAGAATTTTCTGGCTGCAATATACAGATGACGATACAATTTGGGTTTCGATGAGTGGGTAAGGAAATTATATAAAAACCTAATTAATTAAATAAGTTAATAAAAAAATAATAGGTACGATGCCGGATACATTTATGAATATTCCATGGGACAAGAAGAACCAGCTGTACCGTTAAGATGCACCCTTATTGACGGTGCTGCTGATACGGAAATCTTCAGTTTTGCGTACGAGTAAGTCTTGCCAACGTGTTTCCTGCATTATAACTTTGAGTTATTGCTAATGAGAATTCCAGTTCCCAGCGAAATTACTTAATGTTTGGAATGGAAAACGGCAGTATACGTGTGAACAAAATAAACAAAGACAATTGGCGAAATCTATCAGATTATTGGATTCTCACGATGCACGACAATCAATACAGTTACGTGCCGAAAATGTGCTTCAGCTACGACGAAACGATTTTCTTCAGCTGCGGTTACGACGGTATTTAGTAGATAATTTTGATTATATTTAGTTTTCCTTTCTTGTGTTTTATTTAGGTAATATTTTCGCATCGTATTTTAACCACGAATCCTACGAGGCCCCGCCGTTCGTCGAGCCCACAGTTCGTCAAGAGATTCCCATCAAAGTTCCCGACGTGGATACAGACATTAAAAACAGCTTGGAAGAAATCAAATACAAAGCTGAACAGGATCGAATCAACAAATCGACCAATGCTCACAAAGTATTTTGCGCAATTTCATTAGGCACTTCATTGAGTACTCTTTTTCCAGGCGAGAGTTAGAGAGCAAATTAAGGAGTTGAAGGACCGCTATTTGAAAATTCTAAATCGAAATAGCAAACTCCTACCCACGCAAATCATCCCTAGGGAAGACCTGGAACCCGACAAAAGAATCTTGGATTACGTTACTCAGATGTTCGATAATAACATAGTTGTGGTTAGGAAGAAGGCGGATTACGAATTGCAAAAATCCGAAGTACTTATGAAGAAACTCTTGAGATACTTTACAGGTTAACCAGCTCTAAAACTATTTAGCGGTTTTACTACAAAATGCGATTTTCAGATCCTGCCGATAGGCTTCCTATAATCGTAAGAGGGATAAATAAACCTGAATTGATGATGATCAGCCTGAGGCAACGGTTGTTGTCCCCCATGTTCCACGAAATGATGAAGTTGTGCGTTGAAAAACTCGAAGAGGAAAGAATCAAAGGCAGGTCAATAAAAAAATTCTTGTGTTTAATAAAACTTGAAACTAATTCAATTACTATGATCCTCAAATGTATTATCTCTTTACCGAATTTAGCTCACTCATACGTGGAAAAATGAGGTGGCAAAAATTTATCTCTATTACTACTTATAGAAAGACTATAGAAATAGGGTTGGGAATGTTTCTTTAGTCTTCAAGACTGTTGGGGGCAATTAAAGCAGGGCAAAAATAAATTTTGATAAAGAAATGCAACATCTATATTCTGTTTAGTAAATCTTAACGTTTTCTATTTAATGCAAACATTTAGTAAAGGAATTATACAAACCATTAAGGTAAGACTACAGAATAGACTATAAAGACCATAGATTTTTAGTTAACCATTGAAATTTTCTTTCTTTCTAAAACACATTTTTTGGATGGTTATGAACAAATTGAGTAATACAGCGAATTCTGAATATTTGTGTACTGTATTTTTTTGTTGAATTTATACAGGCCAGTGGAAAGAGCTCGCGAGCCTCCTAAACCGCCTCCCCTTAAAATAGCCAAATCAGTGCCATTGGAATATTTTCTATTGAGTTTGACGCCATCTCAAAGACAACGAAAAATGGGACCCAAACTAACGAGAATGCTTCAGAAATACAGAATCAGAAGAGACAAGTGGGAACGACGTCAGGAAGAAGTAAGTAAACAACAGCCTAATTTTTTACAAATTTATTTTGATCAGTACTAACATTTTCGATGCTCGCTTTTAAATCAATTAAAAACAGTAAGTCAATGCGAAAACATAGAAAAATAAATCATTAACTTTAATCGAGTAAAATAATCAAAAGGTATAACCTATCCTGAAAATAATAAACTCTCTACATAAACATATCGTCGTAACCAGGCGGTGGAAATTCATCGTTATCAGGTCTATTGGGTCTCCTAGGAGCATACCTATCCACGTCCGGCGGTCTAAATGGGTCAAATCTCGCCCCTGGGGGTAGAGCTCCAGGAGGCAAACCAACAGGAGCACCGGGATCACGAAAACCTCCGCCAAACGACGGACCTGGAGGCTGGAAGAGCATACCGCCGCCCGGCGGTTGGGGCACTCGTACAGGTCCAATGCCGATGCCCCCGAGTGGCTCCAGGTCGCTCCTGCCGTAATCCGACGCTATAGAAAACGGAAAATTTACGATCGTTCTCGGAACGCTCGGGTTAGGTACGATCAGCGGGTCATCTTGAACCGCGGTTCGTTGAGGATCAGTTTGACATCCGGATTCTTTAGATTTCTTCGATATAGTCACCCGATCGATTAGCTGCGTTTTGATTTGTTCCACTATGTTTTGGTTGTTTGGGATCATCTCGTCTAAGGATCCGGTGCGTTGGGCTACGCTGCGGGGGTTTAATTGCACGAAAGACACGGACCTCTCGTCGATTCGGATCAAATTGATCATGATGGCGTCGTCCAATGGAGTGGCTTTTAGATTGTATAACTTCCCTTTGTGTACGTATCTTATAGCGTACTGGTCGTTCCAATTCTTCGGTAGCGCCTCGGACTTCGGTTCGTCGCCGTCCAAAACTTTGGATTCGCCCAATCCGATGCATTTGAAGTCGTTGGTGACCAGGACGAGGTGCACTAAACACACTAGAATATCGTGATTGTTTTTAATGTCTTGCTCGACGCTCTTGTAGAGCAGATCCCAACCGAACAACGTCGTCATTTTGTACTTGTTGCACTTCTTACACTGAAAATTTTAAAATTTCAACCTTCCAAACTGTAAATATCAAATGCAAATTTGCCGTCATCATTCAGCAGAAATATAATTGGGTTATGTTTTTATTTTGACATAAGACGTAGTAGCGACGTTGCCAGATTATCTAAAATCTATAAAATATTTACTGATATTTTATTATTTGAAATTATCTTTTTATAAAAGAGTGATTGTTGAGGTATTGTATTAATAATTCGTATTTTTGTCGTATCTATTTGTATCTCAACCCAAAATATCAGAAACTACAATAGTTGTCATATGCAACATTAAAGATATTTTAAATAAAAAGAAGAATTAAGAGATTTGTAATTTCCGAGTTTTGTGTTCTGTGGTTCAAATTTGAATTCTTTTCTTCCTATTAGTTGAGAAGATAAAAAAAATCTTTATACAGAATTAATACCAATGATTAAATAAATTCGTAAAAATAGTAAATGATCTATATTATGTTTGCAAAACAAAACAATTACAGTCGTTTTGAATCTAGTGGGAGGAATTTTTGTCGAAAAAACCCGATCCCATGAAAAATCACCCAGAAGATGAAAAGTTTCTAGCCGAAGCCCTGCTAAATATCGGTGATTATAAACTCAAAGAAGCGGACGATTATAAAGCACCACCAGAAGAAAGAGATACTACTGTTAAAAAATACAAGCAAGTATTAGATACGCGACAAAAGGTACACAACCCATCAAGTCTCAATATTACTCCAATTCCTAATTAACTGTATTCTCTAGCAATTCGACTTAAGACACGCTCTAATTGAGAAGGCTTATCAAATGCGAACATTCAAATATGAAGTCATAGCTCGCTTGAAGAAATACGAAAACACTTTGAAGAAAATACACGAGGAACTACCCGAGGAGCTACATCAATTCGGACCCGAAGTTCCTGATGTGGATCCCGAGGAATTTCCCGAAGAAAAATTGAGACCGGTCTTCGATTTACCCGAAGAAATCGACGAACTTCTAGAAGAGCAGGCTAGATTGCCTCATGTTCCTGTATGTTAATTAACAACTGATTCTGTTGAATTAACATTAAAATTATTTCTGATATTCTCGAAATTGTAGGAACCTACGCCTGAGGATAAAATCAGACAGATATTACCGGAGAGAGAGACATACCCAGTAGAAGAAGGCGGCGTGTTCTTCTCAAATTTCGAACCCGCCGATCTTGCTGATACTATAGACGCTGATTTGAAAGATATACTTAGAAGATACAGCGACGAACGTACAGACAACCCATTAGAAGCTGAATTGAGAGCAAGAACTCTAACAAAGTAACCCAAACAATTTTAAAGTTAGTTGTTATATACCTACTAATGTTTATCTCTACAGGAAATTGTTCATACAGAGAACGACCATCATTAAAATGAACGAAGAAATCGACGGATTCAACAGCATACTGGAAGAAGCCAAAGACATAGTTCCCACTCAACTGCAAGGCCTCTTCATTGACTTGTACATCTTGACCCTCAACCAGGAACTTAACATACTGAAGAAAATGGAAGACGGCGAGCAAACGTTGATGACGAAATGCAGCAAAAGCTTGCGGCTGGTGCACAACTTCGAGGACTACATAGATATCGAGAAAAACAAAAAAATCGAAATCGAAAACGCCTTCGAGAATAACTTCCTCGAAGAATCGAAGATTCAGGAGAAGTTCAAGCACGTTGCTGAGAACGATAAGTTTTACGATTTCTTGAGGAGAGTGTTCAGAAAGAAGTACAGACCGGCGAAAGTCACAACGGATTCCGGTAATTTATTGGGATATCACGAAGGTTCTAAAAAATAATTTGTAACGTTTCAAGACAGCGAATCCGAATCCTCTTCCTCCAGTTCCGAAGAGTCAGTGGAAGATGACGATGCCAGCAGTATCGATTCCAAAGACTTAGGAATTATTAAACAAGATGTGAACGTTTGTCCTAAAGGATGTGAAGTTGCGATATTTAATTTAACCGTGGAATTACGTGGACAAAGGTAAGTAATCTCTCTACTGCATTTAATTATTGTGCATTTAATGCATTATTTTAGACATGAGATAGAACAGAACAACAGGGAATTAACCAGACAGCTCGAGATTACAAACAAAAATATTGATCTGGCCAGTAAAAAACTTCATATGCTCACAAACTATCTCCAGAACAACTTACACGATTTAGAAGTTTATCAGGTAATAATAATGCTAATTCTAAAATATTAGTCATTAATTTACAAATTGTACTGTTAGAAAGAACGTCAGGATTTATTGAATCAAATAAAATGCACTGTCGTTCTTAATCTGGACCAAATACAAAACTACAATCCGGAAACCGACGAAATTTCCAATTTTTTGGTATTCTCCAAATCGAAACTAAGCCAATTATACAAGAGAGTCGGCGTTTTGGAATACGAGAATTTACAACAAAAAACCAAATACGAGTAAGCATTACTAACATTATTTTCGAAACCATCTACAGAACAAACAATTTTAAGAACCTACTTGAAACATCTGACGCGAATGAAACGAGACATAACGTACATGGACAAAAAAATCAAGCACCTCCTGAGGAAGATCCAGCTGTCGATGTACGAAAAATTCGGCAAGTCGGTCGAGCTGAAGGAGCTCGAAGAAGCCCTGGCGAAGAAAACCTTCAACAAAACGTACATAAACGAATTGGAAGAGGTCATTTTGAAGAAGCTCGTCTACGAGATTCGCGTCAAAAACACCAACGTCAAGGAAGTGTACGGAGCGCAAATACAACATATCAACGTAAAACTGAAGCGCTACACCCGATTTTCCGCTAAAGTTGTTCAATTTTAGCAAAAAATTCGCAACGCCCAAGACGCTCTCATCAGGTGCGTGAAGGAAAACACCAATCGCCTGGAGCTGCTGCAGGTGATCAACAAGGAGAAGAAGGAATTGGTCAAAGTGATATCGACGCAGCCGAAGCGACGGGAGCAATTGGAGAAAGTGTTTCAAACCACTTCCGAATACGAAAAGGACGTGAAGAAATTGGAGACGATCTTGGAAAATCAGAACAGGACGCTGTTCGAACTCAAAGCCGAAATCAAAATGTTAAAATCGAAAGGTGAGTTTGGATGTTATTATACAGGGTGTTCCGCATAAAAACCGACACAGAACAGTGGAGTGTAGGGGAGCCTGAAATATGTGGTTTAACCAAACTTAAGTTAGTACAAAGTTACATTCCTAAGAAGTTATAGGAGTTCAAAGAGGAGTTACAAATTAAAAAAAATAATAATATCTCTATAATACTCGAACTTAAAACAACTAAAATTGATATACGTTATGAGTGTACTAAGATCATTAATCGATAGTTAGGAGAGATCAATTGATATGTTTTAAAAGATTCATTAGGGATGATGCTTCCTCAAAATGTTACACGATTTTTTACCTGGTGGATGATTTACCTAATATTCTTTGATGGAAAACGCAAAAATAAAGTCGTCGATAATTTAAAAGTTCCCTGTATTAAGTTAAAGTTGGATTAAACAACATATTTGAGGTTCTCCTACATTCCCCTGCTCTGTGTGGGTTCTTATGTGGGACACCCTGTATTTTACAATGTAAAATTTGGAAAATACTCGAAGGAATGCCGCCGAAGGAAAATTACGACGAAATGAGAAAAAAGGAGGAAGAACTGGAGAAGCAGAAGAAATTCAAAGAGGATTCCGAAAACGATTGGCCCGAAGAAGTCGAAAATTATATAAAACAGCACGAAGACGAATTGACTAGCGTGGAATCGGTAGTAGAAGAAGAAGAAGAGAAAGTAATCGAAGTGATAGAAGCGATGGACGAAAAAGAGGAACCACAGGTAGTTTTGCTGCATGAAAGTACTTCACCTGAATTGTGAGTATTCAATATTAACGTAGGTACTTGCAAATGCTCTATTATTTACATACTGACAAAAAGTATCCGGAATTTCTGATTTTAAATTAACTACTTCAAGTTTCTGTATGTGGGCAATACTGTTCTCAATTGGCATGCAAAAGAGTAGGTCTCAAATTTGGGGTTTATAACGGAATTTCGTAGATTGAATCGATGCAAATGCTTAAGATGACTCTGTTTTATCGAAATCCCATATTTACGAATGGTACTAAATTTTAAGGACAGTCGGGATGTTGCGTTTTATTCCAATTTTCCGGGTACTTTTTTACTTCATTTACTTTTTTACTTCAACTATCTTCTCATCATCGATTGCAGTTATTTAACGGAGAGCGAAGACATCGTTATGGACATGCTGGACAAACTGATGAGCGGTTTGAAATTAAAATCGCAGGTCGAAATCGACAAGGCGAATATCGTAAAGAACATAATGCACAGCATCATGAATTGCGTGTCGGTGAGCGAAATCGTCAAGGAAATTATCGAGAATCTTCCGTTCGACGTCACGCCCAAGCAAACAAGTATCATCGAAAAGTCGGCGGAGAAAATTCAAGTGGTGCAAAGTCCCGATGTAGGTACTCGCGCATGTAACAAAAAATATATTTAGAATATTTCTCTGGAATTGTAGATGAGCGAAATGAACATTTTGAAGTACGCCAAGGACCTTCTGGAAGAAACGCTTGAGGAAATACTGAGCACGAAAGCGGATCCTTATGATAATTTAATGAAGTTATTGGAGGAACTCGTGAGTACAGTACCGAAGGAATTTTTGCTCGACGACCGATCCATCGATTCAGTGGTTGACAAGGTTAAGATATACATACATATTCATGAGGTAGTGATTGATATATGGGTGGAGAAAGTAGAAAGTATCGAAAGTCCTCTCAAAGATGACGTAATCGAATTCCTAAATATCATATTAGAAAGAGTATATGGCACTGGAGTCGACTACTTTTATATCATTAATAAAAGAAAAGGGTAGAATTTTGTTTATGATTTTTTATACATTTTTATTGTAATAAATTTTTGCACGTTATTTTTTTATTTAAAATTAATGTTGTATTACAGCAATTTCATTGTACTGAATATTTTGTACTTTAATACACTAAGAAATCTACTAGAGCACATTTAATACATTTATTAAGGGCGGTATAAAAATTATAAACCAATATAAAAACTATTTTAATGTACCTTCATTAAAATCCTTCCCTATTAATAGAAACAATGGTAGGTCCAGACTTGAAATCCGATGGGTTGAAAGCTTTGTTCTGTTCACTAGTAGATAATCTATAAAAATTAGATTTTAATGTTACATTTAATTAAAAATAATAGGCTGCAAGAATAGTATTTCTGTAATATCTAATAAAATTACCAAACGATATCTTTTATATCTAACCTGGGTACACTTAATTTTGAAACTTCTGAACAATGCGCACTACAGCTTGGTTTAAGTTAGATTTATTTTACAATTGCAGTTATTTAAACGGAATGATGTAAAATAGCCTGACATTTTTTTGCAAACTATCCTTACATAAGAATTCATATCTTTGGCTTCATTATGACTTTAACATTTTAAGAATACCAATTTCACCATTAGATGAAATTACATTAAAATATAACAAGTTTATGCATGAATATTTATGTGACAAATCTTGTTGCATCCTATTATTTCCATAACAATTTATAATTGCATGTTAAGATAATAACCTGTTGAAAAATACTTTTCCATATTCGAATGTTGATATCATTATAGCACAGGCCGGGGCGACTTTAATTAACCTAGGCGCTAATCCTGCAAACAATCCTCTAATACCGTGATTTTTATGTATATCTCTAATGACAGTAAAAGTTGACCTAGGCTTTTTGACTTCGTTATCTAAAATAGACAATACACTGTGACATTAACTACGAACATTACTGATAATTTTGTTGTTAATAGAGTAGAATAAATATCACCTACCACCATATAAAGTATTTTCTCCAAATTCTATTTGTTGATGAGTCTTAACTACATCAAATGGAGTTGTTACAGTGGCTGCAATCTAAAAATATTGGTTTAGAATAAAATATTTCAAGAGGAATAGTAATGTTCAGCTTACAGATCCGGAAATAGCACCAGACATGAAGCTTATTAGAAAAGGGTGTGTATTATCTCTGTCTGTCAAGGTACTTTTAATGGATTCGTAATTCATCCAATATATCGCAGAAAATGGTACGTCCCTGTACAAAGTTGGAAAGACGCCTTTCCACAAACCTCTGACTCCGCTTTGTTTTATCAATGACCTATATGCTTCATTTAATTCTGCAAAATATTTACCAAGTATTGATTACCAAGAAATTTTACTGTTAGTTCGATTGCCTCACCTACATAACTAAGTTTTTGTGATTGCATTTTGGTTCTAAATAGTTCCAAAGGACTAACTATGGTAACTGATATTATTCGAGCTATGCCCCCAGATATAAGCGGAATCCAAAATGGTTGCAGTTTTGGGCCCTGGTTATCTGCATTATACAAATCTTTAAATTTAACCCTTAGCTGTTCGTATATCACAAAATAAGCTATTGTGGCAGGTATGGCTAATGCTAAAGTGGGACTTAATCCACTCCATAGGGAAGTAATACCTTCTGTACGACTAATTTTCACAAAGGCGTCCTAAAATACGTAAAATAAGATATAAAACGGTTCATATTAGACTGACTTGAACTCACCATTGTTCCTTTAAATTGCCCGGGCCTTTGCAGCCATTTACTGTTAGGATCTTTGGGATTACAACTACAATAATGATCCATGAGACCATTGCAATACAGGAAGCATTTATTCTTTTTATCTAAATTTTTCTTTTGGACTTGAAGCCTAATTTTCACAACATCTAAAGGTGTAACTGAAATGTGGCAAATAAAGTTAAAATGCTCATCGAATCCCAAAAAATTTACCAATGACCGACGTAAGGATTGCACCGGTACAAGAAGCCGCGGCTTGCTGCATAGGAGTCGTCCTAAATTGGGGGTCATCTCGATCTTTCACAATAACTACTATATCATTCACTGGTTTTGTAGACATGTTTTAATACGACTGTTGCTTAATTCCAACGCATTGTATCCAAATTTGAATTACCGAATTAGTTCTCTTGCATAAGTACTTAATAATGCAACCTATTATTTCCGATAAGTGTTTTCATTCACAGATAAGTCATAATTACAAACGTGCATAAATAAATGTAAATATAAAAAAAAAAATTCGGTTTCTCGGCCACGTGACAATTGACAGTGACATTTACAGTGATGCCAAGTATAACGATTACGCTGATTGGTCGATGTTACAATGTCAAAATGTCAAAATTCAATCCAAACATCAAGTAAAGTACATGTCAAAATTGTCAAATTAGAAAAAACGTGTAAAGTGCATTCTTATTATTACAAATAAATTGTGAAATATTGCGTACATAACTAGTAATATGTCCGAAACGAAAAACGCATTCAAAGAATCCTTCACTTGCATTTCTTGTCGAGTAGCGTTTAAGGATGCAGAATTGCAACGTTCCCATTACAAGACCGATTGGCACAGGTACAATTTAAAAAGAAAAGTAGCCGATTTGCCCCCGGTAACGTCGGAGGAATTTCAAATTCGAGTGTACAATCAACGTAATGCCGATGAGTTGCAAAAACAAGATAAGAGCGTGCATTGCTTGGCTTGCTGCAAAGTGTTCGGCAACCAAAATGCTTATGATAATCATTTGAATTCGAAGAAACACAAGGAGAATGAGAAGTCTAGGAGCCTTAATGGTAAGCCCGTTTTGAGTAGATATAGTGTGGATATGAACCAAGTTACATTTGCAGATGTATCAGAAGCTAATGCCAAAACTAATGAAAAAATCGAGAAAGTTAGTCGGGAATCTGTATCTGAAGTCGAGGAAGTCGATTCTGATGAATGGGATGAATTCAGTGAAAATCCTATAGATAATAACGAGTGCTTATTCTGTCCACATCAGAGTAATAATTTTTACAAAAATTTGGATCACATGACTATTGTTCACTCATTCTTCATACCCGACATTGAGTATTGCACAGATTTAGAAGGATTATTAAGATATTTGGGCGAGAAAGTTTCAGAAGGTAAGTTAAGACTAAAGATAAGTAAATAAGAGTACATATTTCTGTGTATGTAGGATTTATGTGTCTTTGGTGCAATGAAAACGGGAAGACATTCCATACTTCCGAAGCTGCTAAGCAGCATATGGTTGACAAAGGTCATTGCAAAATGATTCACGATGGTATAGCATTGGCAGAATACGCCGATTTTTACGATTATTCCTCTTCATATCCTGATGCCGAAGAAACTAGTGTAGACACCAATGAGGAAGTAAGAATATCATAATATACATAATATTATTTGATTAATTATTGTTATTTTCAGGTTTCCATTCCAGAATTAGACGGTTCAGATTATCAGTTAGTTTTACCTTCTGGTGCTGTTGTTGGTCATCGAAGTCTGATGAGATATTACAAGCAAAGCATAAATCCCAACATGGCTGTGGTTCCTTCTAAGAACAATAGGAAATTACATAAAGTACTAGCACAGTACAAATCGCTTGGATGGACAGAAACGCAGCAAGCCGTGGCTGCGAGGTAATAAAAATCTGATTTATTTTATCATGTTTTTAAATGAAAAAATATGAGAAATGAAGCTTATTAATGTTTGGTTTTTATTTTCAGGAAAGCTAGAGATTTCCATTTCTTGAAGAGGATGCACTATAATATGAGAATGGGTGTAAAAAATAACAGCTTACTCCAAAAGCATTTTAGAAGACAGGTACAATTTTAAATACCAGGTTTATCAGATACCATCATTTTACTTTTGTTATGCTTATAAATAGCTCTACCTTCTTCCTGTTACTTAATTTGTTAACAGCCTATCTTGTTATAATCATAAAATAAAAATAAATAAAACTTCAGCCTCATTTTAATATAAATTCATTAAACGAAACTTTATTTAAAAAATTAGTACATAACGTTTTTTTATATGCTACCAAATAAGAGCATGCGGAGTGTCTAGTAATTAATGTGTATGTTTGCATATCTATGTACATGATGACAAAAATTTGGCATTCATGAAAAGTTTCAAGTATGTATATGTTTCTATTGAAAATTTTAATTGATATACTCAGCTCATTAATAAACTTAATAAAATTAAAGGACTACTTCTAAAATTACTAAAAACAATACAACAAATAACAAATACAAATACATAATGTCATAATATACTCGAGTTCCTTACACCAAAATCATGAAAGATTGTGATAAAATAAGCAAATAATATAGTAATCGGCATTTTCCAAGGTTCGAAGTAGTAACAGACACAAAGATCGAAATACACGGGCTTTGTTTCAAAAAATTATTAATTCTGAAATATCAAATAATTGTTTTCAAATTTGATATGTCAAAGTTGGCTCGTTTGGCTTTACAACACTTCATCACCAAGCCATAATATAGAAATCTGCTGCTAATTGAATACAATAGTACGCCATAAATATTTCTTTCCTTGCCTTACGTAATCGAATTACTTGTTTTTTGGTTAATATTGTTTTACATGAAAGCTATTTTAAATATTTTTCATAATAAAAATGTAATGTGTAATATACTTGCACCAATGTAATAAGCGAAGATATAGAAAACTTACTAGAAAACATTAAAATATCGATAAAAATATTTGACTTAGAACCAGCTTATCCACCACCGAATAAGTTCTGAAAAATTAATCTTCGAAAGTGAGTCTTTTTACTTTAATCATAATTGATTATTTGTCTTTTTCCTGTTATTAAGATCATTTTAAGAGAGTAAAGAATAATTCTGAGCTTTATTACGGAACAAACCTTATAGGTAATTCAAGTTTTTTTAAAATGTTCCTTTTATAGAGAACTAATTCAAAGGCGAAGAAACCGTTTCTTAGGGTATATTCAATGAGATTCGCGTAAGAATCTAGATAACACCGTTGTAAATTTGGTTTTCCAAAAATATGTAAGAAAATTTCATTTTTGCAACTAATCAGAATTTTTAGTTTCACTATCACAACTCAAAAAAAATTCCGGTAATTACTATTTTCTCACTCTATTCAAATTGTGCTCGAATAAGAATTTCAACTTGTCTTTTTCCATGAAACGCATCGGATTTTATAGCTTTCTGCGCTATAAAACCGTGCATATTCTGAAGTATATACCCATGTCAAGACACATCACAACAGTAGTACAATTAATTTCATCAATAAACTAAATTACTATAAAAAACTAGAATTTATCGATCGCTCGTAAGCCACTTCATCGGGACTGATTCGCACGTTATCCACGGAACAGCACGGCTGCGTTCCATTGCTCAACTCAGCGCTGTCTTCGAAGGGCGATTGTTCATGGCTGCCATAAGAGGTTTGTGATTGCAACAGCGGTAAACCTAGTATCAATCTGATATTGTCGGTCAGGTGATCAGATTCCTTAATCTGATAGAAGATGCCTTCGGCTTTATTCAGCATAACTGCCATGTCTAACTTGCCGTTTAAATCGTTTACATGCTGAAAATATCGTACGTTAAATTCGAACTTCGAGCAAATTAGTTGTTTACCTTCAATATTTCGGTGAAGCCGTAGTTATTTTGAATGATATTCGGCTTCTCGGTTTCTAAAATAGCTACGCAGACTAACAGGTGGAAATTTTCGCACGGGTAACCCGTCCATAACACCTCCCAAAATCGCATCACATCTTCCAAACTCAGTTCTCTTTTAAACCAAACCAACAACCACCTGGATTAGAAAAAAAGAAGCTTTGTAAACATTCAAATTAAGATATTTCAATAACAGTTAAGAGTACAAGTTTAGAATATTAAATTTATCTATACAATCCAAGAGATTGTCCACTTATTCTGGCTGACCCTGTATAATGTAAATTTACCTGAAACAGAAGAACATATTTCCCGAATCGTGCGTATCCAAATAATTGGCCAATTGCGGATTGACGAAGGCGAGGAGAGTGTGAAGATTGCTCAGTTGATCCTTCATGCCGGCTTGATCGATATCAAAGTTTCGTATCTACAAAAACAATGTTTGTAATTACTTGATTTAGCGTTCTATCTATTCTCACTTACCACTTTGTTCATGAAACCGACAAAACACCAAAACGAATCCACCTCGCTTTCGAGCAACATCAATATGGGGCTCAACAAATCGCTCATTCCTTGGACGTATCCCAAATCGAAATTGTACATGATGTATGTCATCAAAATATCGTTCAGCGTTTGCAAGTTTGCGTTGTTATCGCCGGCATAAAAATCCAAAGTTCTACAATAAATCACTGTTAATAAGAAGCCTCTTGTACATTCATTAATTTAACTTTGTACTCGAGTGTGCATCACCCATAATATTAGAGATCCCTCTTTCGGTTTTAAACAAAAAAGAGTGTAAAAAAGTGTTGCCAAGAGGCATTTAAGTTCATTCAGAATACACAAAGACAGTCAGTAAATTTACCTATCGGTTCTATTTACATCCTTTTCGATAAGGCTCTTCCGCTCCCTGTAATCTGTGAAATTATCTTCTTGCGTTTTGGTCATTCTCTTCCACTGAAGCTTCATGTTGTAGTATTCGTCACTTTTCGAAGCCAGCAATTTCTGTCTTTCCAATTCCGTGCTAGACCAAGGATAATAATCCAAAAGGAATTTCCACACTTCTGATCTCAAGCAAGGTGTGACGCCCTGTATAAATTTGTACAATTAGTTTATCACTCGTAATGAATAGCTTGTTTCAATTACCCCTCTGAATATCAGGTTTCTGACTGATTCGACATCCTCGATTTTTCCTTCGGAGTTCATGTGGCCTTTCCATTGTTCAAGAGAAAGCGGTCTCAGTCTTGGAAAATCTTTCCTCTCAGGCACTTTGGCGACTACTTCGTAATCCCCTTGGGAATGGGTCGTGGTGTTCTCGTATTCCGATATACTTCTGTTAAGGTTTTCTCTGTCTACGTCGTCCAAGTCTCTTTGCTCGGGACTTCTATAAACTATAAAAAACAAGTAATTTAGTTCATGTTGCTGTGTAATAAATGAATATTATCTTACCATAATCTGTCACTTTGGAAAAAGCTTCAAACGTGGTTTCGTACGGGTGATCTTTCAAGTTTTTAAACACGCTCCATAAAGTTCTCGAGTCGTGCTGTATGTTCAATTCGGCAAAAGACCGGTCCAATTGTTGAAACTCGGGAAAATTGGCGTCGTAAACAATGTACAAATGTTTGTCTCTTTTCGACACGCTGACTCTTAGCATTCTTTTGAGTATAGATAGTAAGACATCGGAGCTACCGTGTTGGAAACCGAAGATGCACAAGCAATCGGCTTTTCCATCGTAAAACGATATTTGTCTGCTTTTGTTTGCTATTCTGAAGCTTTTAATATCCTCGAAATTCAGTTTTATGCATTTTATCCTGTTTTGGTAATCCGGTGGGTAGTTTCCGCTTAGCGTTCTTGTTCGTTTTTGTATCGTGTTTACCACCGCCCACTCTTGATCTTGTATATCTGAATCGACTGTAATATCATTCGGTTTCCATTCTATAAACCGTTTTTTATTGGAATTCAACGATTCCGAAATATACAAAGTGCCAATTGTATTCACAAATGTTATGTGTGTCGCAGGAGCTTGTTTCAGCAATACTCCGTCTTGGGAAAAAATTTCCTCACAGTCCTCACAATCTTCCATTTTACTAAAAACATTAGATAACATTTAATTATTTACGGTTAAAAGTTGCTGGTTTTTCCGTACCTTAAACCTATTGATGTCCAATTCGATAATTCTAAGGTTTACATAAAAAATATTATTAACATTAATCATAAAAACAAAAACAAATTGACAATGACATTAGAAAATTTTGACAAGCAAATGACATTGACAGTTCTCACGATTATTCTTCTTTTCCGTAGTAAATATAAGCACTACTATGGTTATTCGGTTAGTGAAATAATGATTATTTTTGCTATTCAGTGTAAGATGTCGCAATGTGCCACGTTTCAGGATAAATAAAAGAAAAGTAATTTAAAAAATAATACCAGTCCATAAAAATGTTGGAATAATCATATTTTCCTCTAATACTAATAGGTAATTTATTCAATTTTGGGCGAAGAAACAAAATATGTCAAATGACACAAATGTCAAAAAATTTTACAATTTATGATTTTTAATTATTTTTATTGGATATTTTTATTAGATATTTGCGTTACTTAATCATTTTCAGGAAATCTTACTTACCTACCCAAGTTATTTTATTTTAAACCATGATTAGCAGATATTACTCCGACTTTAATACTTTTATGTAATATGCATGTGAATCTTTAAAAATATTTCATTTGAGTATAAGCACTTTTTCAATAGGGAAAACTAATAAAATATTGCAGAGGTGTAGTGAAAATGCAGTGACTATAAAATATAAATGCATTTTTAAAGATATTCTTATATTTTAATAATTAAGAGCGTTTAATGTCAACATAATTTCATTCATAATCCACTATCTTTATTATAGTTTCCACTGTTCTGCAATATTTCCCTTAGCATCAGAAAGTGCAATTATGAATTCGCTGTTCCGGCTTTTGCGTACACCACTGTCGCGAATTCAAATTTCGTGCTGAGCCATTAATCATCTCGAACATAAGGCATTCCCGTTTTGCCTGCCTCTTTCTGATAACACACTCTTTCTATCATATGAAAGATGTCGTTTTTGTTGCTTATTTGCTTATTTATAGACAGCCGTTTTCTGAAAGAACTCCAATAATGTTCGGGATAAGGGTATTACTCCCTGGTGAGTCTGAAACATTTAAAATTCTGAATAAAGAAAATTACAATTACTTATAATACCAATATTGATATACCTACTTATATTATAGGGTTGGTTTTGTATTAAATGAATGGAAAATTAGGTAAATTTTGGATATAAAATTGTTTAAATGTTATTCCTACAAATTTTCTGTAGAAAGGTACTTATATTTTTTAGAAATACATAGATAAAATATGAAATTAGGTGGGAGTTATACTTATACAGGTAAAACTTTTAATAAAATATCCTTATGGATTTAAGTCATAATATACTTATAATAAAGCGAATTTATTTTATACATCCTGTACGATCGTAGTTCATACATGTATAGGATTTTTATGTAAATTTAATGTAAGTTCTCGGTCGTCGATGAAAGAGCACTGGTCTACGAAAAGTAAATCCATCACAGTTAAAATGCGAGGAATACAATATGGTGGCACTTATAGGCTATTTTCCACACGGTGAGGCCGATTTTTATACATAATGTGTCACATAAAATTGTATCAGGGCTACGTCTTCGAGGCGATAAAAGTACGCTTTTTATACGCCATAGATCTACAGGATCATTGTATTTTCAATACAGATTTTGCGTATAAATAATAAGATTTTCAATGGAACGAGGTCTATAGATAATAAAAATTGTAATATACAAAAATATTTATCTTGTAGAAGCTTTCAGAAAGTTATTAACTACATAGATACAGATTCTGTTTTCCTTTAATACACCAACTTACTTTTGATAGAGGAAATCTTAGAAAACTATAGATGCTGCAGAAGCTGTTTTTTTAAGTTTTGATTGGTACCGATACCTACATATAACAATCGATTGACTATTTCATATATAGTGGATATAACTTTGCGCATTGATATAGCGGGGATCGGGATAATTACCCCTCACACCTCCTGTATCTGTTGTGAATTGAGTGAACCAAAACCCCTTCATTATTATCTAACGCGCATTATTCGCCACACCGTAAACAATAGCAAACGTCAGATAGCCCAACACAATTACCTATATTTAGAAAAATACTAATCTCATTCACGAGTGAGCTATGGACAATGTTTGTTACATTAATGAGAATCCTTCCGAACAATGGCGGACGTGTGAAAACAGCAATTATAAAATTTGTAAAATGTAGGACAACATTAATTTTCCATGCGGCGTTATCTGCCAATATGTCATCTAACAGCCGGTTGCACAAAGAGCCGAACCAATATAATTAACATCAAATTTATTGTGTATCCTGGTTGAAATTATTAATTTTACGTCTAATGATTTTTTTATTTTCCAATTTGTCAATGTTTAATATCCATAATAATCGTTTGTCACTAAAAAAATTATACGCTTTAGATATTTATATAATGGGTAAGTAGATAAAAATAAAGAAATTCTTAAACATACAATGATTGAGATCAGAATGAAAATCTATCCTATATTTTATCCCTTCCCTCTTATTCATATATAAGAACGTCTTAAATGAGTCTTTAATGTCTTACTCGCCACCTTTAACGACTAGAATCGATTGCGGCGTAAAATATTCATTCGAATAAAGCTAATTTGATCCCTTTCAATTTTAAACTTGGGCAATTATGCGTGCTCACACCGTATTCGTAGCCGGCTATGACACACAACAATCGCGGCCTTCTATATAGATTTCAGTAACAATAACAACTGACATTCGCATGATGGATCACTAGACAATATGGTGTGAAAGCCCTTCCGTACAATTTCTCCAAAACAGGGATGGATCTAGATGTTGGATAATCTTTCTCCATTCAGAAGGAGGAATATTTATATAGCCGGCACGACAATAACTATACTTTAGATATTATGAAAATTTAAAGTTATTATCTTATGCTAGTAATTAAAAAAAATAAAGAAAAGCTTTCTTCTTTATGGAAAACGTTCTCCCATCATCAAAGAAATCGAATCATTATGTACGATGTATGATTTCCTCCATTACAATAAAAAACAATTCTGCCATTGATCGTTGCCATCAATCGCGCTTCTCTCGTGATCCGCACAATAATCCATTGTATGGTATTATTTTTAATTATAATTGTAGAGGGAATTTTTTATGGCGAAAAAGTATATCTTACTGCTTATTCGCGAGTAGCAATTAAGTGCGGTAGCGGCCATTTAACTTCTTCCTTATGTTTTGTTTCAACTGTCGATGCGGCTGTACCTAATAATCTTTCTAGAGCCATTTTATACAACAATTATTTATTTTGATTGTAACATCTGCGCTAGCGTTTAGTTTTTTAATCATAGTTATGAATGGTGCTCTCTTCGTGAAAATAAAATGCGAGAGTTTACCGCGCGAGTTGAAGAAACTCGATGGGTTAAATGTTTCCATCAATTCGAGATCTTTATCGATCTGTGTATATACTTTGCTATTTTATGAAATTTTCTGTAGGTATTTTCCATCTTGTTGTTACCAAAGATTAGTTTAAGGATGCGTAGATTTTGTATGTACATACAGGGAGGCCAAAAAATACAGCAAAGTAAGTTATACCTATACCTAATTGCAGTTTTATTAAATATAAGTAAAAAATGTTCAAGATAAAAGAGCTATAGGTGGAGATATAAGAAGTACCTACCTACATATTCAAATTATGTGATTATCTACAGGACGAGACACTATTAATACGAGTATGTAATTCGACATACAAAAAATTATATTATATACAGGGTGTATCAAAAAGGCTGTGGTCATAAATTATACCTACCGCATATTCTAGGGTTAAAATTATTTATCATATTTATACCTATATCCAAAATTTCATACAAAACAAGTTAATAACCTGCGTTTAAAGTGCAAACTGAAAATCTTCATGAAATTTGGTAGATGTACGTTATAGGTATTATTTTTATAAAAGGAGCATGTGATAAAAAATTGACAAAATTTTTAAGAGGGTCTTGTAGCTTGCAGTACCTACATAGATAGGTACATTCAATTCACTCCTATTTTTTGTGGTTGGATATTTTTTTATGTTCTCGCTGCTTGTTTAATGAATTCATTTTGAACATTGCACTTTTTAACTCTTAAAAAATGAAAAACTAAAAATTCAGTTTCAGAAAATTCAGTTTGCACTTTAAACAGAGCATGTAGGCCATGCATAACATGTTCTGTATGGCATTTTGGATATGGGTATAAATATAGTTCAATCAACCTAATTTTGACCCGGGAATTTGTGGTATAATTTACGACCAATACCTTTTTGACACACCCTGTATATCAACGATATATACCTACTGCTATACTAAGCAATAAGTACCTACTGTATTAAACTTTTTTGATCCTCAACAAAGGTGATGTGTATGCATGTACAGATATAAGCTGGGAGAGAGAATTTAATTGTAAGTACGACGAGTTAGATCGATAATATTAGATAGGAGATATAAGCAGAGGTTAATAGAACACCAACACTCTGTATTTGAATATATATTCAGGTAATGTAACAATGACTATGGTGGAAACAATACGTGCGATTTTCATTTTAGATAAGCGGGAATTATCAATGCGTCTATTTATTGCAGTACATTGAAAGCTCAGGGAAAGGGATTATTCACGACCTGGACAAGGGATTGCATCCCAATAAGTAGACGGATTTATGTAAATTACGCGTTTCAAAGTCAGATATGCAATTTTCCTATAGTTGATTGAACAAATATGGTATGATAATATTAGTACATATCTGCATAACTAATTTTAATTGTAATATTATATGTAGGACCTATTATATCGATTTTCAAACATGTTTTTATACATATAATGTTTTAACCTGATAAAATAATTTGCAAAGGTATAATAAAGTACCTATGCAATAGAAGATCGCATTGTCAGCCAAAAAGTTATTAAGTAGGTATATTTATTATAATATGTTTATACGTTCACTCATGATGGTGCATGTATATTAATAATTAGAAGTGATAATATAAAAGGATAAAAAAGTTGTGAAGAATGCGACTTGCGTTTGAGAAAAAAAATGGGGTCAGTGATTTGCTTTATTTTTTCAAACCATTAAAATAGAAATTTTTAAAATGCTTGCAAACGTTTCACTATAAAATTCAATAAATGTATGCAAAGTTTACTGATGTCCTGGCTTCTCTAGGAAAACTTGAAGCTCAACTCATTTAAGTTTTTCATAGTTAAATATGTCAAGCAATATAATTTATTTAATAAGTAGCAGGAGTAGGAACATTTCTATTTTTTATATACATTGCAATGTAAAATAAAAAACATCAATATCTACCTACTTGTACCATATCAATATATCTAATAAATTAAAAATTATATGCGGTTAGATACTCAATTTCATTTAAAAAAAGCAAAAATTTTAATGCAAAAATTTCTGTTTGATATTGCAAATGTAGACTTAAATAGGTATTAAATACTTACGTAGAATGTAATTTTTGAAAGTAATACCATTTAAACCTTTAAGAAGTTAGAGTAAAAAAAATGTTTGATTAAAAATTGTAAATTGTGTCGAACGCCGGTTCTGATCTGGCTTTTGTTAAAAAGTAGAAGCAATTTAAGAAAAACGAAGGAATACATTGAAATCGAAATAAAAAAAACCAGCCCGCACACTTCGTATTGATTGCGCAGCGACAGCCCGGTGACATTCTTTATCAATACGTCATAGCTCATATTTCAAGTTCTCTTGCATCCGCCCTCGGAGCTACAAAGAAACTAACTTCTTTCGGTAGCGGTGGGTGGGCGGTCGAAGAAACCCCTTGGTGGGGACCCAATGAACGAGTCGGTGCGAAAGCGGCGAACCAATGAGGAGAATCGCGTGCGTGACGAAACAGGCGCCGCCTTCCAGGCACTTGCAGCCGTTTTTCCAAATGTTTTTATTTATTACATTTGTAGTTGCCGAGTGTACCGGTTGTATGTGCACTTCCTCAGGTCGCGCAACAGAGTGTACAATCGTGCGCGCTCAAAGCCCCGCCCGCAACAGACAGACAAACAATACGAAAACTTCACTATTACGATATCTTTCCGACTGTCTGGCCGATTGTTCAACTGATGGACTGTAAGTGTTTGAGTGCTTATTTTGAGTAAGTGCCGTCGCGAATAAATACGATGGACAATTCCGGTATGGACCCAGCGAGTGATCACAGTAGTCACGCGTCTTCCGGATCACCGGCCGTTGCTATCAAACAATCCCCATCGCCGCCGAATCATTTATCGCACAACCACAATCACCACAATCAGGTGCACAGCCCGAGACAGGCCAGTCCTCTAGGTCCGCCGATGTCGATGGCTCATCCACTGTCGCCGCCGCCGGTATCATCGGCCAGTTTGGCCCGAAGCATGGCTTTAGGACATTTACCGCCGCCCGGATTGGGCCTGTTGAATTCCTTAGGTGTGTTGCACAATCCTTTGGATTTGATGGCCCACCACGCGCCACCGCGTTCTTACAATAGCCCGCCGCCGATTTCGACGTCCGATCCAACGGCCAACGAGTGTAAATTGGTTGATTATCGAGGACAAAAAGTGGCCGCATTTATAATAGCCGGCGACACGATGTTGTGTCTTCCTCAAGCATTCGAACTGTTTTTGAAGCATTTAGTGGGTGGTTTGCACACGGTATATACCAAACTTAAACGTTTGGACATCGTACCGCTCGTTTGTAACGTCGAACAAGTTCGCATTTTGCGAGGACTCGGAGCTATTCAACCCGGTGTCAACAGATGCAAATTGCTTTCATGCAAAGACTTTGATACGCTGTACAAGGACTGCACAACGGCCAGGTATGTATCTGATCTACTATTTTTTTTTCTTCCTACATTATACATAAATGCATCGACTATAAGCGATAGGTATAAAACGCGGTAAATGACCAATGAATTCCTAATTACGTTAGCTACATTTTTTCAAGGATGAATATAACTGTAACTGATGCTTATTTTAATACCTATTCATAATTGAACAAGTTTTACTATTTTCCACTAATATAAGTATAGATTAATTATTATTATTTTTTACTTATTATAGGTACTATACATTAATTTGAATAGGACTGTGAATATTTTTCAAGTGGTTTTCCACGTATTATTTTTAAAAAATAAATGAACAATAAATAAATTTGGGTAGGATATCGATATATTTTATGAAATGCATGCTCTAAAACATTTTTCTACCTACCTAATAATATAGATACCTAAATCAGATCCTACAGTAGGTAGGTATACCTAACTCAGCAAAATTCATCTGCCGTTATGTCGAAAAGGTACCACAATTTATGTAATTAATTTAATAATATGCCTGTATCTTTGCATACTTAAGTACGTTGTAAAATATTTTTAACCTCCAATACGTTTATAATACATGTACCTACAGTGTTTTTCAGAAAAACTGCCTTCCTTTTTCCTTTAATTAGTGTGTTGATTGATAAATAAACATGATATGTGGAGTTTATTGTGATATCATACTTTCAAAAGCCTGACGATTGATGTATTTTCTTTTCAATTACTTCTATATACTCTTCTACAAATATATTCAATCAATTAAAAACGACTTTTGCTAGAATTATCTTTAATGTTAGTTACGAAATATTATTACAATAATATTTTAATTATTTATATCGGTATTAATAATATAAATACCTAGGTACTAATGCTGTTGGTACCTACTACCATTATTACCTACAAAAATCTTACAGTTAGGCTTTTAAATTATGCTTATGCCTTATTATTCTGTTCTGAGGTATATATGGGAAGCTCCTTATTGCATGGTAAAGGTAAAAAAATATGAAACTACAAGCACTTGCTATAACTAGGTATTTATTTTGCTTACTTAAACACTTTATTTCACGCTATTTTTAATATAACATCTTCATTATATTTACACTATAGAGATATAGAGAAAATATAAGGTGTTTAAGTAAAATAGAGTCACTGATGTGATTATGAATCATGTGAAATGGTAATCAAATTAAACATATGTCTTACGGGCTGGTGGTTTTTTATTTTATTCGTTCCGGTGTGTAAAGAATGCGACTGTTGAAAAAAGAATATTCAACGACATAATTTATGGAAACCATTTTTTCTGCAATGCTAAGCTTTAATTATTTCAATAAGACAACACGAATAGCAATAAAAATGTACCGTTGCATTTATATTTCTTCACTTCACTTATTATAATTACAAGAAGAATAGATTACGTCTGAATTGAATGGATATAAAAAAACTAAATACACTTATGTTGCTGATGAAAGTTAATAAATAGCCATTGAAATGATTATGTATGTTATCATTAAATTTAGGTAAGCAATGTTTCTATAATTCTCTTTTGGCTGATTATTTTGCTTTGAAAAAATAAATTAACAAATTCCAAATTTATTCCTGTTTCCTCAGTAACTTACTCCTAATTATTTCATTTATTCCCCTTATGTAAAAACTTGATTGCAAAAATAAAAAAAAAACAATTACACATATTAGTTCAACCGCGCGAGCTTCGGCATTGTTAATTATATACAGCCATGGGAAGAAATCAATACACGCAAGATAATTGTCCCACAACTGAAAACGATGTATGTATATATGTATATACATTCCTAATTAAATATACAAGGCCCGAACATTCCTTATTACCGCAGACAAATTTATAGTCTTTCTGTGGTATCATTGCGTGATTTGATATCTTATTTCAAACCATTAGTAAACTCGTTGGAGTCGAGAGAGCCTCTTCCAGATGAATTATTGGATATATATCCACTAATGAACTAACTTTTGATCAGTACAAAGACGACGACGCAATACAATACACCTTCGCCTTTTATGGAATCTCGAACCACAATACTGTTATTACAGGAATTATTTTCAGAGCTTTCAACTCGAATGATGTATACAAGTACAATTTTTCTTTTGTTGCGTTCTCACGAAGAAAATCGAAAAACTAATTAGATAGATTTTAATTATTTGCGCTTAATAATTCATTTTAGTTCAAATTGAAAAATTATATTGTATATTCTTTAAGTGTGAATTGTGTCCTTCCCATATCATTTTTGTTAATAAAAAAAAATAAATTTGTATATCCGATATCAGTGATATCCGAAAGTCTTCTTAAAAATACCTAAATGATGCAAGAATTTAAAATGCGTAAAGGAGAGATGTTCAGGATGGTTTAGAAAACTAAAATATTTAATAAAAGTGCATCTAAAATATTTCGAATTGCTTGTTCAGCTATCTCTATTGTTTCTCGTGCAACCCAAATGTTCAGACATCAACTCACTTCGTACGAATCGCATGCACATGTAATAAAAGCGAATCGAATAATCGAAACAATCCACTTGAGTTCCCCTCGTTTTCCATTGCCTTTCTAATTACATCAACGATATTGCGAGGGTTCAACTTGCCCTACATTAATGTAGCGGACTGTGTTTGTTTTATTCTAAATTTCCACGGGACTGTTACTGGGATACATTAGTTTTTTTACCAGGATTGTTTCAATTTTCAACGGTCGAATCCGTTTTGGACGGAGAATAAGCTTATTTATGGCTGTATCACTACTCACTTAATAGACTTAATAGCTTTTTAAAATCTCCCAGTAGCGTGTTTCAACAAATGTTATTCGAATGATAGAAAGACGCGAACACAATAGCGATGATATTTATATTATTAATGATAGGTAGCAATGAGAAAGTAAGCTCTCCGTTGTGAACTCACCGGGATATCTTACAGATAACAGATAGATATTGTGGCTTTACAAAAGACTTTGGCGCTAATAAGATACGTCAGTTCGCTGTTAGACTTATCATCCCTTTTAACAAATGGAAATAACATTCCTATAATATATTGCTGCTCAGGCGCCACTCGATTTTTTTCTTATTAACTGTGTCGTAGTCATTTTTTATAGTATAAGAGGTCTATAAAACATTTCAAATGAGTTATTGAATGCTGTGGTTTGCCATGATTAATTTTTTTTATTCAGAATTTCAACTTATTTCTACAAAAGTTCCTTATAGTGTTATAGAAGAATTTTCACAGCACGTGTGGGTGTTTCATTGGTGTTTGTAACGTCAATATTTTGTATTAGAAATAGGCAGTAAACTTCAACACTATGTCGGCGCTTACGAATTTTTATTCCCTTGCTCTACCTGCATCACCATAAATCCAATATTTATGTTGTATATTTCATAAATGCTATAGAAAGTGCCAATATGACACGGCCACATCAAGCGCGTTTTATTTCGTGGGTACTAAACATATATCATGACGAAAGCAAGGTTCGGACAGTGCAATAATACCTGCAACAAAGTGTTGCAAAATTGTTGTGCATCTATACACATATTTCCAAGTCGTAAATCAATGCTAAATAAATATCGCTGACAGTTACACCAAGTTATTAAAGGTTCTGGCATGGTTATACCTTTACTATGTTCGTTTGTTATTTATATGACAACCTTGTTGGTACAGAGGCTACCGATAGCGTGTCGTTTTGTTAACCAATCGGCATTTAATTTCATTTTTTCTATATATGCGTACAGTTTAATTTGGTTGTTTGTTTAAGGCGAGAAAGAAAAATGCATTTTTTTAAATAAAACCAACCGCTCTTCACGCGTTCCTGCAGCCTTTCATCGCACCTCCTTGTTAAAATTATGATTAAATATAAGATTGCTTTGTGTTTAGGTAAATTAGTTCGCACTGAAAGTCTATTCATAACCGATTCGTTCAATCAATTTTGTAGGTTAATTAACGCTCGACTATGCATTTTTTATTATTGCCCGTACCTGCGTTACAGTTTGTGTATACGCTGCAGTCAAACAATGAATATTTAAAAAGCATTTATGTTCGCCCGTTATACACAGTTTGTTGCATTATAAACATGAACTTGTTAAGTTCACTTGAGAAAAAAAATATGTAGGCTGCGGTCGATTACTTTCTCGTTGATTCTTTGAAATATTAATTAGACACGTTTCAAATATCCTCAAATTTCAAATTTGCACCTGAATGTTTACATTCATCGGTTTATTCAACTAATTTAATTCTAACGTAGGTATACCGTTATACCTACCCCGTTATTTGCGTAACGTTCTTCCCGAACCTGCCAGCACATTCTACACCATATTTTATTAAATTAGCCGAAAGCCCGAACATTGCAGCAGACTGTCGCAGTCGGAACGCATCGCTTCGCAAATGGACTTGACTGCGCTAATTGAAACGATTCGGTGGGGTCCGGGGCCGTTTAAATGAAATAAAGTAATAATATGGATACGTCATTGATGCTTGCGGTTGATTCAGTGCATAGCCAGTCCTCCATTGTCGACTACTGGTTGCGGTTTTGCGGCGATCTCGCCATGCACAGTCGCGTAGGGCGTTTGGGTATTTCATTATTGTAATTTTTTATAATTTATTAGATTTGTTTTGTTAAAAATTCATAATGTACCTTCCGCGTTTTTCGCATTTATTGACCACAATCGGCACAATTATAACTAAAGATGTATAAGAACTATAACAGTATTTTCAGGGAATTTCATAAAGGTAAAGTTTATAAAGCACAATTTATTGGTTTTTCTTGCGAACTTTCCTGCAGCAACGCCTATGAAATAAACTACGGCAGTGGTTTTGCGGTGGCCACCAGTAGCAGTGGACGTGGTAGAGCCATCAGCTCTCGGCAAATTAGTATTAGAACCCTTTGGCCGAAATTGGCAAATCCGACCTCTCGAAATGGCTGATGGCACAAAGCTACGGTCAACATCGGTTTGTATGTTTACTCTGCACTACATGTTAAACTATGCAGTTAATTGCAT